CGTGTGTGGTGTGTGTGTGTGTGTGTGTGTGTGTGTGTGTGTGTGTGTGTGTGTGTGTGTGTGTGTGTGTGTGGGTGTTGTGTGTGGTCTCACGCTGGCTTCTTCTTTGGGCTCCACTATTTGAGTTCGACGGCTTTTCTTGGCCTTGGGCTCCAGGCTGCCTTTGAGCTGGAAAAAAAAAGGACGAAAATAACATAAATAACATAAATGTTTTCACCAAATGGAATAATTAATTACCTTTGTCAAATAAATACCACCAGCATGTGATAAAGTAGATAATATAAAAAACAACTTAAAAAGACACTTAAATACTAAATAACTCTTACCATGTTGCACTAGCAATGTGCTTTCCAACCACCAGGGGCGCTGTTTACTGTTTCTCTCCACAGTATTTCTGATGTGTTTCACTGCTCCATTAAGATAAGATGGAACTTTATTTATCCCCTTAGGGACATTCAGCATTTACAGCAGCAACCGGGTCAGAGTTAAAAACAGATTCACACAAGGTAAACATAAAAAAAATAGAATACACAATTAAAATAATACTTAGAAAAAAGATTTGAAATAAATAAATTACTTTGTCTTATTTTTGAAGCAAGTTAAAAGTTCACAAAACACTTTTAGTTGGTTTCATGTTTCTGTTTTAGTCAAATCTGGAGCAGATTCATGTTTTATTTTTGACGGATTTGGCACCGGGTCAAGTTGACTGAAAAAGATTTGGAGATGTTCAGTACAATGCATCGTATGTAAACGATGTATGAGAGAAGAAGAAAACATTAATTCTAACGCAAACTACTGGAATGAATACACATGGAAGATGTTATTAGTTACTTTAAGAAACCCCAAATTCAAAGTAAACACAAATGCTGGACAGGATGCGGTGAGCAGAAACCATGCTCATATTTTGGGCCATAACGAAAATAATTGTTATTTTTGTGACCAATGAAAATACCTGAGTATTAATACTGTATCCATTCTTTTATTTGTATTATTACTTTTATTATTATTTATTTCGGATTTGTCAACTGTTATGTAGTTAACGTATGTATCTAGATGTGTTTATTTTGTCATGCTGTGTGAATAATTCTTAAAATGCAAATCATTGTTTAGAAATGAATAAACTGTACAGTTGAATACAACTGAATGTAAGGATGTAAAAATATAAATGTATAGATGTTGCAACTATACAGAGCTTTAGCAATACTCAGGGTTCACCACTTTTTCAATGACTTCTCCAGGACCTTTACCTAATTTTCCACGACCAAAAAAAAATTACCTTTCTCAGCGGTTCCACTGAAAATGGTTTATTTTAACATGGAACAGGAAAATAAGGTCTGCATATGAAAATGTTGTGCCTCTAAAACAAATCCAATAGGCTTGCTAGCTTCTACGCGCTAAAGAGCAACTCAATCTCTCACCAGCAAAACACCTCGTCAGTTAAATGCCATTTTACGTTTTATTACGATACAGTATTTATTATCATTATAGTATTACTATTTTGGCGATTAATAAAATATAAATTATATTTGATGCAACTTTAGTTACTTTTCCATGACTTTTCCAAAACTTTGGGAAAATATTGTTTTCCAAGGCCTGGAATTAGCATTTTGAATTTCCATGACTTTTCCAGGTTTTTAATGACCGTAAGAACCCTGGATACTGTATGTAACTATGGTCATGCTAATAAAGATATTGAGTTGAATACAAGAACTTTGGAGAACTTTTTGAACATATCTGCAAGAGACACCAAACAAAAAATCAAAAGGACACACGGTACTAATAAGCTCTTAATTAAAAAAGTCACCTATTATCCCCAAAAATTCACTTTTTAATGTATTGATTACATAAACATAGTATATATGCGTCTCCCCTGTGTGTTAAGAGACTTAGAAAGTGTCAGTAAAAAAGGTTGTCTCTCTTTCCCTCCTGAACCAAGATGGTGAAATCTGCTCAGAAAACGGGCGAGTTTCGGTTCATACGTGACGGTTCAATATTTGTGGGTTGTACGGCATTATATAAAAATATAAATGTGGCGGATTTTGTCAACTGTTATGAAGTTAACTTATGTATCAGATGTGTTTATTTTGTTATGTATGCTTTGTGAATCATTTCTTAACCAGTGCCTGTTTTCCAGGCCTCAGGCTCGAAAAGGACATGCCCAGAACAAATGACCATATCTTCTAAAAGGGGAACATTAATATCTTTTACTCAAAGCAATGATAAACCTGTGAGTTGGATGTAGAAAAGTCAGAATCAATATAGATGTTTTATTTTAAAGTAAATTCAGATTGAACATAGTAAAAAATGTAAATTATAGTGTCCGTCCAAATAAACACTTTACTTATAGTGAAAACTACCTTGAACGATGGGATCGGAGACTAAAAGCTGTAGGAATCCCAACTATAACATATAATAAGTACCCTGTATCAAGATTGATGCAAAACAAGTGAAATTTGACCTTTTTAGAGATTTAGAAGAAGAAAAAACACTTCTGGGGTCATTTGGTGGGATTGACCTATCTCTGGCCCCCCTTGGTCGATTTTGATGATTGACACCTCTGTTGAACCGCTAGAGCCAATAGAATCGAGGGGAAGTTCCACAGACACACACACACGTTTACCAAATAAGTGATTGAGAGTGACGCGTAGCCAGAAGACTGTCATACACTCTGGAAGCTATTATTAGCAGCTAATATGAAAACTCAGTTTTGACATAAAAATGGAGTCATGGATTATCAAATTTTTTTCACACATTGATTAACGCTATTGACGCTATTGACGCTATTGACGCTATTGACGCTATTGACGCTATTGACGCTATTGACGCTATTGACGCTATTGACGCTATTGACGCTATTGACGCTATTGACGCTATTGAACACAACTTTTGATCAGAATACAGCAAAAGGTGAGCATATCTTAACATGCAAATAAAAAAACATAAATGAATGACTTGAATAAGAACTGTATAATGTAATGATATATACATATAAATATACGTACATGTCGCACCTGTTCGTTGCTGGTGGACGAAATGCTGGACTCGGCTTCATCAGTTCGCTCCAAACGATCCGTCTTTCCTCCACTTTCCTGCTTCTGGTTCTGCTGCTGTTGTTGTTGTTGTTGTTGTTGTTGTTGTTGTTGTAGTAGTTGTTGCTGTTGCTGCTGTTGTTCTGTTTCCATGTTGGTTTCCTCCATCTTTGTTTTCCAGAAGCGTCCCTCTCTCACGAAGCGCTGGTGGTAATAATAATAATACATTTCATTTATATAGCACACTTTAAAAACAACGTCATCTAAAAAAGTTGCTATGAGGAGAAAATACAATCAAATAGAAAGTTATCTAAGGAGAATATTGAATAATATCATTTTCCTTGTTCATGTGATGCGTTGTTGTTGTTGTTGTTGTTGTTGTTTTGTTTCTTTCCGTTAACTGGGAACTAAGTATCTTTTTGGAAGTTTTTGTGTTCCTCTTATTTTCCTGTGAATAAGAAAATATGAAGGACAGACTATTTCTATATATTTATTTTCTTTGAGAAAGCAGCAGGTAATAGAGCGGAGCATGGTATTTACCCTGAAGTAAGCTGCTGGTTCCCTCCACAAAAAAGCAACGGGATTTCTCCAGAGGATTAGGAAAGAGCTGGAAATAAGGTCTGTGGAAACCTGTTTGATGAATGCACGTTTTGTTCAGCCGGATCATCTCCTCATGTCTTCCCTACTTTCATAATGTTTGAATCATAAATCTAATCGAAGCTAAATGCTAACGTGATGCTATAAAGGAACTACAGCGAGTCCAGCAGCACGACTTCAACGTCACGCCAACTTCAGATCCATATTCAAACACACAGATTCTAGAGGGAACGAGTTGAAGCGTTGTTTGAACACTCTGCAGGAGGCAGGGACTTGCTTTCAAGCAGAACAGAAACTAACTTAGAGGAGTGTTCACGTGTTCGGCGTAATGACGTACAACGACCTCCACTTCTGTAGTCCTATTCAGCCACTTGGTAACAACCATCGTTTCTCAGACACGTTGACTCTTCAGAAATCACCAGTGGGGTCACTGCTGATGGTTTAATGTCGTAGAACAAAACGTGACCCGTCTCTTCAATGCGTCTCAACCACAGACCTTATTTCAGCTATTCCAAAACCCTATGGAGAGATCCCATTGGCTCTGAGACGAGGGAACAGGAAGTGGAGAAATGCTGACTCACTTCCTGGTTTTAGGACTCGTCACTGCACCGCTCTATTGAGATGATTATCCCTGCTCCGTTTTGATCAACGGTGTGTTTATAGAGGCATGTTTTGTAAATAATTGTTATACATTAAGTTGTGCATACCATGAACGGAACAAATCAAAATGAAATAAGGTAATTTAAAAGAGGTTAAAAGAATAAAAGGCCAACCTGGTAAACCTCCAGCTCTTCGCAGGCCTTCTTCCAGCCGCTGCTGCGCTTCACCTGCAGCTGCTGGACTTTCACCTTGATGTCCTGGATGTTGTCCGACGGGATCCACGCTCTGAGGACGACGGGGAAATAACGTTTTAAAGATTTACAAAACCTTCCAGCAAATGTTTGAATAATGTCAGTTTATTTGAAAAGTGTTTGGGTTTGTTTTGTCAGGCTGAACCGCTATTAGCACTCATTCCTACCTGTCCATTAAGCTTCTTAACATTCACATGAAATGAAATGTAGTCAAATGTAATGAAATGTACTTTTTAAATGTTGGCCCTGAGGGTCGTGCAATAGGTCGCCATTGTCTGTATGTGCGTCTGTGTATTGTGTTTGTTCAAACGGTGTATGACTGATGATATGTGTATGTCTCTTAATGTCCACTATGTTTGTATATGTACATGTATGCAGGACGGAGTCCAGAACACATGTCCTTACGGGGACAAGAAAGTATATCGTATCGGGGATGTTTTTACAACTGGTTTAAGCAGCTTGAAGTTAAATAGCATCAAAAGAAATGTGTTAATTGTTTTTTAAGGAAGATTTAACAATAATCAGAATACTTGATTTAATTGTAATGTTGTCCGACGGGATCCACGCTCTGAGGAGGAGGAGATCAAATAAAGTGGACGGGATTTATCAACAAGCACTGAAACTAGTTTGTTTGTTTCGAACCTTCAGAAGTGTTTCGGGAGGAATTGCATCTGATCTGAGATTAAGCAGCTTAAGGAGATTTATTCATAGTATCAACAGTTGTGGCTTTAAGTGATCCAAGAACAGTTGATAAGGAAGTCATTCATAGCATTTGGGGAAGGATTCATAGAATACTGGGGAGAACTAGGTTTTGTGATAAATAAAAAAAACACAATACAAATAATTATTTAAACAAAAGAAGTGCAATCAAAAGCTAAAGATTAACATGTTTAGATGTTTATGACAATAGGAAGTAAATGTCCAATTAAATATAAAACAAAATTATTTATATGAGCATAAGAAGTTAAAAATGGAACGTGCTATAGCCAAATAAATCATAGGTACTTATACGCAGTATTTTGATGGTGTACTACCAGTACCTTGCATTGTGTGCAACGCAAGGTGGGATGCATAATAATTCGATCTATAATCTCATCCAGCTAATATACTTCCATCATGGATAACGTTTCATAAAAGACATCCATTGTTTGTTTGCACGCTTCTTGAAATCTCTACAACACATTGTTTCTCTAGAATGGATTACAAATGGCCTGAAAAATGGTTCAAACACGTGAGATGGAGGTGTGGAGCTGAGGGATAACATGCAGTTGAAAGAGAAACTAAAACTCTCACTGTTGCGGAGATAATCTCGGGGTTAAGCAGCTTGTCCCGGTAAATATGTTCTAAGGACAATGTATCCAGATACAAATGGTGGCGATATGCTCTCAAATGAACAGAAAGGTGTTCCTGGTGTGCTAACCTCTGGTGCTGGTGTCCGAAGAAGCGAACGTCCACCTGGTTCTCTTCTTCTCTCTGGAGGACTTTGGCCGGCCAGTATCCGAAACCCTTCATTTTGGCCCAAACCAGGTCATTGTTAGGACTCTGCAGAGGAAACACACAAAGAAACAGAAAACAGCAACGGTTAAAAACCCAGCATTGTTGGTCTAACAAGAAAAAACTCACGGTAAACAAAGTGGTGGGTTGGATTTTATGCCAAAATGACATTTAACATGGGCCAGTTTTTCATATTCATGAGTATGCAAGATATTTTGATTTTTTTTTTAAATCACTCAGTTCTCTGTTCTATCCCCCAATTGTTTTAAAAATCCAAAATCTTTTGTCAAATCCCTGTTTTTTTGCTAAAACCATGAAAAGGTCCCAGGTCATGGCCATTTCTACTGATCAGAATTCCATCGTTGAGGTCGACTAGAATAGATTTACAATGTTCAATGTTCCAAACTCAGCATCTCTGTATAGTCTGTGTATTCACTCTCTGTCCTAAAACGGCTTGTTGGAGCTCCTGCCCCCCCCCTCCCCCTCCCTAGAGCCCACTCTGTTCTGATGAGTCCACCACCGTCACAGCTGAACATCAGTGTTTATGTGTTACCATGGCGTTTGTTAGCAACCAGAAAATGACACCAGTAATGACAAAACAGATGAGAATGCTGCCGTGCCGTGTTGGCGGGACGTTGTGGGCTCACTGCTGCGAGGAGCGGACAGTGTGGAGCTGGATACTGGTGTCGGGCCGGGTGGCGGCGTGGGGCACACACACAACCACACCACACACACCACACACACACACACACACACACACACACACACACACACACAACACACACACACACACACACCACACACACAACACACACACACACACACACACACACACACACACACACACACACACACCACACACAACACACACACACACACACACACACACACACACACACACACACACACACCACACACACACACACACATCACACACACACACACACGCACACACACACACACACACACACACACACACCACACCACACACACACACACACACACACACACACACACCACACACAACACACGACACACACACACCTCCTATTGTGTCACTTTAGGTTTGTGACTGCAGACCGTCTACATGCATGAAAACAAGGGACGGGTGCTGCTAACCGGAGACGCACGACATGGGCCCTTTACATGACTTATGTTTACAAGGGTAACGCAGTCAGTGGAGTGATGTTGAATGTTTTGGATTATTAAAGCATTTTTCAGTATTTTGTCGATTAGTTTGTTTAATCCTTTCTGGTTCAAAATTGTCCAAACGTTTTTGTCAAAAAGTCGGTTTCTGAGTTTGTTGAAACAGTGAAAACCCAATAATATAACTGCATCTCTACGACTGCTACCAGTGATCATACTGCAGTAATAGAACACAATCAAACTGTGGGTGTGTTTTAAGAGCCATTTGGTCCAGAGAAGCTGTAGTTGTGTATGTTTGTTGTTGTTGTTGTTGTTGTTGTACTCACACAGGGGTAACAGAACCAGTTGTCTGGCCTTGCGTTGGAGAGGTAGAAACAGGTTTTACACAACAACAACTCGTTGAGCTGGAGGAGGAGAGACGGGGAGAGAGAGAGTTTAAATGCAGGAACTAATTAGCAAGGAGACACGGTGCTAATAAGTTCTTAAACTAAATCTCGCTGCTGTTAAATGTAAGGAAAAGTAAACGGCGTTACCCTCGTGGCATGTGTCGCTGAAAAGCAGCCGAGCGATTTCCGCCTGGTCGCTGTTAACTGAAACACAAACATAAGAGCACTTAGTGAGAAAGTCAAAGTGGAGTATTATACATTTAAATTGTTTTACATAAAAAGATATGGACAATTCTGCAGTATTTGCTATATTTCTGAATGCTTTGTGGTTCGTCTCGATTTCAACATCAGATCTATGTTAGTGGAGAAGGCCTAACGCTGAATAGTAAATGTGTCCCATGAAATAAAAGTTCAAATGTGGCTTTTCTGGTGAATACAAAAAATAATAGAAAAACTAAATGTGTAACTGAACGTAATGAATGATGGACCCACCTCCGTACAGGATGGCCGTGTTGTGGACGATCAGCTGAGCGTCGGCTTTGAACTCATCGAAGCTTTTATACTTTCCTTCAGACAGATTCTGAGAAACAGAAAGAGACACAATTTTCACAGCTTCCTTCCTTCATTTCATTCAAGCCACTTCGACAACTTTAAAAACAGACATTTCTAACACGTTATCTTTCAATGTATTAGTTTTCTCGCTATTCTTTTCACACACAAATCAAAAGATAAACAAACTTAGATTATCTTTCTTTCTTTATGGAATATATCTTAAGCCTCTTCCATACATGGCTGTGTCTGTTGATAGGCTGGCACTGTGGGAATTGTAGTCTTTTATCGTCCCTTGACTACAGAAGTCACAACTAGGTGCAAATATTTGGCCTTTTCACAACAACAACAAAATAAGTGGCTGTAATTTATAACATTGGTTGTTCAATATTTCGATGGTGTACCACCTTGTATTGTGTGTTTTGTCAATAAAGTTTATTTGAATAATAAAAAAAATTAAAAATGGAAAGAGAGAGAAAGTTCCACAGTCAGAGAGAACGAGTACAAAGTAGTTTATTCACTGTGTGTGTGTGTGTGTGTGTGTGTGTGTGTGTGTGTGAGTGTGTGTGCGAGCGTGTGTGTGAGCGTGTGTGAGTGTGTGTGTGAGTGCGTGTGTGAGTGTGTGTGTGAGCATGTGTGTGTGTGAGCATGTCTGTGTGTGAGTGTGTGTGTGTGTGTGTGAGCACGTGTGTGTGAGTGTGTGAGCGTGTGTGTGTGAGCATGTGTGTGTGAGCGTGTGTGTGTGTGAGTGCGTGCGTGAGTGCGTGAGTGCGTGCGTGTGCGTTTGGTGACCAGCAAGCGAGAGGTCCAGGAGAGGGTGTGTAATTATTAACACACATACACACACTTACACAAAAACACACTTACACACACAAGCATGGGCAGAGCTCCAGATTCTGGCAGAAAAAAAACCCTCAGTTGTTTTTGATTTGTTACCTCGTGGATGTTGGAGACCTCCAGCGCGGTGTGGATCAAACGTTTGTACATGGGGTGTTTCGTGTCTTTGCCTTTCTTGGCTAGGTCGACTGCCTGCAGACGAAGAGGAGGAAGAGGAGGAGTAATGATTTAATACCAACGTTATAGAGAGGAAGAGGAAGAGTAATGAAGCAGGGACACATGGAGGATAACTGATGAGAGATTTTATAGCTTTTTTATAGGCAGCGTTGTGATGAAGGGAGATTTAACACAACTTTAATTGAGAGGAGGGAGAAGGGTGGGGTGAAGGGGAATATTTATTTTAATTAAGGGTGGAGTAAGGGCTTTTTGTGGGTACTAGTAACTTATTTTAGAGAACACAGCAAAAACAGAACCCAAAAAAGAGTAAAGAATAGGAACTTTAAAGGGGACCTATCATGCTATCATTGTAGGCAATAGCACAGGTCTCAGATATATACAAATATATAAAAACATGTCTTTGAAGTGTTTTGCTCAAAATACCAAACAGATCATTCTAGCCATGCCTCATATCCCTCTATTTCACTTCCTGTTTCAAAAGTGCTGATTCGGGGTATAAAGCTTTAAAAAATAAAAAGGAGGGGTCTGAGCTCATGCGGGACCCGGCAGCTACTGTCTAAACTAAATGCTGCCGTGATGAAACGCCATATCATGGATTATCAAGGATCTGAAACAGTCTGGAGCTCAAAGGCTTTCTCTCTTGCCGGTTATACCACAAGGTGAGTTCCTTTTTACTTCCTGCTTCTTCACACACATGCTCTCCAGTACAGGTTAGCTCTGAGTGTTAGCGATGCTAATGTAAACACCGACCATATTACGTCCAAAACGGTCGGGCATTGTTTCTGATAGCAACGTTTCTGATTGGGCCGTGGCTCCACATTTCAGATATTACGTCATATCGGACGCAAATCTGGATCAGCTCCGTTGTTCCCCATTTTTAGAGATTTGGGTACGGAGGAAAAGAGAGAGGGTTTTATTTTCTGACGCTGCGTGAGTTCCCCGACGCACCGGGACACATAGTTATGTATACAAGACATCACAAAGTGCATTTTGCATGATGGGTCCCCTTTAAGTCAAATTAACCAGAAGAAAGTGATGTTTTCTGCTTTCAAAATCAAATTGAAATGGAATGAAATAGCCCAAAAAAATCTTCAATATTTAAATTAATAAAAAGGTTGAACTAACATGATAGAAGTGAGTGAGGATTACGGCTTGTAGAAACAGAATCAAATTGAACAAAAAGTATTTATTATTTAACGAAGTGACGAAAAAAATTAGGAAATAAATAAATGTACAAAAAAATTGTTTTTAAAGAAAAACTACATTTTTTTTTTTTTTTTTTTAAATTCTAAATGTTTGTTTTAGCCTCTTTTAGTTCAGCTTCTAACAGCTGTTATTACACTAAGTAAACAAACGGCTGGTGACTTTTATTAAAAGCAGGTACTTAATAAAGCAAGGTGTTATCACTGCAGGGAATCTCTGGCTTTTATGCAACGGGGACATTTTATTTTGATGAAGCATTCAAATCAGCTTTTTCTTGGTCCTTATGTCCAAGAAGGTACTTTGAGTCAAATCAAACACAGCAAAATAAACCTGGCAGAAAAGATCCCTCAATCTTCTTAAATAACGTTTGAATCAGAGCCGTAGATCTGCTGGATTTGTTGAAGTAGAACAGCAGCAATGAATGTGTTGTTCTCACCCTCTCCTTCATGCGCTGCACGATGAAGCGCAGGTATTTACTCATCTCCTGTTTGTTCAGGTTCTTCTTTTTACTGCCCTGCAGGACGACAAGAGGAAAGGTGAGATTCAACACAACGAAAACACGGAAACTTAAAAATAGGGATGCACCAATTCAGAGAGCGACATGCAGTCTAACGAGTTTTCTTTTCAGACAGCCGCAGTCAGATGTTGGAAAAGCAATAATCTCCGTGAACTACAAAAAGCATTTCTCATTTGATGCATCCTGGTGAGGTAGCATATATATAACGGACATACAGTTGCAAGAACAAGTATGTGAACCCTTTGGATTCTCCACACATAGCGTTGTGTGTTCCTTCCAAACAACTCAACTTTGGTTTCATCTGTCCACAGAACATCCAGGTGCTCTTTTGCAAACTTCAAACGTGCAGCAATGTTTTTTCTGGACAGCAGTGGCTTCCTCCGTGGTGTCCTCCGTGGCTTCCTCCGTGGTGTCCTCCGTGGCTTCCTCCGTGGTGTCCTCCCATGAACTCCATTCAGTGTTTTACGTATCGTAGATTCGTCAACAGAGATGTTAGCATGTGCCAGAGATTTCTTTAAGTCTCTAGCTGACACTCTAGGATTCTTCTTCACCTCATTGAGCATCCTGCGCTGTGCTCTTGAGTCATCTTTACAGGACGGCCACTCCTAGGGAGAGTAGCAACAGTGCTGCACTTTCTCCATGTATAGACAATGTGTCTGGACTGATGAACATCAAGGCTTTGAGAGATAGTTTTGTAACCAGCTTTATGCAAGTCAACAATTCTGAATGGTAGGTCTTCTGAGAGCTCTTCTGTGCGAGGCATGGTTCACATCTGGCAATGCTTCTTAAGAATAGCTCATTCAAAACTGGTGTGTATTTTTTATAGGGCAGCTTTAACCAACACCTCCAATCTTGTCTCATTGATTGGACTCCTGACTCCAATTAGCTCTTGAAGAAGTCTTTAGCCTAGGGGTTCACATACTTGTTCCACTGTGAATGTTTACATGGTGTGTTCAATAAAAACATGAAAATATATCATTGTTTGTGTGGTATTAGTTTAAGCAGACTGTGTTTATCTATTGTTGTGACTCAGATGAAGATCAGAACACATTTTATGACCAACTTATGCAGAAATCCAGGTCATTCCAAAGGGTTCACATACTTTTTCTTGCAACTGTATGTAATGTGCAAAAAGAGACAGGAAGTTAAGAGGAACAAGGAAGGAAATAGACAAATACAGTTACATGAAAAGCAGATTTGAAATACTGAATGATAGCTTTCTGTATTAGGAATATCTGATAGCATTACACTTAGTGATTAGTTTAAACCAGATATATTGACACCACTATTACACATAGCCTGTGTTTGAAGCAAATGCAAGTAATTTAAGTAATTTTAAGTACAAAATCTCTGCATGGGTGTGAGAGAACCGGAGAGAAATGTAGAACACTTCTGCAAGATTTGGAAGCAGAAAAGCAGACTTTGTAATGCTTATATGTGAAGAATTATCCAGTGTCTAATGGTAAAAAGACAAAGCATTATTGCCGTGGCAGCAGAGAAAGATAACAAAGCTTCTGACTTGTAGAAGCACAATTATATCCAAAACAACTTGGTATGACTAAGAACAAAATGCGGAAAGCTAGGAATATCACTTGTTAGTTTAAATGATGCCTAAACATCTGACACTCATTCATTTCATTCCTCTGACGTAATCAAGTATTTCCTTTCTTGAAATAAACCTAATTTGTCACTCAAAACGTCTTGTACCAATCATCGTTTGACTGTGAACACGTATAGCTCTCCTGTTGTGAAATACCATACTTACCGGCTTTCTACTTCTCACATGTTGAACCCAAATACCTGTACTTTCTACTTCTTACATGTTGAACCCAATACCTGTACTTTCTACTTCTTACATGTTGAACTCAAATACCTGTACTTTCTACTTCTTACATGTTGAACTCAAATACCTGGACTTTCTACTTCTTACATTGTTGAACCCAAATACCTGTACTTTTCTACTTCTTACATGTTGAACTCAAATACCTGTACTTTCTACTTCTTACATGTTGAACCCAAATACCTGTACTTTCTACTTCTTACATGTTGAACTCAAATACCTGTACTTTCTACTTCTTACATGTTGAACTCAAATACCTGTACTTTCTACTTCTTACATGTTGAACCCAAATACCTGTACTTTCTACTTCTTACATGTTGAACACAAATACCTGTACTTTCTACTTCTTACATGTTGAACTCAAATACCTGTACTTTCTACTTCTTACATGTTGAACCCAAATACCTGTACTTTCTACTTCTTACATGTTGAACCCAAATACCTGTACTTTCTACTTCTTACATGCCAATCTACTTTCTATACATGTGTGAACCCAAATACCTGAACTTTCTACTTCTTACATGTTGAACTCAAATACCTGTACTTTCTACTTCTTACATGTTGAACTCAAATACCTGTACTTTCTACTTCTTACATGTTGAACACAAATACCTGTACTTTCTACTTCTTACGATTGAACTCAAATACCTTTACTTTCTACTTCTTACATGTTGAACTCAAATACCTGTACTTTCTACTTCTCACATGTTGAACTCAAATACCTGTACTTTCTACTTCTCACATGTTTGAACCAAATACCTGTACTTTCTACTTCTTACATGTTGAACCCAAATACCTGAACTTTCTACTTCTTACATGTTGAACCCAAATACCTGAACTTTCTACTTCTTACATGTTGAACCCAAATACCTGTACTTTCTACTTCTCACATGTTGAACTCAAATACCTGTACTTTCTACTTCTTACATGTTGAACTCAAATACCTGTACTTTCTACTTCTCACATGTTGAACTCAAATACCTGTACTTTCTACTTCTTACATGTTGAACACAAATACCTGAACTTTCTACTTCTCACATGTTGAACCCAAATACCTGTACTTTCTACTTCTCACATGTTGAACTCAAATACCTGTACTTTCTACTTCTCACATGTTGAACCCAAATACCTGTACTTTCTACTTCTCACATGTTGAACCCAAATACCTGTACTTTCTACTTCTTACATGTTGAACACAAATACCTGTACTTTCTACTTCTCACATGTTGAACCCAAATACCTGTACTTTCTACTTCTTACATGTTGAACCCAAATACCTGTACTTTCTACTTCTTACATGTTGAACCCAAATACCTGTACTTTCTACTTCTTACATGTTGAACACAAATACCTGTACTTTCTACTTCTTACATGTTGAACACAAATACCTGTACTTTCTACTTCTCACATGTTGAACCCAAATACCTGTACTTTCTACTTCTTACATGTTGAACCCAAATACCTGTACTTTCTACTTCTTACATGTTGAACCCAAATACCTGTACTTTCTACTTCTTACATGTTGAACACAAATACCTGTACTTTCTACTTCTTACATGTTGAACCCAAATACCTGTACTTTCTACTTCTTACATGTTGAACACAAATACCTGTACTTTCTACTTCTTACATGTTGAACACAAATACCTGTACTTTCTACTTCTCACATGTTGAACCCAAATACCTGTACTTTCTACTTCTTACATGTTGAAACCCAAATACCTGTACTTTCTACTTCTTACATGTTGAACCCAAATACCTGTACTTTCTACTTCTTACATGTTGAACTCAAATACCTGTACTTTCTACTTCTTACATGTTGAACACAAATACCTGTACTTTCTACTTCTTACATGTTGAACACAAATACCTGTACTTTCTACTTCTCACATGTTGAACCCAAATACCTGTACTTTCTACTTCTTACATGTTGAACACAAATACCTGTACTTTCTACTTCTTACATGTTGAACACAATACCTGTACTTTCTACTTCTTACATGTTGAACACAAATACCTGTACTTTCTACTTCTCACATGTTGAACCCAAATACCTGTACTTTCTACTTCTTACATGTTGAACACAAATACCTGTACTTTCTACTTCTTACATGTTGAACACAAATACCTGTACTTTCTACTTCTCACATGTTGAACTCAAATACCTGTACTTTCTACTTCTTACATGTTGAACTCAAATACCTGTACTTTCTACTTCTCACATGTTGAACTCAAATACCTGTACTTTCTACTTCTTACATGTTGAACCCAAATACCTGTACTTTCTACTTCTCACATGTTGAACCCAAATACCTGTACTTTCTACTTCTTACATGTTGAACCCAAATACCTGTACTTTCTACTTCTTACATGTTGAACCCAAATACCTGTACTTTCTACTTCTTACATGTTGAACTCAAATACCTGTACTTTCTACTTCTTACATGTTGAACCCAAATACCTGTACTTTCTACTTCTCACATGTTGAACCCAAATACCTGTACTTTCTACTTCTTACATGTTGAACCCAAATACCTGTACTTTCTACTTCTTACATGTTGAACCCAAATACCTGTACTTTCTACTTCTTACATGTTGAACCCAAATACCTGTACTTTCTACTTCTTACATGTTGAACCCAAATACCTGTACTTTCTACTTCTTACATGTTGAACCCAAATACCTATACTTTCTACTTCTTACATGTTGAACCCAAATACCTGTACTTTCTACTTCTTACATGTTGAACACAAATACCTGTACTTTCTACTTCTTACATGTTGAACTCAAATACCTGTACTTTCTACTTCTTACATGTTGAACTCAAATACCTGTACTTTCTACTTCTTACATGTTGAACTCAAATACCTGTACTTTCTACTTCTCACATGTTGAACTCAAATACCTGTACTTTCTACTTCTTACATGTTGAACTCAAATACCTGTACTTTCTACTTCTCACATGTTGAACACAAATACCTGTACTTTCTACTTCTTACATGTTGAACCCAAATACCTGTACTTTCTACTTCTTACATGTTGAACACAAATACCTGTACTTTCTACTTCTTACATGTTGAACACAAATACCTGTACTTTCTACTTCTTACATGTTGAACCCAAATACCTGTACTTTCTACTTCTTACATGTTGAACACAAATACCTGTACTTTCTACTTCTTACATGTTGAACACAAATACCTGTACTTTCTACTTCTTACATGTTGAACTCAAATACCTGTACTTTCTACTTCTTACATGTTGAACTCAAATACCTGTACTTTCTACTTCTCACATGTTGAACACAAATACCTGTACTTTCTACTTCTTACATGTTGAACACAAATACCTGTACTTTCTACTTCTTACATGTTGAACCCAAATACCTGTACTTTCTACTTCTTACATGTTGAACACAAATACCTGTACTTTCTACTTCTTACATGTTGAACACAAATACCTGTACTTTCTACTTCTTACATGTTGAACTCAAATACCTGTACTTTCTACTTCTTACATGTTGAACTCAAATACCTGTACTTTCTACTTCTCACATGTTGAACACAAATACCTGTACTTTCTACTTCTTACATGTTGAACACAAATACCTGTACTTTCTACTTCTTACATGTTGAACCCAAATACCTGTACTTTCTACTTCTTACATGTTGAACACAAATACCTGTACTTTCTACTTCTTACATGTTGAACCCAAATACCTGTACTTTCTACTTCTTACATGTTGAACCCAAATACCTGTACTTTCTACTTCTTACATGTTGAACACAAATACCTGTACTTTCTACTTCTCTCATTTTCCAAACAGCTGGTTCCTTTAGTCTGAATGTGTGTTTGGTGCGTGATCATTATTCTTTAGAGTCATTGCGTGCCTATTGATTTGAACACGATCCGTGTATCCATCATTTCCTGGTCTTCTCTAAAGAAGAGGGACCAATGGAAACGTTGTCATGTTGCCGTTGTTCAGCATGGAAACATTCATTAGCTAACAATTACATTATTGTTCTATTGATATAAAGGGAGGTCAGGTACTCTTTTAAAACAGCTGCTAGTTATGGGTACTTTTTACTGAAGTACACTTCAAAGCCTCTTTACTTTCACTTGAGTAAAGAAGTTTAGTCAGTACTTCTACTTTTACCAGAACACGAGTATCTCTACTTCTACTTGAGTACAGGATGTGTGTACTTTTGCCCTCTCTGCTTAATGCACCTGAATCGCCCTCCAGATATAATTAAACATCTATTGTATCTTATCTAATTCCCCCCTGTATGAGTACCCACCCTGCAGGCGCCACACTGCCAGTGCGAGCCTCCGTCTTTGGGCTTGAACTCGTCCGGCAGACACTTGAGATGGTAGACTCTGAAGCAGTTGTCACACTCGAGCACGTCTCCCGGGAGGTGGCACTCGAAGCAGTACCAGTCGTGGCTCTCTGCCTCCCATTCCTGCTGAGGAGACACAGCAGAGAAACATCTGGTGACCCCTTCCCCCCACTCCGACCTCAGACACAGCAGGGGGGGGGGGGGGGGGACAAGACCTTAAAGTCCTCCATCTTTAACAGAAACTAGATGTTGAGAATTGTACTCAGGGTGTCGGGGGTTTGATGTTGGATCCCACGCCTCTAAACTCATCTGGAAACAAAGTCTATATGGCCTGCACTCCCAAGATTTAAAACTAAAGTGAGAACAGAACTAGGTAAACAAGCTTTTAGATATGCTGCCCCTTCTGCTTGGAATAATGTACAGAAGGAGCTGAAACTCTCAGATTTGATCAAGTCCATCTTAAAGGACAGAGAACAAGAAACCATTGGTCGATGTGATTGCTCTTATATCCCCTAATTCAAGTCGTTTTAAAATGGTGCTTGTTTTAAATGTTTTATAACAGTGCATTGTATTTGCCTATTGACTGGTTAGTCATTAGTGTTTTACAGCTGTATGTATTGTGTTCATTTGTTGTAACTTTGTTCATGCTGCCCTCTTGGCCAGGTCGTTCTTTAAAGAAGAGAGACCTTAATCTCAATGAGGCTTTTACCTGGTTGAATAAAGGATATATATGGATGCATTTGATTGAAATTGTTCTTAATTTGCCTGCATTTTTTTATTTGTTTTGACCAAAAAAAACAGATTTCCTCTGATTAATAAGATTGTGTTTGAAGTACCAGGTTAAATTAAAGGAGATAAGTTCAAAAAGACCCTCGAGACACAGCAGAGGGGAAGACAAGACCTTAAAGTCCTCTATCTTTAAGGGAAACTACATCTGAGGCGAACAGGTTTTAGGAGGATTGGACTCTGGGTGTCGGGGGGTTTCAGGTTCGTTCAAAAGCTCTATAATTAACAGCTTCACTCGAGAAATGATCTGGATGAGTTTGATTCAATTGTTCTTAATTCGTCCGCATTTTTAAGATCGTGTTTGAAGTACCAGGTTAAATCAAAAGGTGAAAAGTCTCCGAGATGAACTGAGGATTGTAAACTTCTTAGCACTCCTTGTTTTTTGTATTTTTCTTTCTGCCCCTCGATGTGAATGTGGAAGTGAACTTAGAGTAATATAGTATTTAATAAACGGTGGTGGTTTTGGTGGAGCACACCATGAAAGTGGGGGTGAAACAAAAGGCCAAATCGTTTCTGTTCCGAGCTGCTAAGAAGTAAAGGATCTTCTGTTCTGCTTTTCTAAATCATTGTAAATATATCTAACCCAAGCCGTGTTCAGATGCAACCAGCAGCTTTGGGAATTTGTGACTTTCTGGCCAATCAAATACTTAATTACTCAAATTCCCGTCATCATGGTCAGATTAAACCCACTCAAACCAGTCCATGTGAAGTGAAACCGCTGAACTTTAAAGGGGTAACTTAACTGTGCAGATCCATCCACAGATTCCTGAAAAGGTGCATCTACTTTTTGGAGCGTAACAGCCTCTTCTCACCCACACAAACACTTGACAAAATAGAAAATGGAGCTCGTGTTCTGTCCAATGTCAAGAGTCACTTCACTAAGACTTCAAAAAGGCTGCAGCTCTCTGAGCCAAGCACAGAAGAAGTGGAGAGAATTGGGACCCAAGCCAAAAACAGATATTACAGATGTTTGAAACAATAACAAAACATATGAATGTCTTCCAAAAGGGTTCAACCAAAGCACCATGTGAAGAAATCTGATGAAAAAGGCAGAACATTAGGGGTGCATGATTTGGAAAAAATAACTATTTGCAATTATTTTGACCAATTTTCAGTTACGATATGGGATGGATTGATTATTTATGTATCATTATCATTGGAGGAATATATTAAAATGGTGCAATTTTGACGATGTGTACCAAATAAATGTCAGTGTTGTTAAGTGTTATGATTGGCGGGGATATCTCTGCAGCTTACAAATGATAATAATATTGCACTAGTTCATACATTTCAGCTAATTGTGCAGCCCTTTTTAAAACAAAAGCAGATATACTGTAGGAATGTCTGCTAAGACGCTGCAAATGTAAGATATTCTGGTCAAATCGGGTTGAACCAAAGCCCAAACCAGTAAAATCAGGCAGCCAAAAACTCTGCCTTTGGGTTCAAATCTCTTCTCCAAACATCTGTGAAATACCTCAGTGCTTTTTGGCGGGACAAATGGGGCTAAAAGCGGCTTGGACTTCCTGCTCTGGTTAATAAATTTGAATTTTCTAAATACCTGCACAAAAACAACCCAGAGATTCATCTCCCGTCTCTTTTAGAGGTAAACTGCATTGCTTCAAAATGACAGCAACTCGTACCCGATCAAACTTTGCAATAACAACAATACTTGAGCGATATAACCTGTGCAATTACTCAACTGTGCAATGTTCTTTTTAATTGGATTATGACTGTATGACACTGCATCTAGATTTATTATTATATATATCTCTTTATTCTTAAATGGGGCATCAGGCGAAAAAGCCCAACTTCCTCCCAGGGTAAATAAAGTCTTCTGATCCTAAAGTTTATATCCAACTTCCCCAAAAATTTAAATAAATCAAAGATAAATCATTCATTTTTTAGAAGCTTGTAGAGCACTCCGAGAAGTACAAAACAGGGTGTTAAGATGAGAACTGCATTGGTACAAGGAAATTAAATCAAATAATGTGCATTTTGGCTTTTTTTTTTACAGTTTAATATTGTTTAAAGTCAAAGTGCATCAACACATCACATCATGCTTTACAAGTGAGCACATTCATGTTAGTTTAACTCATGAAGATATAACATTCCTTCTTTAAAAAGGCAAAGGTAGGTTAAAAAGTGAGTTTATTTAGGGAAAACCTGGTTTAATCCAGTCTGAATTGAAGCAAGAGAGCATTAAAACATTAGTTTTTTGAAGACTGAGCTATTTTTAAGTGTTATGATTGGTGTTTAAGCTCCGTTATTATCTGCTTGAGGACAAAAATGATTCCTAAAAGGTCATCATGAGGACACAGTGCATGCCAGCTGGGTTTTCTCCAGGCAGCTGTCTCCATGTAGCAGCTGTTTAACTTCTTATATTTAAACTCTGTCCACTAAGTGACCGTTAACTAAACCCATCGCTGTCGGATTCAGTTCTAGCAGCAGGCATGGAAACATCACCACCACACAAACACACATCCTTCCCCCGACTCCTGTTGCATCGATTAAAAATAAAGAAATAAAAGAAACACGCATGCAAGACAGAAGAAGATCACGGTTAACACACCCCCCCCCGAGGAGAAACACTACCACACAGATGCTTGCTACCAACCTGCAGCTATGCTTACATTGCTTGTTGTGATCTCATTAACAATTTGGTGTTCAAGGTGAATTTACACTTGATATTTGACTCTGGTCGGCACCGTTTGAATGCCAAGGACTATGGAAAGCTTTGAGCTGCGCCTAGTGAGTGTCTCCATTTTTTTAAATCAAGCAAAAGCACATCTATAGATAAGTAGCGAGCACACATTTCATCAAGATCACAGAGCACTTCTACAAGATCACAGAGCACTTCTACAAGACATTTGGCTACAGAGCTGCATTGGACTTTCATGAAGCTTTTCACAGCAGAATCAAAAAAGGACAGCAGGTAGCTTCTGGCAGTGTGTTTAATATAATAAAATGGTGCAGTGAGTCAACCAGGAAGTTAGCATCGCAAGGGCTCCTTAGCGTAAAGCCAAGGGGATTGATTCATTGGATCTTTGGCTGATGCATGTTTAGGATACTTACAGGTTTTGTTCAGCAGGATCAACTTTCACGCAAATGTTCTGAATTTGAAGCGTAAATGCAATCTCCAATTGCTAATGTTGGGCTATAAAAGAACTACAGCACGGTCACATGACTTCACGTCTCCACCGCTAAGCTAAAGGTGGCTAATGTTGGGCTATAAAAGAACTACAGCACGGTCACATGACTTCACGTCACCACGCTAAGCTAAAGGAGGCTAATGTTGAGCTATAAAGGAACTACAGCACGGTCACATGACTTCACCACGCTAAGCGAAAGGCAGCTAATGTTGGGCTATAAAGGAACTACAGCACGGTCACATGACTTCACGTCTCCACCGCTAAGCTAAAGGTGGCTAATGTTGGGCTATAAAGGAACTACAGCACGGTCACATGACTTCACGTCACCACGCTAAGCTAAAGGTGGCTAATGTTGGGCTATAAAAGAACTACAGCACGGTCACATGACTTCACGTCACCACGCTAAGCTAAAGGAGGCTAATGTTGAGCTATAAAGGAACTACAGCACGGTCACATGACTTCACGTCACCACGCTAAGCTAAAGGTGGCTAATGTTGGGTGTGATGACGTTTTAGTCGTCTCATTTAGACACATGTTAACCATAAAATACATCACTAAATTCACCAGTTGGGTATTTAGTGACGTATTTTATGTCGTAGAATACAAATCTCTTCAGCTTGTGTTAACCACAGACCTTATTTTCTAACAAAAATCATGATGTAAAAACTGTTGAGACACGGGCCCCGAAGCTGTAAAACTGCTGACTCATTCCTTGGTTGAAGGACTCATTCCTGCACCACTCTTTAGGCTGTAGGCAATTCAGCTTGTGTTATAATTTGGTTTAAAGGTGCATCTCACAGGCTCACTCACAAACAGTGCAAGAATACTTTATAATTATATTTGAACACAGCCTTCAGCACTGACCAGAACAAACTGCCGTCTCAATTATTTTGCAGCCGGCACGGAAAAGATTCACTCAAATCCCAGCCTGGCTGCATGTGGCGATTTCTCACAGCTTGATGTTAGTTGGGGGGGGGGGGGGGGGGGGGGTTTGATAATAAATATTCAGCCCTTACCTTGTTTCCCTCTGCTTCCGGCTCCTGTGATTGCAAGAGATTCAGAGAGTAGTGTTTATAAGTCCGGCTGCTAAAACAAAACACCTTGATCTCCGCTGGACATTGGAGTCATGTTGTGTTTTTCTATCATATCAATTACTTCTGTTGACACTACAGCCATTCCATTCCCCAATCATCGTGTAATCGTGACACCTTGGATGCAAAGGTTTCATCTAGAAAATGTCAATAACACTGACTTTTTGTGTATAAGCATTTATCACATTAAAACTAAGAGTCCTTTCAGTTATTTCCTGCTTGATATGTCTTTCCTTTGAATCACAGATGATGCGCTTGTTTAAATATTTCGTGGTGAGACATCAACATTACTGGTATTTCATTCCTAAATCTTGCATATTTTGCCCCATTACTATTCTCTGGCTTGTAATCCCAACACCTTGGATGCTGGATTGGTATTTTCTTGGTATATACTCAATTTTAAAACAAATACAATAATCCTAGTTTCAAATAACTCAAATCACAACAGCTGTTTCTGACTTTCCTGCACTTGGATGCTTGTAGTTTTAAAGCATGACAGATACTGCGAGCATCCTCTTGCAAAAAGCACTGGGATTAAAGCATCCACCAGATACACAACGTTAAAGCCACAGTAATCCATTAAGTGCTCTTTGCGTAACACATGGTGGATTCTCCCCAGGTAGTGCTGCTCTGAAACCACTGACACATAAGAGCATCTCTAGCAGTGAACTAGCAGGGGAAATAAGACGGAATTACAGCAGGGCGTTCACATGAGAAGAATCAAAAAAGTTAATATCACATCTCTCACAGAGGAGGGATGCTCGAGCACACAAGCAGGGAACTAAAGAGTCCTCATCTTAATCATTCTTGATCTCTCTCTGTGTGTGTGTGTGTGTGTGTGTGTGTGTGTGTGTGTGTGTGTGTGTGTGTGGGGTGTGTGTGTGTGTGTGTTTTAACACTGTGTTCACACTGCGAGCAACTCGACAGATGGACGGCTTCGTGACATAATCTGTGAGCTCGTCTCAAATATGGAACTTGATGCAAATGACTGAAACTGTGTAAACTAAAAGGACTAGTTTCTCGTTATTAGCAGAGAGAGAGAGTCTGTTTATTATCAGGACATTAGGGCTTTTTCATTCATTAATATCGCTTTCTTCTCGTCATGCATCTCAGTTTATAAAGACATTAATAAAGGGAAGCAGTATTTTGGAAGTGAACTATCAAAAAACGTAAGCTATTAATAAAAACTGACATCCGATTGATTAAGTGACATAAGCAGCTATTCTACAAGACTTTTAGTATAATTGCAATCATTAAAGGAGCCGTCTACAATTAGTCAATTAACCAATTAGTCGATCAAGTAATTTTTAAAGCAGAAATGTCTAACTTTCTCCGGTGGGATATCAGAAGTTTCTCTCATATTAAATGACTAGTTTTTAGTACCTTTCTGGTTTAAAAGAATCTCATCGAGTTTAGGAAACTGTTAGAGGCATTTTTCAGTGACGTTTTATTATGCAAAAGTATTAGATAATTCAAGACGATACGAAGCAGACGAGCCTCAACCGTTACTGTCTATTTTAACAGTTGAGCTTTGATTGGCTAGAATAATATTTCTGGTTTTGAAAGCTTCTACTGCATCTTACAACTAAAGCCCATCAATTGGAAAACAATTAAGAAGACCAGTAAAAGCTAACAGTTGTTCATATTCAGCAGGAAATGTTGGACTTCCAGTGATTTCTCCAAAGTGTTGCTCACAGTGTGAACACAGACACACACCAAGTAAATATCAGACATACAAATTGTGAATCTGATCTTTTTGGGGATCAGTAACACATACTCGAGAAATGATTCCCTGTTCAGTCTGCTTTAGTGAATGTTACTTTGATTGTTGTGCTTTTATGCATGTCTTAATGTGTGCATGTGTATAAATGTGTCTGTTGATTGTGTATATTAGTGTTGCACGGTGTACCGATACTTGAAAGGTACCGCGATACCCTGCCGTTAAAAACGGTACGATTCCTCCGTTTCATTAGTATCGGTACTTTAAGAATGACGGGAAAAGTACTCCGGTGAGAAAGCGCCGTTTTAATAAGAGCCGTGTGTGTTCAGCGCTCTGCTTTCACTCCCTGCACTGCAGCCGTGCCTGCAGTCCCGCCCCTCTCAAGCACGCTCTAAGTCCCTCCCCTCTCTCGTGCACACTCTAAGTCCCTCCCCTCTCTCGTGAAACGCTCTAAGTCCCTCCCCTCTCTCGTGCACGCTCTAAGTCCCGCCCCTCTCAAGCACGCTCTAAGTCCCTCCCCTCTCAAGCATGCTCTAGTCCCCCTCCCCTCTCTCGTGCCGCTCTAAAGTCCCTCCCCTCTCTCGTGCACGCTCTAAGTCCCTCCCCTCTCAAGCACGCTCTAAGTCCCTCCCCTCTCTCGTGCACGCTCTAAAGTCCCTCCCCTCTCTCAAGCACGCTCTAAGTGCCTCCCCTCTCTCGTGCACGCTCTGGCTGCCAGAGCATGTGAGAAAGCGAGAAGCACGGCTGCAAGTGGGAGTGCAGCTGCCGCTGGGCCTCGGCTTGTTTACAAAAAAGACGCCAGAAGCGAAGTATTTGAGCGATATCTCTGACAGTGAGGGCAAGCCTACGGACACCACGAGGCCTGTCTGTAGGCATTTATTAATTTAGTTTAATACGAATTATTGTCATTTATTTTATTTATTGTTCTCATTGTTTAAAAGTGTGTGTTCTGGTTCTGGTGTGAAATAAAGCACAATAATTACATTTAAGACTGTTTCCCTTTTTTTAAGAAAAGTATCGAAAAATAATCGGAATCGCAATTCTTGACTTGGTATCGGTATCGAAACTAAAATGTTGGTATCGTGACAACACTAGTGTATATATATATTTGGATTGTGGGAACAGTATTTCGACCTGTCTGTACACACAAACTGAAAGATTGACGATAAAGTTGACTTTGACTTTTGAGGAAAAACACCAAACGTTGTGTAGTTCCTGCTTCTTAAATGTTGAGTTTCTAATGCTTTTCAGTGTATTCGTAAATGTATTTGTCGTGGGTTTGGGAGTATTGGTTGTATAAAACCAGCAGTCTGAAACCCAATGAAGGTGTTTTCCATAGTTGAGCTCACCATCTCGTCCCCGGGCAGCCAGTATCCCTCCTGCTCGATGCCGGCCTTCGATCCTTTGTATCCGACGGTCAGCGTCTCCACCACCAGCCCGTCCTTCACCGCCAGGCTCAGCTGCCGCGCCGTCTCCTTCGGGTGCATCCCGAACATCCGGCTCAGGTACCTGGACGGCAGGTGAGGAGGAGGATTTGAGTTATGTGCAAACAGTTAATACATTATTTGAATGGTTACAAAATATGCTTTAAAGTTTACATCATTGAAACCAGGGCGGCACAATATTAAACCATTTGGTCTACTGCATTTTATGTCTTTTACTTTTATCAGCAGGAGAGGACTCTTTAAAGTAGAGACACTACATACTGATATACACCTGAATATCAGCAAGAGAGGACTCTTTAAAGTAGAGACACTACATGCTGATATACACCTGAACATCAGCAGCAGAGGACTCTTTAAAATAGAGACACTACATACTGATATACAACTGAATATCAGCAGGAGAGGACTCTTTAAAGTAGAGACACTACATACTGATATACACCTGAACATCAGCAGGAGAGGACTCTTTAAAGTAGAGACACTACATACTGATATACACCTGAACATCAGCAGGAGAGGACTCTTTAAAGTAGAGACACTACATACTGATATACACCTGAACATCAGCAGGAGAGGACTCTTTAAAGTAGAGACACTACATACTGATACCTGAACATCAGCAGGAGAGGACTCTTTAAAGTAGAGACACTACATACTGATATACACCTGAACATCAGCAGGAGAGGACTCTTTAAAGTAGAGACACTACATACTGATACCTGAACATCAGCAGGAGAGGACTCTTTAAAGTAGAGACACTACATACTGATATACACCTGAACATCAGCAGGAAAGGACTCTTTAAAGTAGAGACACTACATACTGATATACACCTGAACATCAGCAGGAGAGGACTCTTTAAAGTAGAGACACTACATGCTGATATACACCTGAACATCAGCAGGAGAGGACTCTTTAAAGTAGAGACACTACATACTGATATACACCTGAACATCAGCAGCAGAGGACTCTTTAAAGTAGAGACGCTACATACTGATATACACCTGAACATCAGCAGGAGAGCACTCTTTAAAGTAGAGACACTACATACTGATATACACCTGAACATCAGCAGCAGAGGACTCTTTAAAGTAGAGACGCTACATACTGATATACACCTGAACATTAGCAGGAGAGGACTCTTTAAAGTAGAGACACTACATACTGATATACACCTGAATATCAGCAGGAGAGGACTCTTTAAAGTAGAGACACTACATACTGATATACACCTGAACATCAGCAGGAGAGGACTCTTTAAAGTAGAGACACTACATGCTGATATACACCTGAACATCAGCAGGAGAGGACTCTTTAAAGTAGAGACACTACATACTGATATACACCTGAACATCAGCAGCAGAGGACTCTTTAAAGTAGAGACGCTACATACTGATATACACCTGAACATCAGCAGGAGAGCACTCTTTAAAGTAGAGACACTACATACTGATATACACCTGAACATCAGCAGCAGAGGACTCTTTAAAGTAGAGACGCTACATACTGATATACACCTGAACATTAGCAGGAGAGGACTCTTTAAAGTAGAGACACTACATACTGATATACACCTGAACATCAGCAGGAGAGGACTCTTTAAAGTAGAGACACTACATACTGATATACACCTGAATATCAGCAGGAGAGGACTCTTTAAAGTAGAGACACTACATACTGATATACACCTGAACATCAGCAGGAGAGGACTCTTTAAAGTAGAGACACTACATACTGATATACACCTGAACATCAGCAGGAGAGGACTCTTTAAAGTAGAGACACTACATACTAATATACACCTGAACATCAGCAGGAGAGGACTCTTTAAAGTAGAGACACTACATACTGATATACACCTGAACATCAGCAGGAGAGGACTCTTTAAAGTAGAGACACTACATACTTATATCCACCTGAACATCAGCAGGAGAGGACTCTTTAAAGTAGAGACACTACATACTGATATACACCTGAACATCAGCAGGAGAGGACTCTTTAAAGTAGAGACACTACATACCGATATACACCTGAACATCAGCAGGAGAGGACTCTTTAAAGTAGAGACACTACATACTAATATACACCTGAACATCAGCAGGAGAGCACTCTTTAAAGTAGAGACACTACATACTGATATACACCTGAACATCAGCAGGAGAGGACTCTTTAAAGTAGAGACACTACATACTGATATCCACCTGAACATCAGCAGGAGAGGACTCTTTAAAGTAGAGACACTATATACTGATATACACTTGAACATCAGCAGGAGAGGACTCTTTAAAGTAGAGACACTACATACTGATATACACTTGAACATCAGCAGGAGAGGACTCTTTAAAGTAGAGACACTACATACTGATATACACCTGAACATCAGCAGCAGAGGACTCTTTAAAATAGAGACACTACATACTGATATACACCTGAATATCAGCAGCAGAGGACTCTTTAAAATAGAGACACTACATACTGATATACACCTGAATATCAGCAGCAGAGGACTCTTTAAAATAGAGACACTACATACTGATATACACCTGAACATCAGCAGGAGAGGACTCTTTAAAGTAGAGACACTACATACTGATATACACCTGAATATCAGCAGGAGAGGACTCTTTAAAGTAGAGACACTACATACTGATATACACCTGAACATCAGCAGGAGAGGACTCTTTAAAGTAGATACACTACATACTGATATACACCTGAACATCAGCAGGAGAGGACTCTTTAAAGTAGAGACACTATATACTGATATACACTTGAACATCAGCAGGAGAGGACTCTTTAAAGTAGAGACACTACATACTGATATACACCTGAACATCAGCAGGAGAGGACTCTTTAAAGTAGAGACACTACATACTGATATACACCTGAACATCAGCAGGAGAGGACTCTTTAAAGTAGAGACACTACATACTGATATACACCTGAACATCAGCAGGAGAGGACTCTTTAAAGTAGAGACACTACATACTGATATACACCTGAACATCAGCAGGAGAGGACTCTTTAAAGTAGAGACACTACATACTGATATACACCTGAACATCAGCAGGAGAGGACTCTTTAAAGTAGAGACACGACATACTGATATACACCTGAACATCAGCACTGTTGATAAAATAAAACCATATTTCTCATCAGTTTCCTCTTGTAATGCTTGCAAACAATTTTAAATAATGTCCTACAGCTTGATTGCACAGACTGGCAGTGAAGCTCTGAGCTGAGGTCATGTATCCTCGACTGACAGCCAATGAGGAGAATACGTCAGGTGAGTGTGTGTTTACTCCTGACTGACAAAGAACAGGCGTATTGTGTGTCTGTGAGGTGAGCACCTGTCAGACACCATGACTTAAACCAGTATGATTTTAAAATCAAAGTAACAGGAAATCCAAACATCCACAAAAAGCAAAAAAGGGCTTTTAAATATCTCTCTCTTACTACCGTCAACTGCAAATGTATATCTGGTTGTTTGTTACACGTGATTGGTAACTAAATATCTCATAACACATCAAATGTCAGTCTCTTGTCAGTAAGTAGTTGAACAATAAATGTCCAAATAGCAAATTTTCCCGACTTCCAAAACCCGAAGATATTTTGTTCGAAATAATAATATAAAACAGAGAAAATTATTAAAAACATACACTTTTATATATTATTTTTGTTAATAAATTCATGATTAAATGGCTGTCAAACCATACAAAATGTCATCCCAATTCATTTAAAAATGTCCAACTGTCCTTGAACGAGTCTGTGAGAAATGTAGTAATCCAATGACATTTCTCACGGACAGTTCAAGGACAGAATGAAATGTCATTTCTGACATTTCATTCTGTGTATTTTATTAAGATAACTTGTTGTTCGTTCACCTCTTTTCAGTAGGGAAAACATTAGGAGAAATGTTGCTCTACAAACGCCCTTCTAGTTTGGACTATAACACGTAAATGAATTTCACAGTTGGTCAAACACACACTCCAGGTTTTGTTAATTATCAAAAAGCCTCGTTAATGATTAAGTGACTGGTTTCAAAAAGCCAGACTAATGTGTCTCAATGATTAAATATCCATCATGTGAGAGAGTTAATTATGTGTACGCTGCCTCACTGACTTCATTCTGATCAATAGGGCCACTTCTTAATACCAATCAGCAGTGCTAAACATGTAAATATTTCCTGCACACTAACAGTTACCTATTTTATATTTACAACCATGACTATATAGTTAGATTTTAAAGAAAAAAAAATCCACTTTTTATTTTATAATCACAACATAATTTTCCACCATTTCAAAGTCACCTCCCTCTTTACCACAAAAATATAGTTTGGAGAAATTAAGCTAAGTGTGTGTGTGTGTGTGTGTGTGTGTGTGTGTGTTTGTGTGTGTGTGCGTGCGCCGCTGCTTGCTGTTGCCATGACAACAGCCACTCGTTGTCAGGTACTGTTTTTGGCTACGAGAAGCGCTAAATGTCTCGTTTGGCCTAATGGTGATCTGTCGTCTGTCATTGTGGGAAAAACTAAACATCACCACCACACAAACACACATCCTTCCCCCGACTCCTGTTGCATCGATTAAAAATAAATAAATAAAAGAAACACGCATGCAAGACAGAAGAAGATCACGGTTAACACACCCCCCCCTGAGGAGAAACACTACCACACAGATGCTTGCTACCAACCTGCAGCTATGCTTACATTGCTTGTTGTGATCTCATTAACAATTTGGTGTTCAAGGTGAATTTACACTTGATATTTGACTCTGGTCGGCACCGTTTGAATGCCAAGGACTATGGAAAGCTTTGAGCTGCGCCTAGTGAGTGTCTCCATTTTTTTAAATCAAGCAAAAGCACATCTATAGATAAGTAGCGAGCACACATTTCATCAAGATCACAGAGCACTTCTACAAGATCACAGAGCACTTCTACAAGACATTTGGCTACAGAGCTGCATTGGACTTTCATGAAGCTTTTCACAGCAGAATCAAAAAAGGACAGCAGGTAGCTTCTGGCAGTGTGTTTAATATAATAAAATGGTGCAGTGAGTCAACCAGGAAGTTAGCATCGCAAGGGCTCCTTAGCGTAAAGCCAAGGGGATTGATTCATTGGATCTTTGGCTGACGCATGTTTAGGATACTTACAGGTTTTGTTCTGCAGGATCAACTTTCACACAAATGTTCTGAATTTGAAGCGTAAATGCAATCTCCAATTGCTAATGTTGGGCTATAAAAGAACTACAGCACGGTCACATGACTTCACGTCTCCACCGCTAAGCTAAAGGTGGCTAATGTTGGGCTATAAAAGAACTACAGCACGGTCACATGACTTCACGTCACCACCGCTAAGCTAAAGGAGGCTAATGTTGGGCTATAAAGGAACTACAGCACGGTCACATGACTTCACGTCACCACGCTAAGCTAAAGGAGACTAATGTTGGGCTATAAAGGAACTACAGCACGGTCACATGACTTCACGTCACCACCGCTAAGCTAAAGGAGGCTAATGTTGGGCTATAAAGGAACTACAGCACGGTCACATGACTTTACGTCCCCACCGCTAAGCTAAAGGAGGCTAATGTTGGGCTATAAAGGAACTACAGCACGGTCACATGACTTCACTTCACCACCGCTAAGCTAAAGGAGGCTAATGTTGGGCTATAAAGGAACTACAGCACGGTCACATGACTTTACGTCCCCACCGCTAAGCTAAAGGAGGCTAATGTTGGGCTATAAAGGAACTACAGCACGGTCACATGACTTCACGTCACCACCGCTAAGCTAAAGGAGGCTAATGTTGGGCTATAAAGGAACTACAGCACGGTCACATGACTTCACGTCACCACCGCTAAGCTAAAGGAGGCTAATGTTGGGCTATAAAGGAACTACAGCACGGTCACATGACTTCACGTCACCACCGCTAAGCTAAAGGAGGCTAATGTTGGGCTATAAAGGAACTACAGCACGGTCACATGACTTCACGTCACCACTGCTAAGCTAAAGGCGGCTAATGTTGGGTGTGATGACGTTTTAGTAGTAGATTTCACTCCACAGATCAAATAATAATTATGATGTTTAAGATGTAAAACGTGATTATATGGGGGTTATTGAGGATGCCGAATTCATTTATGACATTTAAAGGATGCAAAAAAAAGCTTATTTAATGAGAAATTGGGCATTTTTTGTACTACCATTGGGCTGATTTTGATTAGTTTTTAAGTCGTTTTTTTAAGTTTTAGAGGACACTTTATCAGTTGGATTGGACATACAGCACATTTTAACTTAAATATTAAGGGTTAACTTCAACTCTGTTAAACGTTGTAGAATATTTCTGATCACAAGAATCCAAATAGTGCACAACACGTACATTTTTATTAACGGTCCAGTATACTCTTGAGTTCAAAATTGGATATAAGAAAGGCAAGTTTACCAAAACAATATGGCTATGGCTAAAACAACAAATCCATAAAAAGGCAGAAGAAATAATTTTTTAAAAGTACAATTGTTCAACCTAACCTGATGGGGGGAAATAAACGTGTAGCTTCTACTTAGAGAGAAATATAAGGTTCATGGTGAGAGTGGCAGTGAGCGAGTAAATCCAGAAGCTGTCAATCACTATTGATCGCTGATATGGAGTCATATCAAGCCTCAAGCACGTTAATTGATTAGTCAATCAACTGAGAATTCATCAGCAAATCTGTAGTGATTTACTCAAAAGGAAAGACACCAAACATCGTGTAGTTTCTGCTTCTCAAACGTTGAGTTTTTAACGCTTTTCTGTGTTTGTAAATGTATTTTTTGTGGGTTTGGGAGAATTGATTGGACAAAAACAGCAGTTTGAAAACCCAATTCCGGTGTTTTCCATAGTTGTGTCTAAAGCAAACTATGAGTTTTTCCATCACCAGCAGATTTAGAATGGTCTTTATTTATGATTAGGGTTTGCCCTCTAGATTTTTCCTGTAAAATGTTAAAGTGAGGCCAGAAAACAATATTTCTGTTCGTCAAAACCGGTATAATTACTCCAGAAATATGAGTATCAAACAGAGGGTCAGACGGCTTCAAGTAAAGGCATGTTTGTGTTTCCCCCTCAGGTCATCAGCGTGTTGAATTCAATCCCTTGAACCTCTGTGAGTGGTGAATACCTCGCTTAAGGACATGTAAGAAGCCGATCTATACAAGAGTTTGATAGGTTAAAGACACCTTCAGGACAAAATCCCTCACAAAAAACCCTTGCATTTTCACCTCTACTTCTTGAAAAAGGTATGTACTTAGTAGATCCACACCTCTGCATTGCCTCTCGCTTCATGCTGAGCGGTCCCAGAATAACCTGGACGCTGTTTCCAGAAAGCGCACAATGTCCCCTTTCAGTGCTGGGAACACTATAAACAAAATCCCATTCACCTCATCTGAACTGGCGCGGACAAATACAACTCACAGCTACCTGCATGTTTAGTTAGTTAGTGAGTTAGTTAGTTAGTGAGTTAGTTAGTGAGTTAGTGAGTTAGTGAGTTATTGAGTTGGTGAGTTGGTTAGTGGGTGAGTTAGTGGGTGAGTTAGTGAGTTAGTGAGTGGGTGAGTTAGTGGGTGAGTTAGTGGGTGAGTTAGTGGGTGAGTTAGTGAGTTAGTGAGTTAGTGGGTGAGTTAGTGGGTGAGTTAGTGAGTTGGTGAGTTAGTGGGTGAGTTAGTGGGTGAGTTAGTGGGTGAGTTAGTGGGTGGGTGAGTTAGTGGGTGGGTGAGTTAGTTAGTGGGTGAGTTAGTGAGTGGTGAGTTAGTTAGTGGGTGAGTTAGTTAGTGGGTGAGTGAGTGGGTGAGTTAGTGGGTGGGTGGGTGAGTTAGTGGGTGAGTTGGTGGGTGAGTTAGTGGGTGAGTTAGTGGGTGAGTTAGTGTGAGTTAGTGGGTGGTTAGTGGGTGAGTTAGTGGGTGAGTTAGTGGGTGAGTTAGTGGGTGAGTTAGTGGGTGAGTTAGTGGGTGAGTTAGTGAGTGGTGAGTTGGTGAGTTAGTTAGTGGGTGAGTTAGTGAGTTAGTGGGTGGGTGAGTTAGTGGGTGAGTTAGTGGGTGAGTTAGTGGGTGAGTTAGTGAGTGGGTGAGTTAGTGGGTGAGTTAGTTAGTGGGTGAGTTAGTGGGTGAGTTAGTGAGTTAGTTAGTGGGTGAGTTAGTGAGTTAGTGAGTTGGTGAGTTAGTGGGTGAGTTAGTGAGTTAGTTAGTGAGTTAGTTAGTGAGTTGGTGAGTTAGTGGGTGAGTTGGTGAGTTGGGTGAGTTAGTTAGTGGGTGAGTTAGTGGGTGAGTTAGTGAGTTGGTGAGTTAGTGGGTGAGTTAGTGAGTTAGTGAGTTGGTGAGTTAGTGGGTGAGTTAGTGAGTTAGTTAGTGAGTTAGTTAGTGAGTTAGTGGGTGAGTTAGTGGGTGAGTTAGTGAGTTAGTTGGTGAGTTAGTGGGTGAGTTAGTGAGTGAGTGAGTTAGTGGGTGAGTTAGTTAGTTAGTGGGTGAGTTAGTGAGTGAGTGAGTTAGTGAGTGAGTGGGTGAGTTAGTTAGTTAGTGGGTGAGTTAGTGAGTTAGTTGGTGAGTGAGTGAGTGAGTGAGTGAGTTAGTGAGTTAGTGGGTGAGTTAGTTGGTGAGTGAGTGAGTGAGTGAGTGAGTGAGTTAGTGAGTTAGTGGGTGAGTTAGTGAGTTAGTGAGTTAGTGAGTTAGTGAGTTGGTGAGTTAGTGAGTTGGTGAGTTAGTTAGTGGGTGAGTTAGTTAGTGGGTGAGTTAGTGGGTGAGTTAGTGAGTTAGTTGGTGAGTTAGTGGGTGAGTTAGTGAGTGAGTGAGTTAGTGAGTTAGTGGGTGAGTTAGTGAGTTAGTGGGTGAGTTAGTGAGTGAGTGAGTTAGTGAGTTAGTGGGTGAGTTAGTTAGTTAGTGGGTGAGTTAGTGAGTTAGTTGGTGAGTGAGTGAGTGAGTGAGTGAGTGAGTGAGTGAGTGAGTGAGTGAGTGAGTGAGTGAGTTAGTGGGTGAGTTAGTGAGTTAGTGGGTGAGTTAGTGAGTTGGTGAGTTAGTTAGTGGGTGAGTTAGTGGGTGAGTTAGTTGGTGAGTTAGTGAGTTAACCCCAAGCTGTTACAGGGTGTTTTTGCACAAAACACAAAATATATCTTATATACGTTCTGCACTACTAATTGTACAATCATGGCTAGAAGTATTGAGAACAAAAAGGAGAATAAAGTTAGTATAAATTAAATTAAATAAGATTTCTATAATATTTTCTTTAATTTATTTTACAAAAAGTCAAATCAAATGTAAAGTATTTATATTCAAGATGTTCCATTAACCCAAACACTGGGCCTATAATAATAATAATAATAATAATAATAATAATAATAATACAAATAAATCAATAATTTCTCTAGAGTCTGATGTGTTTTGTAAGATTTGGAATAAAATATATATCCAACATTTTAAAGTGTTAAAAGTAATGCAAATAAAGGGAGGAAATGGGGTTCAATATGCTAATAAATAATTAATTAAAATGAATCACATTAAGATTTAAGAAGTATTACTAATGGTAGGGGGGAGGGGGGTTCCACATCCTAGAAATATTAAACTTTTTTGTGATGTAATCTTGTGCTTTCCTGCGTCATCTGTGTTCAGTCCAGGTTTCACAGATGTTCTGTCACATGTCTGTTAGTCTCAGTCGAATCAATCGTGGCTTTAAGGCTGCGCTGAGGAGAGCAGAATGTAAGGTTTTTTACCGGACCTGGTAAAACCGTTTATTCTGAAGACATTTAAATCACTGAACTATCAGCTGTGATTCTGTTTCTGTTCCTAAAGGATGCATTTGTCACACGTGTCTCATTCAAAGACTGTGGGAAAGCTGAAAACTACTCGTGTGATTTTGGCGATTTTTCTATTTTCCTGGGGTAAACTATCCTTTAACACTTTTGTGTGCACTTCAGTCAAAGGACAACGTACACACACATCCTGTAAAGACACAACCCATCACTATCAGTGTTTCTCAGATTGTACTTACTTGGAGATCCGGTCCATGTTAGCGATTTGTTTCTGGTTTCGGACGACCTCGATGGCCGCCCACACGTACTGCACCACCTTCGGGTCCGCCAGCCTCTTCTTCACCACGCGGGACATGATTTCCTTATTCATCTTCACTGCAGGGAAACAAAGGAAAGTAATCATTAAAATCAGCCGATACATCTTTTGTTCTGGGGATGAAAAGTAGGATGAAGTATAGTTCATTCTCACAGCAAAAATACTGACAAAAAGCCTTTTCTAAAGTGTTATTAATACCCATTTAAGAATACCAGTGAAGATAATGAAGCCACCGTTTTGTTTCCAGGTGATTTGGGCAGGATAGGAGCGCACCGTGGTCAGGTGGACAACAGACGGTGAGCATCACATGTGAGCGTCTCTACAGAAACGACTGACCCTCGATCATCAGGTGGGTCAATTTGACACTTAATTAGCGTCTTGTCAAACCTAACAAGAGTTCCTATTACTTTCCAAATATTATACAGAATACATGTATTATATTCTGTATATAAAGGCCACGGTAGGCGATACAAAACATTTCAACAAGGAGCAAAGGATGCTTCGAGTAGTGAATCGGTTGCATTTTGGACAATAGCTGCAATATATCAGATCATTCATTCACAAATCAGCAAGAATATCAAAATAAATCCTAAATATGTAATAATCAAACTGTCTTCTTGTTAAATGAGATGGCCAGAATATTAAGACACAAAAAACATGATTTATAGAAAGATAAAAAGATCATTTGGATATATTTCTGGAAGAGTTTGCTTATTTATTGAGACAACTGTGGAGCTTGGATTACAGCAAAGAAACTACAAAGACATCTTTCATCATATTTTTTTGGGTTGGTATTCTGGTCTTCTGGTATCCTTGAAATTCCTTAAGTTAATTCAGCTATTATAACGGTTGCTATGGTTTTTAATGACTGATTGAATATGAAGTTGTTAGCCCATCCTTTGGTGGTTTTACTGACCAACAACTGACGCCTTCAGAGTATAAAAGGAAAGACATTTGAGGTGTTTGTGTCTAACTTTACACAAAAGTTGGAGATGCTTTGAAATAAAGTTTAGCCATGTTTGTTGTGACCTTTGTTGTGATCACTCCTCACATGCTAGCTATGAGCATGAAGCTGCGAACACCAGACATACATTCAGATGATGCTTAAAAGTCGTATCAAAGCGCCTTTATTGTAAAGGAATCGTACGTCCAAGCCATAATTCTCCTGGAAGGCATTCAGAGCCATGTTTATATTAAGCATTACGAGGACATTCTTAATACTTGCAGCCCCCTCTGTGACATGGGGACATCAAAACAAATACATGAACCGTGATGGATGCTGAGGAATATGACGAGTAAAGCCTAGAGACCTTCAAAGCTTCTGAATAAAGCCGGCTGCTTCTTTCCTGTGGTGCTCAGCCCGGCCTTACTCCTGGAATATCTACAAATCCAATGTAATGCCGTTCTCCTCCAAAGCCTCCGTGAAACCTAAGATGTCACTTCCATAAACCACGGCCAAAAGCTAGCCATAATAAAGCTCGGAGCGCTTTGGTGTACTTTGTAGTAGAAAAGGCGACGACAGATGTTGGGAGAGGATGTTCATTTTCACACTCTTTTCTCAGGAGAGTATGAACTGTGGATCCGCGTGGTCATGGTCAGATGCAGCGAAAAAAGGCAACTCTACAAATGCACTGGTTCATATTTTGGGTCAAAGTAAAGGGTCCTTAAACTGAGATGGATTGGGATCTCTTTACGCATATTATTCTTTATATTTCTGCTATCTTGCAGACTCGTGGATAGACAACATCTGAGCTGAAGTACACATATATCAGCCTGATGCATTTGATATTGAGTTTGCCTGGCAGGCGAACCTAAAGCACTTATTGTGATCATAAGGGGTCCCTTTAAATGTAACAAAACTGCCTGGTTTTACTATTAAAAACAGTATATCCTTAAATAACATCATAACATAAAACAAGGATGTTGAAAAGGACGCATGTGTCACTTTAAAAACACTGAAATGTAAAGGTTTTGAGGCTGTGAAAAAAGTAGAAATGCTGTTATTTGTATGCCTTGAATGTGCACTTGTTTCATTAACATGTTTCATTAAAGGTGGGGTAGGTACGTTTGAGAAACCGGCTCGAGATACACTTGTTGTTATATTCCATGGAATGCTCTTAACGTCCCGATAGCAATGAATATCTGAAGTGCTTTGACAATAAAGCCATAAATGTCACCTCTGGAAGCCGTGGCGCTGTACAAAGCACGACCAATCACCTGAGCCGGCTAAAGTAACTGGATGGCCTACCTGCCTGTCAGCCTTCCATCTGGGCACAAACTTATCTCGTGCCCTCATTGGTCATGTGCGCGTTCGTGTGTGTTGGAGGAGGGGCTCTGTGAGGAAGTGGCAGATTTGTTCCGGCTGTGTATTTTCAAATTCTAGCCACTCGAGCTGGTTTCTCCAATCTGACCGACCCCACCTTTAAGTGAATAAGTTAATGAAGTCATTATTCAGGCCTTTTTCTGCACTGTTTTCTTTCCCTAGGATTTCTGATTGTTGGTAATGGTTACTTAATGTAAACATTAATTTACTCAGATTTGGGATGTCTGGGAGACGAGTTTTTCCACCGTAATTGGGTTAAACCGACCGGCTAAGATAGTGAAATTGTAAAGAAAGTGGTTGGGCAGACTTCACAGCGTCACAAGAGATGAAGGTAAACGGGACGTGAAGGAGTAACGGTTCATTAGTAATGTGATCCCTCCTTCTTCTGTGTCCGGAGGTGTGAAGGAGGGCCATCTGTGCCACAAGGATCTTGAAAAGGACGCATGTGTCACTTTAAAAACAATGCTATTTTAAGGTTTTGAGGCTGTGAAAAAAATGCTGTTATTTGTATACCGTGAATGCGCACTTGTTTCATGAACACCTGTGCCATGAAAGCATCCTGGGCTTGCATTAAAAACGGCACACAGCTAACTTTCTCTTGGCTTTTATCATTAGGATCCCCTTAATGATAATGAAAGTCTGAACCAATCTTTACTATTCTCTTGTGCATCGGCAATGAGTGACCATGGCTCTGTATCATATGTGTATTCACTTTGGGCAACATGAACCTTCTTTATGGTGCATATCAAGTTTGTGTTGAGCGTACTGAGATAAAAAACGTTTTACATAATATCTTAATGGATGTGTCACTGTTACAGTTCTGACCGAATTCAAGTAGATCTCTGCCTAAGAGTTAAGCAAGTCAATGTGTCATGCATGTATATTACACTAGTTCTGTAAGAGCAGTATAATGCACATTATTTTAAGCTACATGTATTGTTTCACTTCTCCACAGGACCACATGTCAAAACAGTAATCAAGCTATGACAGATCCAATGCATTTAAACCATATCTAATGACATCTGGTGGTATAACTTTTACAATTCTTCTTGTAATTGACACACCCCTTTCCACTTTGTTCACAATGTTATCCACATCTGCACATCTGTCTGCAGAGGCTCACACTGCAGTATGAACACTGCTACCTAAGCAATTAGTCTGACAAAGGGAGCCAATTAGAGGACAGGTTGAGAGGGGTTTGAGGCTCCCAGGGGAAATGACAGCTCCTCAAAGACGTGTCTCCATGTCAACAGAGATGGGAGTTAAGTACTTTCATGTTGTACTTCAGTAGAAGTACTCAGATCTTGTACTTGAGTAAAAGTAGAAGTACTCAGATCTTGTACTTGAGTAAAAGTAGAAGTACTCAGATCTTGTACTTGAGTAAAAGTAGAAGTACTCAGATCTTGTACTTGAGTAAAAGTAGAAGTACTCAGATCTTGTACTTGAGTAAAAGTAGAAGTACTCAGATCTTGTACTTGAGTAAAAGTAGAAGTACTCAGATCTTGGACTTGAGTAAAAGTAGAAGTACTCAGGTCTTGGACTTGAGTAAAAGTAGAAGTACTCAGATCTTGTACTTGAGTAAAAGTAGAAGTACTCAGATCTTGTACTTCAGGAAAGTAGAAGTACCAGAGTGTAGGAATACTCTGTTACAGTAAAAGCATTCAAAATGTTCCTCAAGTAAAAGTAGAAAAGTATTCTCATCAAAATATAGTGAAAGACAGTAAAAGTAGTCGTTGTGCAGATTGGTCCATTTCAGAATAATATATATGATATGTTTTATAATGATTGATCATGAAAGTGTTCTCAAAGCTGGTAAAGGTGCAGCTAGTTTGAATGACTTTGTATACTGCAGGGTAGCTGGTGGATTTACTCCAGGTGGAACTAAAGTCTGATTCAACACTTGATTAGATTTCACATCATTCATCCACATCTGTAAAGTAACTAAACACATTTAGTGGCATAAAAGTACAGGATTTACCCCTGAATTGTAGTTGAGTACAAGTACAAAGTAGCACAAGTTTGAAATACTCAAGTAAAGTAGAAGTACCTCAAAATGCTACTTAGTTACTATACACCACTGCATATCAAGAATCATGTCTATTTGTTATGATATCGATTAAATGACAGTAGCACAGTTAACACGGGATGCAGCATTGTCAATATCAACCATGCTGATGAGGAGAACACATCTGTTGCTGCTATGACTCCTGGATTACATATATTATATTGAATAGCATCTGGATAATCAGACTTCAAACAACGCATGTCAAAATAAATGCCACATTTAACACAACTGGTAGATTTGGCAACAAAGAGGGAAGGCCACGGGCTTTTGCCAATGTGTATTTTAAATTATCTTTTTCCAGCGATTGTCTTTGTTAAGTGTGCCTTTTGTACAAAAAAAAAGATCCATGTATATTTAAAAACGCGCTATATAAATTCAAAAGAAATGCATTATTGTTAAACGAGCTGTATTTAGCTACAAGCATGCTAGATAACGTCAAAGCACATCAAGACAAAATAACCCATTTAACTTGCACTTAATAACACCAAACAGCCACTTTAGATGTAATGTGTCATAAGTAATAACATCAATTCCCCATAATAACATTACATGCATGGTTGGCGAGTTATTTATTTTTCAGTCAGCGATGCTACGTTGCTAGCATTAGCTTATCGGTAGCTTAACCAAAGCTAGTCAACTTGTCAACAACAAAAATACATAATAAAAGCGACATAGGAGGTGTTTTTTGGCTTCACTTCAAGCTAAAAAATCCGCCACAAACAAAGTCTGCTGATAAGCAAACAGCTCGTTTGTTTTGGAGGCGCCATGTTCACAATCCTCCATCACGGGATAAGGAGCTACTGCTAAGCTAATGCTAAGCTAACAGTGCTAACTAGCCGCAGTGTTGTCACTTTTTCTTGCCATTTTTCATGAAAATAATACAAAAATAAAACTCACCTTTTGCTCCGGTGTCACTAACACACAAATCCTTGAAGGATGGAGCACCAGAAAGCTCACATTAGTGATTTTCCGGCTGGTTTGGAGGCTGGTGGTTTGTGTGTGAACACTCAGAGGTAAACAGAGGGAGAACTCTAGTGGTGGAATCCGATTTACTGCACCTAAAACCCGGGGAATTAAAGGGGCAGTCCGCCCATCGTCCATGTCAGAGTCAATGTACTGGTCATCAGCAATGGTGAAGGAATTCACAAGAAGACATCGACTGACTTTTGCACATGTTTACTTAAAATTACAACAATATGGCACCACTATTAAAAAAAAACATCACCTCTGGCTGCCAGAGAACTCAATGCCCCATAGTTTTAGTTTTTCCCTCTCAATAACTGCACAAACTGCACAACAGCCACCTTGCACATCTGTCATTTCATTTATATTATATCATATGTATGTCTCTGCTCCTGTAGTATAAATCTATTTCTGTTGCTGCATTTTTTTTTGTCTTTTATCGAAGATTTTAACTATTCATATGATTTTATATTGTGCTTTCTTCTGTTAAATGTTTATATTTGCTGTTTATTTCTGATTGTGTTATTATTCCTTTTAAATATTGTATTGCCTGAACACTCTGCTGCTGTAACACAAGATATCCCTAAATTGGGATCCAATAAGTATCTATCCATAAAATATGAAGGAAGTCAAAACCAAATGTGTATTTGATAAATATATTTATCTGAAATGTTACCTTTTATTTTTAATCACAATTGTCTTTGTATTTCGTTCTCCATTTCCTTATATGTATGTATACAACAATCACCTCCAGCTCAACATCAGCAAGACTAAGGAGCTGGTGGTGGACTTCAGACGGAGCAGGAAGAGGCCTCTGACCCCATCACCATCAGGGGGCAGGATGTGGAGGTGGTGAACAGCTACAAGTTCCTGGGAGTGCACTTGAACAATGAACTGGGTCAGACAACACTGATGCTCTCTTCAGAAAGGGACAGAGCAAGCTGTTCTCCCTGAGGAGGCTCAGGTCATTTAATGTGTGCACGACGCTGCTGCAGAAGTTCTACCAGTGGTGGCCAGTGTGCTCTTCTTTGCCGTGGGGGGAAACACCAACACAAGGGATGGTGAGGAAGGCTAGCTCTGTAGTTGGAGTACAACTGGACAATCTGGAGGAGGAAGCTCGACAGTATCCTAGACCTAGAGAACCCCTCCCACCTACCCCATGCAGAGCTAGTGAAGATGAGGAATACGTTCAGCCACAGACTCATCCCTCCACGACAGACAGTCCTTTGTGCCGGTAGCCATCAGGATGCACAACAAGGGGTCAATAATGTGAAACAATTACTGGACATGAATACACCGTTTCCACACACCCATGTTAATATATCCAATATGTTTATATGACCCAATATGTATATATGTTCATTTTCATTCATTTCTTACTTCATAGTTTATATGACCCAATATATATGCTCATTTTTATTCTGTATTAATTTCTTATTTCATAGTTTTTCATTATTATTTTTATCTTTGATATCTTTAATCTGTGCTGTCCTGTTTTTCACCCTTACCCTGTAGCTGTTTGGACTACTGACTTTAAATGAGTATATGTACCTGTGTACATCTTATTTCATTGTTGTGTATGGAATGTTTGATGTACATAATATACTTTCTTGAATAAAGGAGAAAAAAACAGTAAAAGTCATTTTCAAAGTGGTAATTTCCCCCCCAAAAAAGTATTCATATGTATACATTTATGTACAAAACTTCAACATTGTTTTTATGTGAATTTATTGAAACCTCACGCACTTTCAGGTTGTATGCAAACTGCATTTAATTGTACTTGCAATGACAATAAAGTTGAATGTAATCAAATATCCTACAACATTAACACGTGTATGACACCCTGGGACGAAGAAAAGGAGACAAAACTTCTATCATTCTTCAATAAAAAAAACGTTATTGATGATGTAAGCTTTCAGTTGTGTTCACACATCCCATCATACAATCAGCATGGTAAAAAAGAAGAACACATATTAGCATAAACTCCACCAAAACGACAGGCAGTTTGATTGACAGCTGATCTCTGGGGTCAGCACTCAAAAAAAGACTAAATGAGTTAAACAAAACATCCACACAACATTTAACCCAAGTACTTTATACGGCTAGTTAGAGTTAGACGATCTCAGCATAGTCTCCAGCATTGGCATACAATTTAAACCCCAGATAGAGAGGCTCAGTGAAGGTGGTCTGGACTCTGTGGAGGAGGGTCATGGTGTCACCATTGATCTTGTAGAAACACAGAACACCTGCACCGTGATCCAGGAAAATCCCTACTGTGTTGAACTCAATAGCCGGGTACTGCACGGTCTCATTATTGTGTGCAAAATGGAAGCCCCCTTTGGTGCAACGTAGTACCCAAGATTTTGGGTTGCATCCAAATCCAACTTTGTTGTTGGCCCCTTTTCTTTCATTACTCCAGTATGCGAGTGCAACATCAACCATAGACCCTCCGCGCTTTATCTCCACGTAACAGCGTCCAACAATCGCCTGTTCGTTCAGGACCTGCTTGTGAACCTCGAATCTGTCGGGATGATCAGCACATGGACGTCGGAGTTTGTTTATGTATGTGACTCTCGTGTCCTCCTTAGATACCTCCAGATGTGGGTGTGCCGTGTCTGGATCCATGGTGAGTCTACGAGAAATTGTTCTGAATTCAGCTTTGGTCGTGGGCTCTGGTTTCAACATCAAAACGTCCGCCTCGCTCACAATAATTAAGAGATTTGTCCACATACCAACCATAAACTCATCCAATTGATCAATGCCGGATGACGCCTCTACTGCCACTCCTTCAAAGTATCTCAGAGGACGGGGTTTGATGCACGATGTGTCTGTAGATTCACTGAGAGGTGGCAGGGAGTTGTAGATGTGTCTAAGCTGGTTGAGATCCTCTCCCTGTGAGAGTTTTTTCAGCTCAGTTTCTCTGCTCTTCAGCTCAGAGATCTCCTTCTCCAGCTTCTTCTGAAGATTTCTGACCCGATTTCGTTCAATCTCCCGCTGGGATATGATATTCTGCTTCACATCAGAGCACATTTTCATCATGAAACTGCTCCACACTGCGAATTGTCCCTGACTGTCCTTCATTGCTTTATTAGCAAACCTGTTGATAGCCTTCTCTTCCTCTTCAAGCAGCTTCACATATTTCTCTCTGTCCTGGATCCTCTTCTGAATGTTCTGTCGACTCACCTCCAGCTCCTTCTGTGTTTCAGTCCTCTCAACATCCAGGAGTCCAGTCTTCTTCAGCTGCTCCACCAGGAATGCTAACATGGTGTTTTTAACCAGGTCAGGTCTGGGTGTGAAGGCCTTCCTACACTGAGGACAGCTCTCCTTTGTATTATGTTCCTCTCCATCCCAGTAGTTTGTAATACAGCCCATGCAGTTGCTGTGTCCACAGGGAATAGTGACCGGATCCTTCATCACATCCAGACATATCGAACAGGAAATGGATTCAACGTCCAGCTGAGCTCTTTTCTGTGACATTTCTCCTCGTTGTAGTCACAGAGTTTCTGAGATCAGAGAAGTAGTGTGCGCTGACTCAAAAACAAACAAGGGGCCTTTGCTTCCCTCTCATTGGCTGATCTGCACCAATGGGTGTTCAGAGCGGGAGGAAGAGGGCGGAGTTATCAAATTTCCACGCGTTTCAGAAGGCTTTCTCTTAAAGGGGCAGTTCATCTTTATTATGAGAAGATAACATAATATGTTATCTTCTCATAATAAAGATGAACAAAAAACGGTAACATTTGGATCAATAAAGTATATTATACTCTATTGATCCAAATGTTACCGTTTTTTGTCACAGTAGCATAGATAAGACATTGCACATGAGTTAGAAGTAAATCACAAAATAATGTAATTCACCTTTCATATTTGACAGATGTATATATATATAGTGTAAAGTGGTGGTGGTGTAACTAAGTGCATTAAGACAAGTACTGTACTTATGTAAAATGTTAAGGGTCTGTATACTTTACTTGAGTATTTCCATGTTATGCTACTTTGTACTTCTACTCCTACTACAATTCAGAGGTAAATTGTTTACTTTTACTCAATTGTACTGTAGTAGTAGTAGTAGTAGTAGTAGTAGTAGTAGTAGTAGTAGTAGTAGTAGTAGTAGTAGTAGTAGTAGTAGTAGTAGTAGTAGTAGTAGTAGTAGTAGTAGTAGTAGTAGTAGTAGTTAGTAGTAACTTTACAGATCTGGATTATTGATGTGAAATATATTCAACTGTTAAATCAGACTTTAGTTCCACCTAGAGTAAATCCACCAGCTACCCTGCAGTATACAAAGTTATTCAAACTAGCTGCACCTTTACCAGCTTTGAGAACACTTTCATGATCAATCATTATAAAACATATCATATATATTATTCTGAAATGGACCAATCTGCACAACGACTACTTTTACTGTCGCTACTTTCACTATATTTTGATGAGAATACTTTTACTTGAGTAACATTAAGATTGAGGCTGTGTCATGTACCACAAGGAGTAATAAATGCCCACACCGGGATATATTTGAACTCTCTGCCTCTGCCTACTTGCTTGATCGGGCCGCTCAACGGTCAGTCTCACAATTGGCAATTTGCAACTCAAGTACAAGATCTGAGTACTTCTACATTTACTCAAGTACAATACCTGAGTACTTCTACTTTTACTTGAGTAACATTTTGAATGCAGGACTTTTACTGTAACAGAGTATTCCTACACTCTGGTACAAGATCTGATTACTTCTACTTTTAATCAAGTACAAGATCTGAGTACTTCTACTTTTACTCAAGTACTTTGAGTACTCAATCTGAGTACTTCTACTTTTACTCAAGTACAAGACCTGAGTACTTCTACTTTTACTCAAGTACAAGACCTGAGTACTTCTACTTTTACTCAAGTACAAGACCTGAGTACTTCTACTTTTACTTAAGTACAATACCTGAGTACTTCTACTTTTACTCAAGTACAAGACCTGAGTACTTCTACATTTACTCAAGTACAATACCTGAGTACTTCTACTTTTACTCAAGTACAAGACCTGAGTACTTCTACTTTTACTCAAATACAAGATCTGAGTACTTCTACTTTTACTCAAGTACAAGACCTGAGTACTTCTAATTTTACTTCTAATAGTGCTTCTACTTTTACTCAAGTACAAGATCTGAGTACTTCTACTTTTACTCAAGTACAAGATCTGAGTACTTCTACTTTTACTCAAGTACTTTGAGTACTCAATCTGAGTACTTCTAATTGTACTCAAGTACAAGATCTGAGTGCTTCTACTTTTACTCAAGTACAAGATCTGAGTACTTCTACTTTTACTCAAGTACAAGATCTGAGTACTTCTACTTTTACTCAAGTACTTTGAGTACTCAATCTGAGTACTCAATCTGAGTACTTCTACTTTTACTCAAGTACAAGACCTGAGTACTTCTAATTTTACTCAAGTACAAGATCTGAGTGCTTCTACTTTTACTCAAGTACAAGATCTGAGTACTTCTACTTTTACTCAAGTACAATATCTGAGTACTTCTACTTTTACTCAAGTACTTTGAGTACTCAATCTGAGTACTTCTACTTTTACTCAAGTACAAGACCTGAGTACTTCTACTTTTACTCAAGTACAAGATCTGAGTGCTTCTACTTTTACTCAAGTACAAGACCTGAGTGCTTCTACTTGTACTCAAGTACAAGATTTGAGTGCTTCTACTTTTACTTGGGTAACATTTTGAATGCAGGACTTTTACTGTAACAGAGTATTTCTACACTGTGCAAGTAGTTATAGACTGATGTGTGAAAGAGATACAAAATAACTATAAACAGAAAAAGTGCCCAGGATTCCAGAAATATTTCCAATACCTTTGTCAATGTAGTTGTTAAGATTTTCAATACATCAGATAAGATTTCAGTTACCATATCTCTGAACGTGCAGAGATAACACGGGCATTTGACTTGGTAGTTTTGTCAATATATAACAATAAATATCAGCACACAGCACCAACAGATTGACGGATTTAAAGTGTAAGAGTTGTATTTATTTATTCAAATGCCTAAACACCATCCTTGGTTCACAGCTCAGACACATATAGTTGGAAAATATAGAAGAGTTTGGAAAGTGGGGACAAGTTTCAAATATTCAAATAACAGGTTTAGCGAGGCAGTGAGAGACACTGAACGACTCTAAAGAAACTCCAGCACAGTTCTCAGTAAACGACTCCTCTTCTGTCTCAAATGGCGCGTTTCCACTGCAGGCCTCGCTCGGCCTCGCTCGGCCTCGCTCGGCCTCGCTCGGTTTGGTTAGGCCTTATTAGGCCCGGCTCACTTTTGGCGCGTTTCCACTGCAGGCCTCGCTCGGCTTGGTTAGGCCTTATTAGGCCCGGCTCACTTTAATGCTGCGCTTCCATTACAGTTTAGGAACTGGGGTAGTTACTATAGTAACGCAGTGTAGGTGGAGCCGTGACGTCATCTTCAATGAGTGCTCCAAAAAACAACACAGCCGTTAGCTCTTAGCACTCAGAGCTCACAGCCAGTGTTGCCAACTTGGCGATTTTCTCGTTAAATTTGGCGGCTTTCCAAACCCTCCGGCTACTTATTTGTGTCAAAAGCGACTAACGACTAATCTAACGATTTATAACGGCCCGTCCACACAGCGGCGTGCGTTGAAGCTTCCAACGCTTCTGCCCATTCACTTTGAATGGGGTGACGTCACTTTTAGCCAAACTGCATCGTGGGAAGCGACGCGGAGCGTTGCTGGCGTCGCTCGCTGCAAAAGTTGAACAATGTTCAACTTTTGACGCATCGGCAGAAGCGTCAGCCAATCGAATCATATGCCAGTACAAGCTCTAGCCAATCAAACCGCTGCTTGTGTGTCAGGGGCGGGAGATTCATGTGATTGGTTGTTGGTCGAGTTTCAGACACGCCCGCCGGCAAGCGTCAACGCACGCCGCTGTGTGGACGGGCCGTAATGGTGTTATTAGGGACTTTTCTGGTGTTTGGAGACTCACGTATTGTTCTGCAGTTAACGAGCCGCGGGTGCTGCCGTGAGCCCCGCCTCCCTCCCATAGTACTCACAGGCGCTCAGACTGACAGTTGCCTGGCCGCAGCAGAGCTGCTCCTGCAGTCAGAGCAGAGAGGAGACAACCACACTCCCCCGCGTCGAGACTGCAAATGAATTGCGCATGCGCCAACTGCCAAGCCGTCCTGGTTTTGAGCGGGATTTAAATGTTGAATGTAAATGTTTCATCACTCTCTTTCACACTATAATAAATAACTGCCTTTGCTTTGCTTTGACTCACACAGCCTCAGTCAATCAATCACCTCGTCCACTGTGTGTGTGCCTCTCTGTGACAAGCTAAACATCATGGCACAGTCTAAATTGTATTCTCAAAAATACAGAAAGGAGTGGGAATCAAACCCTGAGTATAAAGGATGGTTGAAGCCATTTATTGCAGATGACACACGGGCATACTGCCTTTATTGTAAGGGGGATTTATATGCCAAACTGTCATGTTAAAGTTAAAACCCCAACACATACTCAAAAGGCAAAGACATTTCTGATCTACTGTCGTCTGGATTTAACTCTGGTGGTTTCAAGTTTTGATCCTTGAAGGGTTGGGAACGTTTTTTGTACTCCCCTATGCAAATTAGGCGATGACGTCATTTAGCGACTTCTGGCGACTTCCAGGACAGCTAAAAGCTACTTTCCTTACTATGGAGTTGGCAACAATGCTCACAGCTCTTCATATCTGTTCAGAAACTAGACAAAAGTTAAACAAGTACAAACCACAGACTGCCTGTGTCATGGCGAACACAGTCGCTGGTTTATTTATGTCTGTATAGGCCGTTGTTGTGAGTGTGGACGGTCGGAGCATATATAACGTTAGCTTAGCCAAGCTCCATTTAGAAAACACGCATTTTAAAAGGGTTTTTCGCCTGCCGTCTGTCTGCAGACTTGTCAAAGCATTAATTCATGGTTTTTACTAACCGGTATCAGTATGTTGTTACTTCGGCATCATTTTGAAACGTGTATTACAATTAAATCACGGTCAAATATGTTCATCTTGTTGTAGTTGTAGCCCCCTTGCCAGTGATTCTCTCTCTAGTTTAGCATACTCAGCCCAACTCAGCCTGGTTGTTCCTGGCCCTAGAACTACGATTTAGTCGGGCCAGAAAAAAGGTGAAAAAGTAGCCCCGGGCCAAAACTAGGCCAAGTGGAAACGCAACCAAAAACGGGCCCCGCACGGCTCGGCACGCTTAAAGCGAGCTACCCGCTGCAGTGGAAACGCGCCAACAAGGTCTCAGATTAATCACCAAATGCAAACCTGAAGCACCAATAACGACTTGTAGGAAAGCTGAAAGAAATCTGCAGTTATTTTGGAAGACAATGGGACAGTCCTGACTCCAGTGATGATTGTCTTTATTCTGGAGAGGGACGTTAATGGGCTGTTGGAGAGAAGCCACTTTACACTGTCTGCACAAACAGCTGTTACTCAATCAATGGGAGATGAGTACACCAGGTGCTTCTACAGTTAGTGTGTAGATCAATAGGAATGTTTAAGTCTGTAGATTTTTTTATTTTATTCTTCTAGCAACTTACCAAAAAACACCACTCTCAAACTTAACATTTTAGAGTAAAACGTGCAAAATGTAATGTTCCATTATCAGAGGTCCCAATGGGATGATAACACTTCGTCAAACAAACAAATTGTCTTTATGTATGTCAGGTTTTGCAAAGTAAACACTGGGTAGGCAAATATGTCAGAGATTGAGTCTGTTAAATGGCTTCTGCTTTACTCTGTATGTAAGTCATTTATATATATGCCATTATGTTACAATGTGCCTGTGTTTAATATATCTAACTTATTCGATACCAAAGTCTACGCTGATTTCACAAATATGTAAAGACCGTGTGGTACTTATGGTTAGAATAGTTTAGTTTTAGGGCTTTTTGGTTAGTGTTTTGGTTTGTAATGTTTCTTACGGTGGCCCTGAAGTACAAGACACCACAGCATTTCACAAAACACCACAGCGTTTCACATTGGACGGAAAGGGTATTCCTTTAGGGAGAACACATCTTGTTTGTAATTGGCCAGAGAAGCACTGCTGTGATTGGTTGTTTTTGCTGCCAGTCAAGAAATGACGCTTCGTGATTGGTCAACACCCGACAGCGAAATATGTCCCAAGTCCCAACACATCAGACGTTAGCACACACTCAGAGCTCACAGCTCCTCATATCTGTTCAGAAACTGGACAAAAGTTAAACATGTACAAACCACAGACTGTCTATGTCATGGCGAATACAGTCACTGCTTTATTTATGTCTGTATGACGTTGTTGTGAGTGTGGACGGAGCAGCAACAGGTTAGTTTAGCCTGATGGGTCCGATTCCGTTCAGAAAACACGCATTTTAAAAGCTTTTCGCCTGCCGTCTTATCTGCAGACTTGTCAAAGCGTTAATTCATGGTTTTTACTAACCGTTATCAGTATGTAGGCCTAGTTACTTCGGCATCACTTTGAAACGTGTATTACAATTAAATCACGGTCAAATATGTTCATTTTGTTGTAGTTGGTATCTCCCATAGAATTTACATGGAGATACGCCCCGCCCCCTCTCCAGCGCCTCTTGTTTGAATGACAGGAGCAAACACAGCTGACAGCCGCGGTGAAACTCGAGCGATTAGAGCGATGCGAATATTGGGTGGTCTACCATAGTATTTACATGGAGATAAGCCCCTTAAAAACCATGAATTAATAAAGCATTAATTCTGTGTTTACTCCTGTCATTCAAACAAGACGCTGGAGAGGGGGCGGGCCGTATCTCCATGTAAATCCATGTAAATCCTGAATTGGATCGATCAGGCTAAACCAGTGGTTCTCAAAGTGTGGGGCGCGCCCCCCCTGGGGGGCGCAGAGGCATGCCAGGGGGGGCGCGAGAGACCAGGAGGAAAAATGGTCATATAAAAAAAAAAAAAGATTTAAAAAAAAAATCATAATTTGAAAAATTATTGATTCGAAAATAATATGATACAGTACTATTACGTCTGGGTCTCTGTGTTTCATTAAAGCTCGGCTCTGTGTGTGTGGAACGAGCCATTTTGTGTGCGCGAGAGAGAGAGAGAGAAGAGAGCGCACCGGTACCGGAGATCGTTGTTCTTAGCTTCTGGTGCTAGCGAGCTACGCTAACGGATATAAGGAGTTTTTTCAACAACAAAGTGGAGGAGAGTCCTCTCCTGTCAGACTGAGAGACTCAGTGAACTAAAGGACTCTCTCATTGATATCTCAGTGGGTCTCAAACGTTTTGGTCACCATTAATGTAAACAATTATTTCCGAGGCACACATTTATATGATCATTATCGTTATAAAAAAATAAGAGAATAAATGAAAAACAGGTATGAAATACTATATGACCTTAAAAAAAGAATAAAGTTTAAAAGGGTGATTTGTAAAATATCCATTAAAAAAAAGTAAATCTGTTTACAGTTCCGTTTCATCTGGGTGTTGAGAGAGGTATCCATAGATCTCTTCATTTTGCTCTCAATGTGTCCACATACCACCTATAAAAATAGCTCGTTACCCCTGCTTACACCTATATGCCGTGAGCTGATTATCGAGCCTTCGTTGTAACAGTTGCGGGAACACTGTGTATGTGCGTGTGGAGAGTGTTGCAGTAGAAAATTCCACTGTAGCGACCGGTACATTAATGGGAAACCCTAAATGTTTGAGCACCCTCTATGAAACGTCAAGCTACCCAACAGCACCCCCAAAAGAAGTCTCTGACGCCGCCACTGAGCCTGACTATGTGTGTTGGGGGGGCCCGACTTTTTTTTTTTCTCCAAAGGGGGGGCCTGACAGAAAAAGTTTGAGAACCACTGGGCTAAACTAACCTGTAGCTCAGGGGTGGCCAACCAGTCAGAGGTTAAGAGCCAATTTTTTTCTATTTTACTGCAAAGAGCCACATCAAACACACAGTCACTGAAACTGTTTCAGTTTTTTGTTTTCTGGAGACAAGATTTCAACCACGTCACTGATGCATTTTTGTGGCATTGGGATATATATTTTTTAAATCCTCTGGAGCAGAGAGAGGAGCTGTGGATTATTGGTATTGATTAATGCATCAGTGTTTCTTGGGGTCAAAAACAATAAACTCACAACTTAAAATGAAAGCGTTTAGTTTATTTAATAAAAGAGCACATGTTCAATGTGAAAAGTGACAGTAGTTATAGATTATTTGCAATTTGGTGCTATGTATATATTAAAAAATAATAATAATTATATATAATTTTGAAACACCTTGAATTCCAGGGGGGGCGCGGGGCTCCGTTGGCGGGGCGCAGCGCCCCTCCAAGACAATGGTAGGGGAAACACTGGATAGTTTTTAATCAACTATAGGTTTCCCCCCCTCAAAGGTGATTGGTTCACAGCATCACAGGTATTATTGTGATTGGCTCTTGGGCCACATCAAAATTAGACACGCTGTCATCCTCTCATACTGACACCTGACACCACACATACACAGTAGGGAGAGCCGGGACGAAAGTAACGGAGCGATTTTATCCGAGCCCAAACAACTTTGACCGGCCAAATTACGTCAGAATTATCAGCATTCAATACTTAACAGACCTACTAAATATCAGGTTTAACTGTCAGGAGTAGCTAGTGTTGTCACGATACAAACATTTTGTTTTCGATACCAAGTCAAGAATTGCGATTCCGATTCTTTTTCGATACTTTTCTTAAAAAAAGGGAAACCGTCTTAAATGTAATTATCGTGCTTTATTTCACACCAGAACCATTACCATAACACACATTTTTAAACAATGAGAACAATAAATAAAATAAATGACAATAATTCGTATTAAATAAAATTAATACATTTCTTACAGACAGGCCTCGTGGTGTCCGTAGGCTTGCCCTCACTGTCAGAGATATAGCTCAAATACTTCCAAATTTCGCTTCTGGCGTCTTTTTTGTCAACAAGCCGAGGCGCAGCGGCAGCTGCACTCCCACTTGCAGCCATGCTTCTCGCTTTCTCACATGCTCTGGCAGCTAGCGCGTGCACGAGAGAGGGGAGGGACTTAGAGCGTGCTTGAGAGGGGCGGGGCTGCAGGCACGGCTGCAGTGCAGGGAATGGAAGCATAGCGCTGATCACACACGGCTCTTATTAAACGGCGCTTTCTCACCGGAGTACTTTCCCCCGTCATTCTTAAAGTACCGATACTAATGAAACGGAGGAATAGTAACGTTTTTAACGGCAGGGAATCGCGGTACCTTTCAAGTATCGGTATACCGTGCAACACTAGTCAGGAGTCAGTGTCTCTCCCCCAAACTCACACATATACAATTCGATATGAACTGAAGAGCCGCATGAAACTAGGCAAAGAGCCGCATGCGGCTCGAGAGCCGCGGGTTGGCCACCCCTGCTGTAGCTGCTCCGTCCACACTCACAACAACGTCATACAGACATAAATAAAGCAGCAACTGTATTCGCCATGACATAGACAGTCTGTGTTTTGTATATGTTTAACTATTGTCCAGTTTCTGAACAGATATGAGGAGCTGTGAGCTCTGAGTGTGTGCTAACAGCTAATGGCTGATGTGTTGGGCCAATCACGAAGCGTCATTTCTTGACTGGCAGCAAAAACAACCAATCACAGCAGTGCTTCTATGGCTTGCTCTGTCTAATCACAAACAAGAAGTGTTCTCCCTAAAGGAATACCCTTTCCGTCCAATGTGAAATACTGTGGTGTTTTGTGAAATGCTGTGGTGTCTTGCACTTCAGGGCCACCGTAGTTTCTGTATAATACAATAACTCCATGTCCGATTTCACATTTCGCCTTATTATGAACTTGATTTTTCCACAAACTGGCAAAAATCCCTGTCTAATTGTTACTGGCAATTTAAGAGCATCTAAAAAGTCACTTTAAAGCAACGTTTGTTTTCCAGAGGAACTGCTTTAAAAATTAGCCAACATGTGTAAGGCTCGACAACACAGCTTTCCAAAATAATCTCTGTCTGTCTATCAAATATACACTATAAGGGCCAATTGCATTATTTTTGTATTTACTTCAAATGTATGTGCAATGCCTTATCTATGCTACTGTTACGAAAATAAATCCCGAATGTAGATCAATAGAGTATTTGATCTTCTCTCATAATAAAGATGAACTGCCCCTTTAAGAGAAAGCCTTCTGAAACGAGTGCACGTTTGATAACTCCGCCCTCTTCCTCTCGCTCTGAACACCCATTGGTGCAGATCAGCCAATGAGAGGGAAGTAAAGGCCCCGTGTTTGTTTTTGAGTCAGCGCACACTACATCTCTGATCTCAGAAACTCTCTCGCAGTTACTGCAACGAGGAGAAATGTCCCAGAAAGGAGCTCAGCTGGACCTGGACTCCATTTCCTGTTCGATATGTCTGGATGTGATGAAGGATCCGGTCACTATTCCCTGTGGACACAGCTACTGCATGGACTGTATTACAAACTACTGGGATGGAGAGAAACAGAAGGAGAGCTGTCCTCAGTGTAGGAAGGCCTTCGCACCCAGACCTGACCTGGTTAAAGACACCATGTTAGCATTCCTGGTGGAGCAGCTGAAGAAGACTGGACTCCTGGATGTTGAGAGGACTGAAACACAGAAGGAGCTGGAGGTGAGTCGACAGAACATTCAGAAGAGGATCGAGGACAGAGAGAAATATGTGAAGCTGCTTGAAGAGGAAGAGAAGGCTATCAACTGTTCTGCTAATAAAGCAGTGGAGCACAGTGAGGAAAAATATAGAGAGTTGCTCACGGCCATGGTGACCATGAGATCTATTATGAAGGAGCGGATCAGAGACCAACAGGAAACTGAAGGAAATCAGGTCAGAGCTTTTCAGAAGAAGCTGGAGAAGGAGATCTCTGAGCTGAAGAGCAGAGATGCTGAGCTGAAAAAACTCTCACAGGAAGAGGATCTCAACCAGCTTAGACACATCTACAACTCCCTGCCACCTCTCAGTGGATCTACAGACACATCGTGCATCAAACCCCGTCCTCTGAGATACTTTGACGTAGTGACAGCATCCGTGACAAAATACCTGAATAAACTTCTGGACATTGTGAAGGAGGGTGTGTATGGAATCGCTCTGGCTTTGAGTGAAGTGGACATGTTACTGCCCAAACCAGAGCCCAGATCCAGGGCTGAGTTCATCCAATTGTCCCGTGTTATCACTCTGGATCCAAACACAGCAAACAGACGGCTGTTGTTATCTGAGGGGAACAGAAAGGCAACAGCCACGGAGCGACAGCAGATGTACTTTTGTCACCCCGACAGATTCGATGTTCACACCCAGGCCCTGAGCGGAGAGGCTCTGACTGGACGCTGTTACCTGGAGATGGAGTGGAAAGGCCTTCAGGTGTGCTTCAGCCTCGCTTACAAGAGCAACGAGAGGAAAGGGCACCAGGATCCGGCTCTTTTCGGACACAGCGACAAGTCGTGGTCATTGCATTGTGGCACTATTTATTTCGCCTTATGGCACAAAGGTGAATCCACTGCCGTCTCAGGTCCGCTCTCCTCCAGGATCGGAGTTTACCTGGATCACAGTGCAGGTGTTCTGATCTACTACAGCATCATCGATGGAAAAATGATCCCGGTCCACAAAGTCCAGACCACCTTCACGGAGCCTCTGTACGCCGGAGTGGGGCTTCGTTACGCTTCAGCAGAATATATAGAGTTCATTAAGCTACATGAAGGCCTTTGAGGGACTGTGGTTTTAATATGACTCGTTACTTTGATATCATCAGTTTGGTAAATGTTTGATAATCTTTAGATGCTACTTCCTCCCGTCTATGTTTACCTATGGGGTCATTTTACCTATGGGGTCATTTTACCTATGGGGTCATTTTACCTATGGGGTCATTTCTCTGCATCGAAATGAAAACAAACTGTTCTTATCAAATCAAGAAGTATGTTTTGATGCATTTTATGTAGGTGTTTCTTACGGTTCTGTAGAAAACATTGAGTTCTGTAAACTAACATGTGTGGTTTTAATACTGACTCGTTATGTCGGTGGTTCTTTAAAATCTTCTCATCTGTTTGATCGTCTTTAGATGCTACTTCCTCCTGTCTATGTTTAGCTATCTAGCACAGGTCATGACGGTGTTTGTTTTGATGCGTTTTATGTAGGTGTTCCCTACTGTTCTGTAAACTCACATAGACTGAGGTCATTTACAAGCACAATGGGTTACACTCTGTTTTTAAGACTGACTACTTATGTTGGGTTTTTCGTTGAATTTTTCTCATCAGTTTGGTACATGTTTCATCGTATTAAGATGCTACTGTTAACTCCTGAGTTATGGTGTTACTAAAACCAACATTTCTCTGCATCAAAATGAAAATAAACTTCTCTTAAAATGTCACAAAGTATGTTTTGATGTAGGTGTTTCTTACCTGAGTTCTGTGAACTTGCATAGAGTTCCTTTAGTTGTTTTATGATTGATTGTTGTAAGAAGAGTGAAGCTCAGATATGGTTTTCTGTACGCACCCAGGGTTAAACCATAATGTATAACAGAGGAATAATTATACATGCTTTGCTCCACTGGGACTCCAGCATATTATCACATCTTATTGGTGTCCATCAACGTGTAGAGAGATGTCAACTTGCGGTCACTTTTCTGAGTCTTCTCAAAGCAAATATTATACGGTTCTCTAGCACCACCTTCTGGTCAGTAGATGCTACTTCCTCCTGTCTGTGTTTAACTGTGGAGGTTACCACAGCTCCTTTGACCTAAACGGACATTTATCTGCCTCAAAATGTAAAGAAGTACGTTTTAAGCATTTTGTGTAGTTGTTTCTCTGTGACTGCATGGGACACTCATCTGCTCTTCAGTCATTTCACTGACGTGTGTGCGTGTGTGTGTGTGTGTGTGTGTGTGTGTGCGTGTGTGTGTGGCTAAATAAACACCACATTGTAAAAATATCTTCTTGTGCCCTGTGTTTTCTATTTACACAAGTGTGTCATCATCATTTAATATTGCAGCCTCAAGGTGTTTTTTAATGTACCACTAATGAGTAAAATGTCCTTAAAGTGAGAAGTTATAGTTGAATGTTATTTTAATTTGTTTGCAATCCCTGTTGGTAAAACAGTGTTGACTTTGGATGGCATTTCACTTTAGGCTATTTCCTTTATTTATTCACAAGTTTTAATACAATTGTGTAACGTATCTCTGACATATTTAACCAGTGTTGCTTGAAGCGCTTTGCAAAAACAGACAAGTCTACAACCATTTAGCGTATTTAATATCTGACATATTTGCCTAACCAGTGTTTACTTTGCAAAAAAAGACAAACATAAAGACAATTTTAAAGTGTTATCATCCCATTAAATAAACGAGGACCTCTGCAGACCACACTGATAATGTTACACAATAGATTTTGCACACAAACTGTAGAAGCACCTACTCATCTCCCATTGATTGAGTAACAGCTGTTTGTGCAGACAGTGTAAAGTGGCTTCTCTCCAACAGCCCATTAACGTCCTATGTGCTGCAGATTTATCATATTGATTAAAGTACACTTGCAAATGCTTGTTTTCTTCAAGTAAAGAGAGCTCTGGAACAGTAGAAGTATTCAGATCTTGTACTTGAGTAAAAGTAGAAGTACTCAGATTTTGTACTTGGGTTAAAGTAGAAGTACTCAGATCTTGTACTTGGGTTAAAGTATACTCAGATCTTGTACTTGGTTAAAAGTAGAATTACTCAGATCTTGTACTTGAGTAAAAGTAGAAGTACTCAGATTTTGTACATGGGTTAAAGTAGAAGTACTCAGATCTTGTACTTGGGTTAAAGTAGAAGTACTCAGATATTGTACTTGGGTTAAAGTAGAAGTACTCAGATCTTGTACTTGGGTTAAAGTAGAAGTATTCAGATCTTGTACTTGAGTAAAAGTAGAAGTACTGAGATCTTGTACTTGGGTTAAAGTAGAAGTACTCAGGTCTTGTACTTGGTTAAAAGTAGAATTACTCAGATCTTGTACTTGGGTTAAAGTAGAAGTACTCAGATCTTGTCCTTGGGTTAAAGTAGAAGTACTCAGATCTTGTACCTGAGTAAAAGTAGAAGTACTCAGATCTTGTACTTGGGTTAAAGTAGAAATACTCAGATCTTGTACTTGGGTTAAAGTAGAAGTACTCAGATCTTGTCCTTGGGTTAAAGTAGAAGTACTCAGATCTTGTACCTGAGTAAAAGTAGAAGTACTCAGATCTTGTACTTGGGTTAAAGTAGAAGTACTCAGATCTTGTACTTGGGTTAAAGTAGAAGCACTCAGATCTTGTCCTTGGGTTAAAGTAGAAGTACTCAGATCTTGTACTTGAGTAAAAGTAGAAGTACTCAGATATTGTACTTGGGTTAAAGTAGAAGTACTCAGATATTGTACTTGGTTAAAAGTAGAATTACTCAGATCTTGTACTTGGGTTAAAGTAGAAGTACTGAGATCTTGTACTTGGGTTAAAGTAGAAGTACTCAGGTCTTGTACTTGGTTAAAAGTAGAATTACTCAGATCTTGTACTTGGGTTAAAGTAGAAGTACTCAGATCTTGTACTTGGGTTAAAGTAGAAGTACTCAGATCTTGTACTTGGGTTAAAGTAGAAGTACTCAGATCTTGTCCTTGGGTTAAAGTAGAAGTACTCAGATCTTGTACTTGGGTTAAAGTAGAATTACTCAGATCTTGTACTTGGGTTAAAGTAGAAGTACTCAGATCTTGTACTTGGGTTAAAGTAGAAATACTCAGATCTTGTACTTGGGTTAAAGTAGAAGTACTCAGATCTTGTACTTGGGTTAAAGTAGAAGTACTCAGATCTTGTACTTGGTTAAAAGTAGAATTACTCAGATCTTGTACTTGGTTAAAAGTAGAAGTACTCAGATCTTGTACTTGGGTTAAAGTAGAAGTACTCAGATATTGTACTTGGGTTAAAGTAGAAGTACTCAGATCTTGTACTTGGGTTAAAGTAGAAATACTCAGATCTTGTACTTGGGTTAAAGTAGAAGTACTCAGATCTTGTACTTGGGTTAAAGTAGAAGTACTCAGATCTTGTACTTGGTTAAAAGTAGAATTACTCAGATCTTGTACTTGAGTAAAAGTAGAAGTACTCAGATTTTGTACTTGGGTTAAAGTAGAAGTACTCAGATCTTGTACTTGGGTTAACGTAGAAGTACTCAGATATTGTACTTGGGTTAAAGTAGAAGTACTCAGATCTTGTACTTGGGTTAAAGTAGAAGTACTCAGATCTTGTACTTGAGTAAAAGTAGAAGTACTCAGATATTGTACTTGGGTTAAAGTAGAAGTACTCAGATATTATACTTGGTTAAAAGTAGAAGTACTCAGATCTTGTACTTGGGTTAAAGTAGAAGTACTGAGATCTTGTACTTGGGTTAAAGTAGAAGTACTCAGGTCTTGTACTTGGTTAAAAGTAGAATTACTCAGATCTTGTACTTGGGTTAATGTAGAAGTACTCAGATCTTGTACCTGAGTAAAAGTAGAAGTACTCAGATCTTGTACTTGGGTTAAAGTAGAAGTACTCAGATCTTGTACTTGGGTTAAAGTAGAAGCACTCAGATCTTGTCCTTGGGTTAAAGTAGAAGTACTCAGATCTTGTACTTGAGTAAAAGTAGAAGTACTCAGATATTGTACTTGGGTTAAAGTAGAAGTACTCAGATATTGTACTTGGTTAAAAGTAGAATTACTCAGATCTTGTACTTGGGTTAAAGTAGAAGTACTGAGATCTTGTACTTGGGTTAAAGTAGAAGTACTCAGGTCTTGTACTTGGTTAAAAGTAGAATTACTCAGATCTTGTACTTGGGTTAAAGTAGAAGTACTCAGATCTTGTACTTGGGTTAAAGTAGAAGTACTCAGATCTTGTACTTGGGTTAAAGTAGAAGTACTCAGATCTTGTCCTTGGGTTAAAGTAGAAGTACTCAGATCTTGTACCTGAGTAAAAGTAGAAGTACTCAGATCTTGTACTTGGGTTAAAGTAGAAGTACTCAGATCTTGTACTTGGGTTAAAGTAGAAGCACTCAGATCTTGTCCTTGGGTTAAAGTAAAAGTACTCAGATCTTGTACTTGAGTAAAAGTAGAAGATCTGCCATGAGCCATTCCATAATTCTGTATTCAGGTCACATTGGAACATTTACAAGACTTCTGATCAACATTGGAAATATATTTTAACCTATAGTCTCAATTATTCAGTAAATATTTGTACACCATGCCAAATGAATCCTGTCTTTCTCATAAATGTATTTGATCAACTAAGGGTACAAAGATCGTGTAGGTTTATATTACATATTACTTTTGAAATATTGTCCCTTTGTAGTCAAAAGTCAATCTGAACGATACAGAGTTTAAGCATTAGAGTCACAACATGATGTGACTTCACATGATGAGGATTTCACATTAGAAAGAAATACATACTGGTCATCAGCTTTAAATCTAAAACCATGGACATTATCTAAAGTGTTTTAAACAATATCTGTTGCTTAATAGAATAGAATAGAATAGTTTAATGTCATTATACATGTACAATGAGATAAATGCTTCTCCCTTTCAAGGATGCCATCAAAACAAAAACAAAACATCACAACATAACACAATACACGCAGCATACATACTTAGGAATAAGGGATAAAGGAATAAAGAGTAAAGTGCAGTAATTATTTCCAGGAGTATAAAAATAAAATCTGTAATGTAATAAATAATAATAATAGTGTGTATTTATAATAATAATAATAGTAATGATATATATGTATATGTACAGAGTCACATTGATTCACATGTCAGGTGATAAGAGCAATGATGGCTCTTGGAAAAAAACTGTCTTTGAGTCTGTTTGTTTTGGATGTGATACACCTGTAGCGCCTGCCGGAGGGCAGCAGGTTGAACAGGTGAAAGCCGGGGTGAAACCTGTCCTTAACAATGTTTTTGGCTCTACTGAGGCAGCGGGAGGTGTAAATGTCCATCAGGGAGGGGAGAGGGCAGCCGATGATCCTCTGTGCTGCTTTTACCACTCTCTGGAGCCTCATCCTGTCGGCCTCAGTGCAGCTGGCGTACCACACTGTGATGCAGTATGTCAATAGGCTCTCGATGGTAGAGCGGTAGAAGGTCACCAGCAGCTTAGTGGCCAAGTTGTTCTTCCTGAGCACCCTCAGGAAGTGCAGACGCTGCTGGGCCTTCTTGATGACAGCTGTGGTGTTGTCCTTCCAAGAAAGGTTGTTGGTGATGAGGACGCGGAGGAACTTGAAGGAGTGGACCCTCTCCACACACTCGCCGTTAATGTCGAGGGGAGCGAGGTCGGTAGTATTCCTCCTGAAGTCTACGATGATTTCTTTGGTTTTTGTGGGGTTCAGTGCCAGGTTGTTCACTGAACACCACGCTGAGAGCTTCAGTATACCTCACTCCTGTAGGCCGACTCGTCTCCTCCTGAGATGAGCCCCACCACAGTGGTGTTGTCAGCAAACTTGACGATGATGTTCTCTGGGTGGACTGGACTGCAGTCGTGGGTGTAGAGCGAGTACAGGAGAGGGCTCAGCACACAGCCCTGAGGAGAGCCGGTGCTGAGAGTGCGGGTGGAGGAGTGATGGGGGCCAAGTCTCACACGCTGGGGGCGGTTAGTGAGGACATCTTTGATCCAGGAACAGGTGGGTGGGGGAAAGCCTAGGTTTGACAGTTTGCAAACTAGAATGTCCGGGATGATTGTGTTGAACGCTGAGCTGTAGTCAATAAAGAGCAATCTGACATAGCTCCCACGATGCTCCAGGTGGCTCAGTGCAGAGTGGAGAGCTATGGCTATGGCGTCTTCAGTGGATCTATTTGCTCTGTAGGCAAACTGGTGTGGGTCGAGGGTGGGGGGAAGGCAGGCCTTTATGTGATGTAACACCAGCCTCTCAAAACACTTCATGACCACAGGTGTGAGTGCAATGGGGCGGTAGTCATTAAGGCTGTCTGTGGTTGCTTTCTTATAATGTCTGTCAGGACACAACAAGACATAATTAGCCTCTTTTCCCAGTTTCTTAAAATGTTTAGGTCATTACATTACATTGCATTTAGCTGACGCTTTTATCCAAAAGCGACTTACAATAAGTACATTCGACCAGGAAGATACAACCTTGAAGAAAACAAGGTATATAATACCTTAATTCTATCGCTCGAAGTGGAGTCGAAAGAGATGAGTTTTCAGTCTGCGCTGGAAGATGTGCAAGCTATCTGCTGTCCTGATTTCAATGGGGAGCTCATTCCACCATTTTGGAGCCAGGATAGCAAACCCACGTGTTTTTGCTGATGGGAACTTGGGTCCCCCTCGCAGTGCGGGTGCAGCGAGTCGTTTGGCTGATGCAGAGCGTAGTGCACGCGCTGGGGTGTACAGTTTAACCATGTCCTGGATGTAGGAAGGGCCAGATCCATTCGCAGCATGGTACGCAAGTACCATTGTCTTGAAGTGGATTCTAGCAGTTACCGGAAGCCAGTGAAGGGAGCGGAGGAGCGGAGTGGTGTGGGAGAATTTAGGAAGGTTGAAGACCAGACGAGCCGCTGCATTCTGGATGAGCTGCAGAGGTCGGATGGCACATGCAGGTAGACCAGCCAGGAGGGAGTTGCAGTAGTCTAGGCGTGAGATGACGAAAGCCTGGACCAGAACCTGCGTTGCTTTCTGGGTCAGCTGGGGACGTATCTGTCAGGATTATTATGTCATGTCACGTTTCTATGTCTAGGTGTGGGTGTTTTTCTGTTCTCCTTGTCATGTTTTCCTCCCTGTATATTGTCTGGTCTCTTTTCCCTGTGTTTTCATGTCTGTCGTTAGTTTCCCTGGTGTGTCTAATTTCCTGATTGTTTTCACCTGTCACTCCTTGTGTGTCTCCTGTGCTCATCAGTGTCAGCCCCGCCCCTGATTGTTCCCACCTGTGTCTAGTTACCCTGTGTTTAAATTCCCCTGTCTCCCAGTGTTCAGTGTCAGTTCGTCTTGTCTATTGTCATGGTAAGGTCTATGCTCCTGGTAGTCATGAACGGTTTTTGATTCCTCACTGCGTGAGCACCTTCATTTTTTGTTCTCTGTTTTTTGTCATCTCGACTAGAGTTTTGGTGGTTACCTTTTTGTTCATTTTTGCCAGTCATGGGAAAATAAAGTATCTTACTATACTTTACCTCTGTTGGGTCCAACATCCTAAGTGCCTGAGATCGTAACAGTATTCTCCTGATGTTGTAAAGAGTCTATCTGCAGCAGTGGGATGTAGCAGCGATGTTTGCAATGAAGGACAGGTTGTTATCTAGGGTCACACCCAGATTCCTTGCAGTCTGAGTCGGGGAAACAACAGAGGTGCCGATGTTGATTGTTAGGTCAAGAGTGGGACAATCTTTTCCCGGAAGGAAAAGCAGTTCAGTCTTGTCAAGGTTGAGCTTGAGGTGATGAGCAGACATCCACTGAGAGATGTCAGCTAGACAAGCAGAGATGCGTGCGACGACCTGGGTCTCTGAGCGGGGAAAGGACAGAATTAATTGGGTGTCGTCAGCGTAGCAGTGGTATGAAAAACCATGCGTGCTAATGACTGATCCGAGCGAGTTTGTGTACAAGGAGAAGAGGAGGGGACCGAGAACAGAGCCCTGAGGGACCCCTGTGGTTAATTGACAAGGGTCGGACTCGGACCCTCTCCAAGTTACCCTGTAGGTACGGTCTTTGAGGTATGAGGTGAGGAGGGAAAGTGCAGAGCCTGAAACTCCAAGTTCTTGGAGAGTGTGTAGGAGGATCTGATGGTTCACCGTGTCGAATGCAGCAGACAGGTCCAAAAGGATGACGACAGAGGAGAGGGAGGCTGCTTTAGCCGTGTGCAGTTCCTCAGTGACAGCAATGAGAGCAGTTTCTGTGGAGTGACCTGCCTTGAAACCAGACTGATGCGGATCCAGAAGGTTGTTCTGATGGAGATAGCAGGAGAGTTGTTTAAAGACAGCGCGTTCAAGTGTTTTAGACAGGAACGGGAGGAGAGAGACAGGCCTGTAGTTTATAACATCAGACGGGTTGAGAGTGGGTTTCTTTAGGAGATGATTTACTCTTGCCTCCTTGAGACTGTTTGGAAAGTGACCAGAAGTTAGAGAAGTGTTGATGAAATGGGTGAGAAACTGTAGAATATCAGGAGCGATAGTCTGAAGGAGGTTTGAAGGGATAGGGTCCAGAGGATCATATGTAAATGTATTGATTTTATTGGGTGTAAGTAAGATTTAGTAGATCTGTTTATGTATAATATACCTTTATGGCAGTTTTTTCACTGGAGTCTCACTTATTTCTGTATTCAGGTCTTTACAAGACTTCTGATCTGACAACATGGAAATACATTTTAACTGGAAATTATACACTTTATATTGACAGCTTTCTGTCACGACTCAACTTCTCTACGCCTTCCCTTATTAATGATCAGCTTTCCCCAGTTTCTTTAAGTCTTGGTCATACATGTTCTTTATCCACTAAGGCTACAAAGCTTGTGTTGCAAGCAAATAACACCGTAAGAAAATAAAGACCGAAAGATGATATTTTGTAATGTTTATTTGTCATGTAAAGCTCCAGTTTGTTCACATACAAACATCAGTGAAGTCTGTTAAATGACTAGAAAACCAACCAGGTTTTCTGGTACAGATATTCGTCCCATGCGGTCACAGACTACAGATATGCTTTAAAACACAATTCTAGACATTTTAAGAGCACAAATTGTTAACATTTTGATGCAGAGGAAGGTCCTTTGAGGTAACAGTCATCATGATAGTCTCCAAAGCTATACACATAATGAGGAAGAAGCATCTAAGGATAGAGGGTGTCATTTTTCTCATACTGATATTCTGAACAATCTGTGCTGTTGTATTTGCTGTAAAGTGTCTCTACTGTAGGCTATTTTTATTATATGTACAGCACTTTGGCTCCACCAAAAATCGTTTATAAATGTGCTATATAAATAAAACTTGATTTGATCTTAAAGTAATCCAACAATTACCAAGCAGATAAAAAGATTTCAACGAACCACTGACACAGCAGTATTGAAAACACCGTTTAGCCCACTTTAAGTCCTTTTAAATGACTTCAGTCGATTTAATCTGCAGGATTGTAAGGAAGCCTACAACTTCTACAGAGTATGAACATCCAATCAATCTGTCAGGGGGACAAATATAAATCTGTATATATATATATCTATATATCCGTTTCTTCTCCGTACCCCTCTGAGAACAGACAGTTGGTTGTGTTTGCTTTAAGTGTGATTACATCTGAATATCCTGAGTGTTTAGAGTATTGAGAGGTCCTGATAATTTATTCCGGCAAATTATTCTGACCTCCTAATTGACCTTTCCGAAGATTATTGAGTCTATGTAAGTTTGCTGCTTGGCTCAGATCCACCAACGTCAGCAAGATCTCACCTCTACTAACTTCCCGAAGAACCAAGGTTTCAATTAACTGCTGTTTCAATTCAGACAACTCTTTTTTAATCTGTTTAAGCGATCCCGAAGGATTTTGATATCAGTAAATGGAGTGTGCTCCTACCTAAGTGTGTGTGGCAGGGTGCAATCTTACCTTTGACGCAGGAGAGGAGGGCACAGGTGTCTTTTAAAGGATCCCAATCCAACAGGTGGGATTCAGTTTATTTGAAGAAAAATAGGTCCAAACTAATACAGGGTTTTTACCTTCTCTCTCACAACATTATAATCATACTAACAAAAACACCGTGCTGTGATCATGTTCAAATGAAACTTTAATTCACAGTCTTACATTTATTACCAAAATGTTTTAATTTCAACTGCCCATTTCAGTTGTGACATTTTAAAATTCTCCCGATAGAATTTAGAGGTATTTCCTCGTAAAAGACCGGGTGACAATAAAAAGCGCATTCAACTTTTCATTCACCCATTTATTCACTTCAGTTTTCATACACTTTTTTCCGACACAGACGGCGGATTAACACTCAAAAACCCATTCCTGTCCGCAAAATTCGAAGGAAGGTCCTTACAGGTCGCGGGTATTTATAATTTTCAAACACTTTCTCTCATCAAATCATTCCACTCAGCCAACAACCAATAAATTCGAGAGATATTTACCCCGTCTAGAAGGACCTTACCGAGAGCTATTAACCCAGCTCTGAAGCACACAGCCTACCCGGAGAGAGTCTACCAGGGGTCACCCCCCCTCTCTCGCGCTCTCTCAAAAAACCAGTCCCTTTATGCTAAAAAAACTGGATCCTAAACCCAAAAAAACAAACTCCTCCTCTTCACCCAATTCAGTTGAAAACTGCGCCTGCGCACTAATGTACAAGGCTAAACATGTCCCGACATGTTCCACAGCTGTTATGGGATAAGACACCCTTTCATATGAGGTAAAAAGGACATGAACTCTCTTTGGCCTCTAATGTTTCTCCCCTTAGTGTGAAGCCCCCCCTCCCTGTGGACTGCTGCCAGAGGAGAGGAAGAAAACTCAACCTAAACAACCCACTTTGTTTTGTTTATACTGTAACTATAGAAAAACCTAAAATATGAAGCATTTTTATTGTGGGTTATACAAGAATATAATTGATTATATTTGATTATAACTAACTTTCGTTTTTAAGTATTAAACATACTATGAAAACTCACAACACCCTCTTTTCAAAACGCAAAGTTATCAAAATAGCAACAGAAAAAATTGTAAGCATAGATACATATTCAAAAACCGTCAAGAAGCATTCTCATTATGGGTTTATACAAGAATATGATTGATCATGTATGATTTATAATTAACTTTCGTTTTTTAAGTATTCACTTCATACCATGATCTCAATTAACTTTCGTTTTAAGTATTCACTTCATATGAAGATCTCAACACCCTCTTTTCAAACGCAAAGTTATCAAATAGCAACAGATAAAATCGTAAAAACACATACATATTACATCCGTAAAACTCCACGCATCAATATCATGAAAAGTTCTTCAGTATGTGTAATCAGGACGACCTTTTGATGAACCTGGTGTGAAAAAACACCGAAAACATAGTACCGTACAGGAATGTCCTTGGGCGAGGGGCCCATCTGTTGTAGACTCCTAAATCCATGTTGCTATCTGATGTATATCCTTGACCCTGACCATGGAGGGGTTGCAGTTTTTCGCTGGACGACATCTCCAAACGAAAACCAGATAACTCGGTCGACAGTTGTTATGGATTTTTTAGACCTCGTAAATAATCGCTCATGACTTTGTGACAAGGTCAATGAGTCCCCACACAATGATAGCACAAACGAGGAACCAGAGGCATATGAAACAGCTTAGCTGGCACTGGCTCATGACATCCTGTGTGTGCAGTGTGAGATTAGGTGTATGTGGTGCCAGTGTGGTGCTGGTGGTACTTGTTGTCGTCTTTCGTTGGTGACTAGGACACATCACTTGTTGTCGTCTGTTTCTACCGTCTCTCCTGGCCTGTGACTACGACCTTGCAGTGGCTGGCGTGGACCCACGTGGCTCTCTCGGTGACCTTGACCGCTGTCTGGGTGATGAGGAGCACCTGGTAGGGACCTTGCCAACGGTTGGATTTCCAGCTCTTTCTCCGGAAGTCCTTGACCAGCACGAAGTCGCCGGGTTGGAGATGGTGAAGTGGACCAGTGGCAGGGGGTAGGTAGGGTTGCTGCTACCTGGCGTCTGATATCTGACCATGCAGTTATCAGGTAGTCGTCATCCTTTCCTGGGAAATCCACTGCGATCTGAGTGGCTCAGCGGGTAGAGATGCAGCCTGTCCCACAGAGCTGGAAGAATCATCCTCCTTCTCTGGCGGGGTCATAGGTGACTCAGCCGCTGATCCATTAATAATTGTTTCAATTGAAACAATTTCCCCCAGGAATCCTTCCAAGGGGTCTGGTACTCCATGTTCCTCTGGAATGTCTATTGACAGCAAGGACATCTTTTTGGCTTGGGCACCCGGGGAGACCTCTGAATCAGATCACTTTTTTCTCTTACGAGTCTCCTCCTTTTCACCGCTTGCCCCTTCCGGTCCTTCTGCACAGGTTTCCTGGGTCCAGGAGTCTACTTAGCTTCACTTGAGGCACTGTGACTGAAGTTTCCCCGCTAGGCAGGTTCAAATCCTCTTGGTAGATTGCTGAGGTATTAATCTCAACAATATAGCTAAAATCAAGTTTAAATCATTTCTCTGATCCATAAAAAGTTGTTTCAGTTAAAATAAAAACTTCCCCAAGGGTTTTCTCAAGAGGGTCGTGTATTCCATATTGCTCTGTAATTTCTATACACAGCAAGGTGATTATTTCTCCTCTTACTCAGTTGGCCTCTAATGGCAGAAAGCACTGGGCCATAATTTACTCTTATCAGTTTAACGACCTGACAGCCCTACACCTTCATGCTGTGTGAGAACCAGCAAAAAAGAAGGAGAGATGTGCTCAAAAAAAATCAAATTTAAATGAATACTCTTTTTAGGGTGTAAGCGTATATCAATTAAAAATAACTGGAAAGAAAACTAATAGTGTAAAGTTAAAAAACAATGAGAAAAATAATATAAAGGTTATTTTCCATTTCCTCTTTGATACTGAGGTATTCTCCATTCAAGCTCTAATGATCCATATCCTAATAGACAGAGTTTCGTCTTGCCATCTTCCTTTGCATAATTCACTATAGATTCTAACAGTTCTACTGCTAAATCCTTTGCATTGGAGCTATTGCTTGTTACTCAGATTTAAATTCCCTCTTTTGCTCTATAAAATATCCCTTGGTACAGAATTTACCAAGACAAATTCTAACTTATTGCGGGAAGATCCCACAAAAAGCCATCCTCTCCTGTGGAAGAAAGCACATTAACTGCCACGTGTGTGTGCAAAACATGTCATGTGATGTGAGACTGATAGCATCAACAGTGGATGGGTAGGCCGCAGTCATATTCCTATCTGGATTCTAAACTCAGTTGGCTCGGGTGAACCGGTCCTCTCTTCTGGAGTGAAACTACTTTCCCAGAAAATTGACTTCACTGTATCCAAACCTTCTGATTTAGTTTTAAGCTAACCCTTCTCTGGACTTTGCCCCTTTCTGGTCACCCATACACGATTTCTGAATTTAAACGGAAAAGGTGTGATAGTTAGATATGACCTGACCTTTGCCCTAGGTAGCTTTTCCATACATATAGAAATATATTCAGCCTTGTCAAATTGATTGGAATGTCCCAATTTGTTTTACAGTTTTTTATACTCCACTCTTTGGCTGCTCTAATGCCTGATACTTATATGGTAAAGACCAGATAGGTGTGATTCCCTTTATCCTGCAAGGGTGACAAAAACTTTCTCATTTTTAAAGTGAGTGACATTATTCATTCCTATTTCCTCAGTTTTTAGGAAAAATACTTATATGTTCCGCCATTTTAGCAGACACTGTGTTCCAGTTGCTCTGGTCAGAGGATAAACATGTTTATGACTCCCTCCAGTTATCAAAGGTCACAAGGAAATACTTATTCCCACTGGGAGTGCGGGTCAGAAAAGGACCTGCTTATGTCAGCACTAAAAATGGTTAGTGGTCCTTCCTCTATTATTTTAAGATGCTCAGGATGAACTTTCTTAAACCCATCCACCTCTACACATTGAAGACATGTTGACCATGTGTGTTGTAGGTGCAATCGCAGTTTTGGTAAGAGGATTTTATTGTGGAGACAATATTTTCTCATCTGAAATAGGCCCACATGGCCTAAACTGCTGTGTAATTCACGCACAACCTGAGGAGCTTCTTCAGGTGGTACGTGAATGCTTCCACCCTTTTTCCATATTCTAGGGAATATGGCAGTCAGGTGGTTAACTCGTCCCGTGCTTTAAGCAAGGTAAAACTTCTCTATTACCCTGATAGTTAAATTATATCTTATCTATATGGCTACAGACATGATTCCATTCTACATGCCTGCCTTTAACTCTGCAATAAGACCCTCAATAGATGGGCAGGTGTCAGCGCTTCACCTTTCACATTTTTGAACTGCCTTTGTTTCCAATTATTAAGCTCTTCTTTACCCGCTTTTTAATAATAATCACTATCAGTAATAATACGGATGTGTGCTATTTTTCCTTTTTTAGCAAAAGGAAGTCCTTCAACAAATGGCCTTTTCCTCAGCAGGCTGTACCTGGTATTGCACCCTTTTTCTTGCAAAGTACTTCACCTGAATTAGTTTTCATTATAAAGGCCCAAGTGGCTGCTTGGTCACCTTTTCGCAAACTCCCCTCTGTAAACAGTGTTATCTGTGGAGTAGTGGTTTTCTGTTCGGGTTTCAATGTTTCCCTTTGTGGCTTACTTCCTGTGGTCCTCTGCACCCCACATCTGGATCAGACATTATCATCTTCTATTTTCTTCATCTACTCATCATTGTTTTTGCTCCCTAAACAGTTTGTTTAGTAGCTTCAGATATTTAAAAATAAAGAGTGTATATGCACATTTTGGTACCTTGAGACATTTCCCTCAGGGCTGGATACATTTTTAATGCAAGTGCAAGATGCTTCTCTTCAGGTGATAATTTTCCCTCTGTTCCTGATCAAGTCATGGACATGAATAACACAGATTTTCTATCACCCTGGTTCCTTATCTCCACATTGTTAGTTTCTGAGAATGGGTCTCAACATACTATTTTGGTTTATGATATTTGATATTATTGTTCTGGTGTTAAGATAATTTTTTGAATCTCCCTCTTTTCTTAACAACTGGAGCTATGTCTATTTTAGATCCGACTTGGTAAAGAGTTGATTTATTCATTGGTGAGAGGAACACTATTTCCCTTGTGCTGGGTGGGGGTGGGTAGCCTGCTTTGGGAGAGTTCCTTAAAATCTCCAGATCTTCCTCTGTGCTGAGGCCATAAAACTTTTAATGGTCTTTCGTGGTCTGCTCAAATTTTCTTCCCCTCCAGAGGTCACGCCTGTCTTTGACCCCGTGTGCTGCGTGTTTCTGCAGCACCTCGGGAGCAGAGAAAAGAGGAAACCTTTTTTCCAAAAGTGCATTCTCCTTCATGAGAAAAATAGCACCACATTTAACTCTCCCTGACTTGTCTTTAAAGCGTTCTTTAAGGCTTGAATTGAGTTTTCCGTTGTGTAACGGAAAATCCCATTCCCAAACAGGGGTCAAAAGTAAATAGTTTAGTTGATTTTGGTAAAGTATTTGAGCTTTAGCTTCGCAAAAACTTTCTCATATTAGTTTTGAAGATATTTTTGGGACTTGATATCTGCTGATAGTTCCCACATAGGTTTTTTCTTAAAAGTACATTCAAAACAACCGTTATTTGTGGGTCATCTGATCACCACATCGCCTTCTGACAGTTTAATAGTCCTTATCATATTATCACACTGTTATTGCATGCTAGGACCTATTCTCTTTGCCAGAGCTACTGCTATTTCTCCTGCATGTTTTAGCTTCCTATTAGCAGGGTTTATTAACATGGTTTGTTGATCCAGTTTAAGATTTTCAATATTTGACATTATTTATTTCCAACATTCCTTTTTCCTGAATATCATGTCTAACAATGTGGGTTTTTTTTTTTTTTTCTTTCTAGGAGTAGTAGATGGGATACTCCTAAATGGCATTTTTTGAGCTTTTATCCCTGTATGGTGGAGATAGGGTCTCAAACATTATACCACCTGCTTGTTGCTCTCTGTCAAACGGTAGTCTGACAGGAAAGTATTTTGGTCGCGGTACGCCCGTGGGTCTGGGCTAAGCTGACCAGGGCGGGCAGAAGCTCCGGATTTTGCTTCTGTGTATCCCCCCTGTGTGGTTGGCTCCGAGTCATTAAAAACTGCGTTCTAACCTCGTCCGCCATTTATTTTTGTTTGTTTGTTTTAAAAAACAACACAAAAATGTATTTAAAGGGTTCAAGTTCACTCTTTTATACACATGCAAGTTCCTAGGCTTTACTCTCGACGGGTGTACAGTCCGACTATACCGTCACTTGGTTCTAAGTTCTCTTTCTGGATTCAGTTAGTACATGCGGGTACCTCAGCTAAGAGTTTTATTTACCGAGCTTCGAATTTTTTAAACAGCATAGGTACCTTTAGACCTATGTTTATCTTTATTAAATCTCCTATTAACTCTTCCCCACGTTATGTTTTAACGCAACAGTTCAAACCGCAGCTCTTGGTCAAGTCCTACCTATAAGTTTCAAAGTAATTGGACAAGTACTGAGCAGTGCTCCTACGGCTGACTTCACTTTAGCCACCTAAACCTGTGTTAAAGGGACCACAGGCTTCTCAATTTGACTAGGGGAAAATGAACCTTCTTTAGCTTCTTTAATCAGACAGCTATATCCGATATAATATAACCCTCAGTCCGGTGCAATAGTATTAACTTAAATTACTACACTTTCAGGTTTAATTATATATATTCTAGGATTTGGGGTAGGTATTTTAACAAGACTTTCAGCCTGTATTTCGCTGATTTGTATTCATCGACTTTTTTCACTAGGTCGTTTTGGTTCTTGTATTTTGACTCTGTAAAAGTATTATTTTTCACAGAGCCCCACGTTGGGCGCCATGTTTAGAGTATTGAGAGGTCCTGATAATTTATTCCGGCAAATTATTCTGACCTCCTAATTGACCTTTCCGAAGATTATTGAGTCTATGTAAGTTTGCTGCGTGGCTCAGATCCACCAACGTCAGCAAGATCTCACCTCTACTAACTTCCCGAAGAACCAAGGTTTCAATTAACTGCTGTTTCAATTCAGACAACTCTTTTTTAATCTGTTTAAGCGATCCCGAAGGATTTTGATATCAGTAAATGGAGTGTGCTCCTACCTAAGTGTGTGTGGCAGGGTGCAATCTTACCTTTGACGCAGGAGAGGAGGGCACAGGTGTCTTTTAAAGGATCCCAATCCAACAGGTGGGATTCAGTTTATTTGAAGAAAAATAGGTCCAAACTAATACAGGGTTTTTACCTTCTCTCTCACAACATTATAATCATACTAACAAAAACACCGTGCTGTGATCATGTTCAAATGAAACTTTAATTCACAGTCTTACATTTATTACCAAAATGTTTTAATTTCAACTGCCCATTTCAGTTGTGACATTTTAAAATTCTCCCGATAGAATTTAGAGGTATTTCCTCGTAAAAAGACCGGTGACAATAAAAAGCGCATTCAACTTTTCATTCACCCATTTATTCACATCAGTTTTCATACACTTTTTCCGACACAGACGGCGGATTAACACTCAAAAACCCATTCCTGTCCGCAAAATTCGAAGGAAGGTCCTTACAGGTCGCGGTATTTATAATTTTCAAACACTTTCTCTCATCAAATCATTCCACTCAGCCAACAACCAATAAATTCGAGAGATATTTACCCCGTCTAGAAGGACCTTACCGAGAGCTATTAACCCAGCTCTGAAGCACACAGCCTACCCGGAGAGAGTCTACCAGGGGTCACCCCCCCTCTCTCGCGCTCTCTCAAAAAACCAGTCCCTTTATGCTAAAAAAACTGGATCCTAAACCCAAAAAAACAAACTCCTCCTCTTCACCCAATTCAGTTGAAAACTGCGCCTGCGCACTAATGTACAAGGCTAAACATGTCCCGACATGTTCCACAGCTGTTATGGGATAAGACACCCTTTCATATGAGGTAAAAAGGACATGAACTCTCTTTGGCCTCTAATGTTTCTCCCCTTAGTGTGAAGCCCCCCCCTCTGTGGACTGCTGCCAGAGGAGAGGAAGAAAACTCAACCTAAACAACCCACTTTGTTTTGTTTATACTGTAACTATAGAAAACCTAAAATATGAAGCATTTTCATTGTGGGTTATACAAGAATATAATTGATTATAACTAACTTTCGTTTTTAAGTATTAAACATACTATGAAAACTCACAACACCCTCTTTTCAAAACGCAAAGTTATCAAAATAGCAACAGAAAAAATTGTAAGCATAGATACATATTCAAAAACCGTCAAGAAGCATTCTCATTATGGGTTTATACAAGAATATGATTGATCATGTATGATTTATAATTAACTTTCGTTTTTTAAGTATTCACTTCATACCATGATCTCAATTAACTTTCGTTTTAAGTATTCACTTCATATGAAGATCTCAACATGAGACTTCAGCTCTGGTTTTGGGCTCTGGTTTCACGTCCACTTTACTCAAAGTCAGAGAGATGTCTGACCTCAGAGCGCCCTGTAGTAGATCTCTCACTTCTGTCACGGCTGCTGTCACATCCTCAAAGTATCTCAGAGGATGGGTTTTGATGCTGGATGAGTTTCTAGATTCACTGAGAGGTGTCAGTGAGTTGTAGGTTTAAAAAAACCCACGGTGAAATGTACTGCTTGAGATCTCTTTCAGCTCAGTTTCTGTGTTCTTCAGCTCAGAGATCTCCTTCTCCAGATTCCTCCGAAGATCTCTGACTCGACTTATTTCAGTTTCGTGCTCAGTTTTGATCTGCTGCTTCACTTCTGATCTTCTTTTCTCCAGGAGACGGATCAGCTCAGTGAAGATCTTCTCACTTTCCTCCAGTGCTTTATCAGCAGAGCAGTTGATAGCATCCTCTTCCTCTTGAAGCGGCTTCACCTCTTCCTTTCTGTCCTGCATCCTCTGCTGGGTTTTCTGTAGACTCACATTGATCTCTTTCTGCGCCCGAGACCTTTTGAGAGTAAGGAGTTCAGTCCTGTTCAGCTGCTCCACCAGGAATGATAACATGGTGTTTTTCACCAGAGCAGATCTGGGTGTGAAGGCCTTCCTACACTGAGGACAGCTCTTCTTTTTCTTCTGTTCCTCTCCATCCCAATAGTTTGTAATACAGTCCATGCAGTAGCTGTGTCCACAGGGAATAGTGACTGGATCTTTCATCACATCCAGACATATCCAACAGGAAATGGAGTCTAGGTCCAGCTGAGATCTTCTCTGTGCCATCTCCCCTCGTAGCAGTAACTGAGAGAGAGTTTCTGAGAACAGATGAGTCCTTGCTCTGGTTTAAATACAAACTCTGATGCTCTTGTCCCTTTTCATTGGCTGATGTTCTACCAATCTCCAGCCCTACCCGTTGGTCACACCTATCTTCACACCTGCATATCAGTGAGGAAGAAGGGGGAGGAGTCATCAAGCCTTCGTACATTTTAGAACAGTTTCTCTTAAAGGGGAAGTACATCTTATCTTTTACATCATGATTGATTGATTGATTGAAAGTTTATTAACAGCTTGTATATTGGGTACAGTACAGTACAGCTCAAAACATACAATTGTTAAAGGCCCTGTCACACTGTCCCGAAATTGACACCCGATGGACACACGAATATGGAATTGTGAATTTCGCACGAAGATGGCCCCGAACCACACACGAAGGCAACATTTACATTACATTTAAGACATACAACTGCAATGAAAGTACCAAAAACAATTATGTTACAGTACTATGATACTGTACTGATATCTTCAGACTTTGTTCTTTACTTTATCCGTCGTTATATGTAGAAAATATTACGTTTTCTCCGTAATGTTGTTTCCATAACAACAACAACTTCCTGTCAACTCTCCTTCAAAATAATATATTATATCCTTTTTAGTTTCACAGAACACAAATTGGGTTATTTACATAATATATTTACATGATTTTGTTGTGCAATAAAACAACCCGATGGACACACGATAAAGGAAATGTTCAAATTCGGCTGTGATCGTAGCAACATCTGGCCATTCGTGAGGGCATCTTAAGCCTTCGTATGACCGCCGGTGGAGTTTCTCAGGCTCCGGCAGCAACTTCGTGAGCGGTGGCAAAATCTTTGGCATGCCAAAAAATTGCCGAAGGACCTTGCGAAGGTTCATTTTCGTGTTGAATTCGTGTGTCAATTGTGCCCTTCGTAAGGCCATCGTGAGGGCATCTTGTTATCATCGGTGCCATCGGGCATTCGCCCCGATCAGAGTGAGGGTGAATGCACCGATGATAACACGAAGATGACACGATTTGACAAGATGCCCTCACGATGCCTTACGAAGTTGCCGCTCACGAAGTTGCTGCCGGAGCCTGAGAAACTCCACCGGCGGTCATACGATGGCTTAAGATGCCCTCACGAATGGCCCGATGTTGCTACGATCACAGCCGAATTTGAACATTTCCTTTATCGTGTGTCCATCGGGTGTCAATTTCGGGACAGTGTGACAGGGCCTTTAGGAGATGCAGACCAGAGAAAGACTTTCGTCTTGTTTACATCAGGGTCCCCCATTTCCAATTCATCATATCATTTAAGACATATTTGACATACAGATGGCTTATTTACAATTTACATTTTAGATTTTCTTCTAATACATCCTAACCGGACATTTAAGACATACCAAGTCTACAGATATACAGTTAGTAACAGAGTCTAAAATGCGAGTATATACATAGATGGGGGGGTAGCTGTCCATTGAACGACAGGTTGAGATTTGTACCATTACCGGGGCCAGTTTTGCAATGCTCTCCCCCGAAGGTGCTCTTTAAGAGAGGTTTTGAAGGTAAGTATAGTTTTACTTTCCTTTACAGTTGTGGGAAGAGCGTTCCACCTTGATGTGGCATAATTGCGAAACGTGTATTCCCCCTTGCTTAACAAAACATTCACTATATGTCTTTATGTAATCATGTTTAATCTCAAGTTTGAAATACTAGTAGTTAATTATTTCTTGGTTGTAATAAAAAGATGCATGAGAAACTGATAATAGAAATCAGCTGGGTTTCTACTTTATTAAAAACATATCAGCTGAGTTTTGAACATTTCTGAATGAATGGCATTAAGGCCGACATATTTCTATATCTATCTAGATATAAATTGTAAATATGTTATCTGTATGCCACACTGTGTATGTTTCAATAGGGGCTATTCAAATAATAAAAAATTGCAAACATCAATACTCCAGAGATGTGCAGAATTGTGAAAAATGGATGGTCTATTTTGAGCTCACAACCCATCCTTTGTCCCTTACCATGCATGTTTTTTTGGTAGTTATTATAAGTTCTAAGGACAAAATGTCTGAAGGAGATACAGTAGGGATTACAAAAGTTAAAGTCACCTTACAGTTGTTCAGCTGCAGAGCTCTCTTTAGTTGAAAACACAAGCAGAGTGCACCTATATCCATATATCATGATAAATGTGCACCAAAAGATGGATGAAATATACATTTGTATGAAATTATTCAGACATGTAAACATCAAACTTGGTTCATAGCTGAATTATGTTGGAAAATATGTAAGAGTTTGGGAACAGGTTCAAAGAGTCAAAGAACAGGTTTTGTCAGGCAGTGTGAGACGCTGAACGACTGCACCTTAAGAAACTCCAGTAAGTGAACGACTCTGAAAGGGTCTCAAACTCTCCACTAACGACGAGCACCTGGCCAACGACCTGTATTATTTTAATGTAGGTTTGAAAGACAATGGGACACAGAGGGACGTTAGCAGGCTGTTCAAGAGACGCTAATGTACACCACATGCTCAAACAAAAGACTCCAATCATGTCTTATGGTAATACTTTGTCTTCTCCTTAGTTGTCCTATAACGCTGTGAAGTTGAAGATTTGTCCACATTGAAGACAGAATGGGGCGACTGGAGGATTGTTGACATCCACCTGGATCACTCATCTTCTTCTATATAGACGCATGATCTTTTTATCTTTCTGAACTTGGAATACCTATGTTGTAAATGTATTATCTTTTTAATTTACGCACAACATGTATTGCTCGTCTGTCCGTCCTCTGTTGATCTCCTTGATGTTAATACCCCATTAACTGTGCACTTTCTTTGGGAGTCCTTTAATAATGTTTTATTCTCTACTTATAATTTTGTTTTTATACATTTATTTATTTTTGTGTTTATTTATTAATGTATTTTTGTCTCCACATTTATTTATTTATTCCTGTATTTATTTCCACATTGATTTATTTCAGTTGTTCACATTTATTTATAGTTTTATATATATATAATGTTCCTGTATTTATTCATGTGTTACTCATGTCATGTTCTGTCCTCCATACCTGTGTGTTCTCTGAAGATTGATCAGGGATTCTTTTCACAGAATGGCCTCACACTCCTCACTCCAAGTTCACCATGAATATATCTGTACCAGTCGTACATCATTTGAGCTTTAACAACAACATTCATTACATGTGACATGTCAATTGCTTTAGCTGCCAATGCCTGTTGATGTATCACACAGTGATAGTTTACAAATGGTGGAAAGTTTGGGTCTTTTTTGCACAGCGCAACAAATCCTGAACGAACACCGAGCATCGCTGGTGCCCCATCGGTTGTGAAAAACACTATTTTATGAATGGGAATCTTGTACTGACGAACATAGTCCTTGAATGCCTTGTACACATCCTCACCCCTGGTTCTTTCTTTCAATGGGATTAGGGCAAGAAAGGCCTCCTTGACAGTAAAATCTGTGAAAACCATCCGGACAAACACACCTAGCTGGGATGTGTCTGTGGCATCGGTAGACTCGTCAAATTGAACTGAAAAGTATTCCGAGAGAGACAAGTCTTTTAATACTTGCTGGGATACATCTTCGGACAATGACTCGACTCTTCTGGCTATAGTAGGTGCACCAAGTGGTACACTTTTTATCCTTGCTTTTATGTCCTCTTTGTTTTTGAAATCCGCAAACAAGACGTCAGCTGTGGCGCTCATTGTTTCTTTTATCATCTCACCATCCGTAAATGTTTTTTTGTGCTGAGCCAAAATGGCTAATCCGGAGGGACGTTTCTGTAGCTGCATTGCTCTTTGCTGTTAGCGCGATGAAAAGCGACTGCTGTGCTTATAGTCCTCTTTTCAGTTCATCAATTATTTTGGTTATTAATGCGCTGTTGAGTGGATATGAGTCTTTGAATTTACCATGGGTGCTCGCATGATGGCGCTCCATGTTGCCCCGTTTCGCCAAGGCTACCGCCTGTTGGCATATGAGGCATACAGTCTTCTCTTCCGCTGATGTGAAAATAAATTCATGCTCCCATTCCGGGTGGAAATAATACGTTTTTGATTTATTTTTCGCCGGACCCTTAGCCATATCGATGTTGGTTAAAGATTAGCAGAACTTGGTACAGTTTAAGTTACTCCTCAAGATGACCGTTAAGATACCATTTTTAAGGCCATGGGCATCATGAACTGCTTCGTGAGCGACATCTTTGAGCGCATCGCCGGTGAGGCCTCTCGTCTGGCTCACTACAACAAGCGCCGCACCATCACCTCCAGGGAGATCCAGACCGCTGTCCGCCTGCTGCTGCCCGGAGAGCTGGCTAAACACGCCGTGTCTGAGGGCACCAAGGCCGTGACCAAGTACACCAGCTCCAAGTAAACTCTGCTGCTGACATACCAACAACACAAAGGCTCTTTTAAGAGCCACCCAACCCATCTATAGACGTGTTCCTCTGTTTTGAATAAGTGTCATGCACGATCCATGACTCAAATAGATGATATGTAAATCACTTTATATTATGTTGTGTGAGCTTGTATCTCTACAGCACTTTGGTCTGAAGGTTTTAAAGTGGTATATAAATAAAGTTGGATTGAACTTGACATGACCAGCTCCAAGTAAACTGCTGCCGCTACTGCTAAAAACCAACGGTACTTTTAAGAGCCACCCACTTCATCTAATGCTGCTTTCTTCTTACAAAGTGTCTAATATACGTCAACAGTTTTTTTTACAGTTTTGTTTGTATTATACATCATATATGTGTTAAGTGCTGCAAATATAATGTATGTACAGTGTGTGTGTATATATACACGAATGAGAATAGGTTTTATTACCAAGTAGCTTGTTGACACATACAAGGAATTTGCTTTGGTATATTTGGTGCATACAAAGACAGAATGAATAATACCTAGCAAAACTATTAAAATCTAAATATGAAATAAGAGATGTCCTCAAAATATAAAGATAAGATACAAAAATAGACATTACACAAATTACAACCTACACAAATAAGTTACAACTGATGATCATTTTCTCCCCGTTAAATGTTTAGCCCAAACAGCTGCATGTATTTAGGTGGGTGTGTAATTTGAGTTATAATACCAAATATATTATTTAATAAGTTAATTACACACTGTAAATAATCATTAAGTATGACACCTTTTTGAATGTCTTAATGTTCTCTACATATTGAGACTTTCGCTTCTTAAATTACAGGAGTTTATGTTCATCTTTGAACGGGTGAAAACAATTTCAGAAAATTCAGTCTCATTCTGAAAAGAATTCAGGCGGCAGACCGACCTGTTTTCTGATTGGACGATCACAGTTACGGATCAATCTGACCAATGAGCGTTTAGCTGCGCTCCTATATAAACTGGTGAGAACGGTGATCAGGTCACTTTCTTCTAAACATCAAAGAATAATCACATAGAAAATGTCTGGTCGCGGAAAAGGTGCAGGAAAGGTCAGGGCGAAGGCCAAGACTCGCTCCTCCCGTGCCGGGCTCCAGTTCCCCGTCGGCCGTGTCCACAGGCATCTGAGGAAGGGCAACTACGCCCATCGTGTCGGTGCCGGAGCCCCGGTGTACCTGGCCGCTGTGCTGGAGTACCTGACCGCTGAGATCCTGGAGCTGGCTGGAAACGCCGCCCGGGACAACAAGAAGAGTCGTATCATCCCCCGCCACCTGCAGCTCGCCGTCCGCAACGACGAGGAGCTGAACAAGCTGCTGGGAGGAGTGACCATCGCTCAGGGAGGCGTGCTGCCCAACATCCAGGCTGTGCTGCTGCCCAAGAAGACCGAGAAGGCTGCCAAGAAGTGAACACCCCGATCCCGCTTCAACAAACAACAAAGGCTCTTTTAAGAGCCACACACTTCCAACTAAAGACATTTCTCCCCCTTGCCCTATATGCATTGATGTGCACAACATGTCATGTTACACCAAGTCACCCAACTAAAACACCCACATTATAGAGCAATATACAATTGAAACATAACCCTAAATTACTATTAATGATATCATCTATTGCAGGTTGTAGCCTCTCTAAAATAAAGCCTTATTTCAACTAAAGCAAACTCCTTTCACAATTTCCTTCGTACATCCAGCAGGTTAATCACCACATTCTCAAATGAATAGCGGTGTGGTTTCTACATCTGTCAGTCCACATAAATAAAGCCACAACGTGTGTTGGACCCATCATTAGTGTTTAACTCACTTCACACTATATCAGTATTACTTATTGGCAGGTGTCTGCAGTTCACCGATCAATAGCGTACCGTAGCATTTAAGCACTCGATGGTATCTTTATCCCACGCGCACATTGAAATGAATAACAGGTTATATTTAGTTCCAGCCTTTATCCACCAGATGTCAGTGTTCACCAACTAATGTTTGGAGCACAACGAAAATAGTGGCTCTATTGTAGTGGAATAAATATTAACACACGTGTCTTTCTAACAGTTATTTATTTATGTTGTATTAGCATTTTAAGAAATGAGGTACATCTAGTACATATATTAATGAAGTTAATATCTTTTAGCCAATTAGCAGTTCTTTAATGTGACCATTGTTTATACCGTTAGGAGTTAGTTTAGTAGCTCTAAAACATACATGGCACAAGCTATTATACAGCACTATTTCAAGATTAGATAAGCATGTAAATATTAACATCTTGAAGAATATTGTTTAAACTAAACTGTATTTTATGGACAAAAACGTTTCTCAACTTTATTTAAAACTCAAACACTAAGTACAAGAGCCAACATTAGAAACAGTGGCAGAATAGTATAGTTATATAACAGTAATTATAATAATTGTATTTACATTCAATAAAAACAAAAATATTTAGGATTAAAAACTCAACTTAATAAAATATACAAAACATAATTCTTCATGTTTGAATTATATTCTTTAAATACTGTTTATAGCTCTACTATTTTATGCTTGACTACATTATTGTTAGAGATACATTTCTGTGATCCATTATTCGTTCACTTAATTTGAATATAAAATTAACCCAAAATACATTTAGATTAATAAGGTCAAGTTTCATTTATTATTTATTATCATATGCACAGTAGCTACAGTGTAGACGTGGCAATGCAAATCTTAAGTCCCAGGCTCCTCCAACAATGCAACATAGTTATATAGGACAGAAGACAATAAAACTGATTAAAAAAACAAACAAATTCAATTAAAATATTGCATTTTATGTTGAAATGAAAGAGTCTATATAGATGTAAATAGAATAAGATGGACAAAAACAGAATGTAAAAAGAACTATTGTTTATTGTAGTGATATGTATTTGGACTCAGGCTTTAAGCCTGGAAGAGGCTTTCTGTTTCAAGACTAGAATCACACAATTACGGGTGCGTTCAAGTTGGTGCGTCACAAGATTCATGTAAGAAGTATTTAAAGGCAAAAAACTAAAACATACATCGATTAAGTTATTTTAAAAGGTTTTCAGGTTAAGCATCGACTAAATACAGAAAAGTATACATCTTCTTTTACTGCAATTTATGTTATTTGGTTAACATTTCTGAATAAAAACAATGTATTGTGATGAAACTGCTGGTCATTCATCGTGACCTTAAGAATACATGTGATAAACAGTCAGAAGATAATGCTTTATTTTAAGAGTATGCAGAACACAAATACATGAGAGAAAGAAACAAGCACCTTTAACCGGTGTTAAATAATAAATAAAGTTAAAATCCTAGTCAGACATGTGTGGAGCCAAAACACCTAAGAAGCCTATTTACAGTCTCTAATCTTCTGAGTCTAAAGTTTATTAAAAGGTGTTTTTTGGAGCACATTTAGTGATTTTATTGTAATAGTCTTTAATGAGTGTAACAAATAACTCTAAAGTAATCAAGTTTCTCAAAAACAGCCCCCGATTTAAATGTTCCAACTGTTTGTGTGTTTTTTGTAAATGTAAACGGCAGGTTACTTAGTTTTCTGAAGAAGAAAAGATAGGCCTACATGTTATCAAAGTGTTGAATTAAGTTAAATGATCCTACATTAGTGAAGTGTAAAAGAAAACATACCGACTCTCTATCAGAACCGGAGTACAATCCCACGACTCTTTTGAGTGTGTTTGCAGAGACAAAACTAACCTCTGTTTAACATTAACATATTTATATTAGTAACCTTTTTTTAGGTTAGGTCTTTAACCAAACATCTTATTTCTATGCCAGACTAGTTTAAGTCGAATTTGAACGTATTTTAAAGCATTTAAAATGGAAATTAGAGAGGAAAGTCACATATTTACGACTCACACGGCAGCATTTGAGGGAGGTCGAAAGGCTTCCCATTAAAATCATAACACAATATTGAGGTTAATTTCACTTTAACATGAAGAGAAACTCCTTTGCTATCGTTTAGGGTGAATTTTACAATATATTGTTTCCTCCAGGTGTGATTTTATTACATGTGTTCGTGAAGAGAAAACACAAAGTGGCACAGTATGCCTGCTGCTCCTGTGAGACAGATTGAGTCTCTACGGTTCTCATGGTGTGTTTAAGTTCCGCTCTTTGCCGGGATTTCTCTCTCCGTCTCACCGAGTCCAGAGAATCCACTTTGAAAGCAACATGGCAGAATCCGCTCCCGCCGCACCGGCCAAGTCCCCGAGGAAGAGAGCCACCAAGCCGAAGAAGGCGGGCCCCAGCGCCGCTGACCTCGTGCTGAAAGCCGTCTCCGCCTCCAAGGAGCGTAAAGGGATTTCCTATGTCGCCCTGAAGAAAGAGCTGGCCGTTAAAGGCATCGACAACGCCAACCAGGTGAAACGCGCCGTGAAGAAGTTGGTGGAGAATGGAGCCCTGGTGCAGGTCAAGGGATCCGGAGCCAGCGGCTCCTTCAAGGCAGCCAAGCCCGCCGAGAAGCCCAAGAAGGTAGCGAAGAAGCCCGCAGTCAAAGCCAAGAAGCCGGCAGCAGCGAAGAAACCCGCCGCCAAGAAGCCAGCAGCCAAGAAGGCAGTAACACCCAAGACGGCGAAGAAGCCTGCTACTCCTGCAAAGAAAACCCCCGTGAAGAAGATCACTAAGAGCCCGAAGAAGGTGGCGGCCAAGAAGGCAGCACCCAAGAAGGCAGCGACCCCCAAGAAGACCTTAACCCCCAAGAAAGCTGTGAAGAAGGCGGTTAAAGCAGCTGCCAAAGCAGCGAAGAAGGCACCAGCCAGGAAAGCAGCGAAGAAGTAAACAGACCATCTGCTTCATGTACAAAAGGCTCTTTTAAGAGCCACCCACAAACACCAAAAGAGCACTTCCTGTTTTAATATTACATGTTTATATTTTTATAACACCAGACTACCTTACTGTTTACAAGAAGTCAATTAACTGATATAAAGATGACTTGAATGAAACATGAATAACATGTTACCTGGTATACTACATTCATCCATTTCCTCTTAGTATAATACATTTCATTATGTTGTTATAAAGACATCTACTTACATATTCTCTAAAACATTATCCCTTACATGTACAGTATTTCCTATAGACATTGTTTTAAAATACATATTTCATAATGACATACTATTATTATATTAAAACGTGTCTTTACTACACATGAACTATTACCCTCACCCCCCTGCAGCTGGACAGACAGGGAGCTCCTTCTCCCACAGACTGATCCAGCGTCTCCTCCGGCTGGCAGAGAGCTCACTTTAGCTTCTCCCTCCAGAACCATGAACCCTCTGCACAACAGCAACCTTGCACATCTGTCATTTATATACTTTGCTATATAAGTCAAGTACATGTAAACATTTCAATCCATCCACAATATTCTATAATGTCAATCATTTTTAATATATGTATTTTATATACTTATATTCACTGTTTATTTTATTTTGTATCTTATTACTTCTATACTTTATTGAAACGTTTTTTATTGTGTAATGCCTGAACACACTGTAACATAATAATTCAGTACATTATTGAAATGATATCATGTTATCACAATTCAAATTAAACTTAAATGAAAAAAGGTTACTGAAACAATATGATATAAAACCCACAAGTTTATTATATATGAAGTAAAACAATCGTGCATTGTAGAATACTAATCATATTATAGTACAGCCGTTACCTTTGTGTACTTTTTAAACATAATAGTTGTGGTTCTCATCCAATGCTTCATATAATTATGACTTCATATTGTTACAAATGAAAGGTTAAAATGTCTTTCCATGTTGTCAGATCAGAAGTCTTTTAAAGACCTGAATACAGAGTATTACAGAGTACAGAGTATACATAAATGAATATACTAAAATCTTACTGACACCCAACATATTTTAACATTATGACGTAACATTTAAAGAAACCAGGAAAATATGCTCATGATCTTTGTTTTTGGTAGTCCTGAAAGACATTAGACAACATGCTTTACACATTTTAAAATGTCCATGTTTTTAGATTTAAAGCTGATGACCAGTATTCCTTTCTTTCTAATGTGAAACCTGAATAAAGCATCATGGTGTCACTCAATGCTAAAATGCTGTATCGCTCATAGATGGACTTTTGACTATAAAGGGACAATATTTCAAAAGTGATATATAATATAAACCTACACAATCTTTGTACCCTTAGTGGATAAAACACATTTATGACATTATCGCATCTGAATGCAATATATCTGTCCAACAGCACCCTCTGCTACAACAGGACACAACACGTGGTTATTTTACCATTTCATATATTTTGTTTGTGTGTCATGCCAGACATCTCTAGGCAACCTTTTATACACCACTTCAATTAGTTACTTTTTTATTTTTAAAACTGTCATAAATAGTTTTGTCAATACATAATAGACATACACAAACCACTGCATAAAAACATGTACACACAACTCATAAATACATACTTAAACACAACACAACAGTATTTCAGACGGCAGAAAGGGAATTGTCCGATCAGCCTTTGTCCAATCACAGACTCAGTTTGCTCCATGGTAGTCTGTGACTTGTCGAGGCTTTCTCTTCTCCTTAGCTCGGTTCCGATATGTTTTGTTTTGGGACAACTGTTCATTATTGTTTGATGTATTACCACGGTGCATCTGGTCTTCCATATCTGCATACAAGGGACGCAGAAGAAAACACTTTGGTGCTTTCAATAAGAGATAGAATATATCCACCATATTTGTATTCATTTATTTAAAACAAATATATATATATACTTGGAAGTCCATTCCATTCAAAGGTGTATATTCTACCTCTCCTTTTTGTCCACCTTGATTTATCCCCAACCCAGGGTGCTTTCCTTGATATTGCCGCTGTAAACATTTTAACAAAAGTCATTTTAAGTTTAATATCTAGGTCTACGTCTCCAAATACGCCTCCATATTCCATTATTTTAAATAATAAATTACGTTGAGTAACCTCCCTCGTTGTGCCCCACACCAAATGTACGTGTTTGTTTAATTATTTAATTATTTGGGAGGGGTTCAATCAGTTTATTCTCCCAATTTAGGTCAGCACAGTTTTCATTACAGTCAAACCAAGTATTTTTATTTCTTGTTTAATTTAATTTAAACGTTAATGGCATAAGTTAAGTTTCCTCTATTATATATTTCAGATTTGTTATGATAATTCCAGGTTTAGTCAGTTTTCAAATTAGAAATATTTTCTTCACCCGTTTTAGATTTAACTTTAATCTATTTTAAAATAATATACTGTTTGATTAGAGTAACATATTTACTATTTGTAGCTTTATTTAATTCTCTACATTTGTATTTAAATAAATGTTTTATCCTATGTTTTAATGTTTCCCATAATCCACAGGATTGTACCATTATCACATCCTGAGAAATTGTGGATTTGTTCACATTTTAGTATCACTAATTCGTATAAATATTTCCTTTATCGAATATGGACCCTTAAGTTCTCTTAAGTCAGCACTAATGTACTTTGAACATAGGTTTCCCTGCAAACTGAATTTCTGTGGATACTCATGAAGAATTGTTATTGCTCGAAGCAATCGAAGAGAAATGTCGGCTCAGAATTTTGGATAAAATGCTGCAATAACTTACCATTTATATACAATATTATATACTATTGTCCTGCAGTCTAGTAACACTATGGAGTGGCCTTGGCTCCATACTTGCTCCATCCTTCTGTGTCATTCCAGTGCCTTGCAAAAGTATTCAGCCCCCTGGCCTGTTGCTTGTTTTATTGAACAAAAACATTTAATTAGATTTTTGCAGATGTTGTTTTTATTGATGTACACAACATGAATCTTTGAAGATGCAAAACATATTTTTCATTGTGAAAAAAACAAGAAATAATAATGAATAAGAAAAAACGTTTGCGTGCATAACTATTCACCCCCCCAAAGTCAATACTTAGTAGAGCCACCTTTTGCAGCAATTACAGCTGCAAGTCTCTTGGGGTATGTGTCTATAAGCTTGGCACATCCATTTTGGGGAATCTTCCACATGGCTTTTGGTGAACTCCAAACGTGTTTTCTTGTTTTTTTCCTTAAGCAATGGCTTCTTTCTGGCGACTCTTCCATAAAGCCCAGCTCTGTGGGGTGTACGGCTTACTGTGGTCCTATAGATTCTCCTCTCTCTACTGTGGTGCTAACCAGCTCCTTCAGGGTTTCCATGACCTCTTTGTTGCCTCTCTGATCAATGCTCACCTTGCACAGTGTGTTTGGTTGGCGGCCCTCTCTTGGCAGGTTTGTTGTCGTGGCATATTTTCATGAAACAATGGATTTAATCGTGCTTCGTGGGATGTACAAAGTTTGTGAGGTTTTTATATAACCCAACCTTATTTATACTTATCCACAACTTTGTCCCTGAACTGTTTGGAGAGCTCCTTAGTCTTCATACTGTCGTTTTCTTGCTAAGTATTGCCACTTGTTAAGTGGTGTGGGAGATTTGGGACTTCTACAACAAGTGTATACATACAGATATAATCAGACATTTGATTGCACACGGGTTAAGTTAGCTTTATTTAAATAATGTTTTGACTCTGAAGGTCATTGTTGGGGCTAAATAGCAAAGAGGGTGAATACATGTGCATGGCACTGTATGCCCTGTTTTCATTTGGCTCTACTGTAGACCTGCAAGTGAATCTACCTCTTATGATGTACCAACAACACAAAGGCTCTGCCACCCACTGCATCTGAACACCTACTCCAAACATTTCCTTTCGAGGCTTGTCTCTATATGATTAATGAAATCGACTTATCTTTCAATCTCATAAGTGACACACATCATGAATATGTTTTGTTTTAATCTTCTGTCAGAAGTATAAACTGGATGAATAAATACTTTTTGAATCGTAATCATACTCTCAGAAAAGGAGTTTGACCCTTCTCAATTGTTTCTATCTAAACCCTTCTAAAGACTCCATACGATAGCATATCATTATCAGAGCTAAACAGTAGTTATATTGTTTTTCTTTTCTTTTAAAAAATACAATCTGTCAAAACTGTTTCCATGAGGCAATACCATTTTCTAATAAATAGTTTTCTCTACTAAAGTATCTTTTAAATGTGTAAATTAAAAGCTTTAATTGACCAAACTTATAACATTTTGTGAGAGCTGAAATATGTAATGAATTGAAGAAGTCCATGGTTATTTGTCTGTTACTTTATATTTTATATTTAACATGAACAATTTGGTACATTTCTTGATGGTCACACACCCAAACCTAAATACAGTGTCTACATTCAGGTGTTTCTATTGGACTAATTATTACTTTTATGTCAAATTGTTGACATGTTTTATATAAATGTATGTCTTGACTCATCAGAAACAGAATGAAAGTCTCCTATAAAGAGTATTTTTTTAAAACTTTGATCAACTTTAAATGTAATGTTAATATCAGAAAGGGTCTTATTTCAATTATAAATGTAATTAAGCATGTGAGGGTTTTATTACATATTAACACACGTTTAATCATCAAACGCTTAGTATAAAGCCTGACTGAATTATATAAACAATATTAGAAGAAGAGAAAATGTTTTGAAAGATAATGTGGAGGATGCAGCGTTGGCCCCGCCCAGCCGCTTTCCCGCTCTCCGTCTTCTCTTAGGTCCGCAGTGAATGTATAAATACTGCCGGTCACTCTGCTTCTACTCATTCGTTCTGAAAGAGCCGACAAAAACAATACCTGAAAATGAGTGGAAGAGGAAAAGGAGGAAAGGGACTCGGCAAAGGAGGCGCCAAGCGTCACCGCAAAGTTCTCCGTGATAACATTCAGGGCATCACCAAGCCCGCTATCCGCCGTCTGGCTCGCCGTGGCGGAGTGAAGCGTATCTCCGGTCTGATCTACGAGGAGACCCGTGGGGTGCTGAAGGTGTTCCTGGAGAATGTGATCCGTGATGCCGTCACCTACACCGAGCACGCCAAGAGGAAGACGGTGACCGCCATGGATGTGGTGTATGCCCTGAAGAGGCAGGGCCGCACTCTGTACGGCTTCGGAGGTTAAACATCTACACCCTGACATACCTGGAACAACAACGGCTCTTTTAAGAGCCACCCACATTACTCAAAAAGAGACATTCCTTTTGATGAACTTTATATCAAACCTAAACTCCATCTCCAAAACTCTTGCTTTGATACTGGATATTAAAAATGTAGACTATTTCACAATGTTGTTTATCCGACATCCAATGATATGTTCGTAGAGGATAAAGTCTCCACAACTACAGCCACAACCACGACTGCTCCAAAAACTTCTGCTTCCAGCTGTGTCGGGTTTCTTAAACTTTTGAAATATGTTTTAATGGTGAAATACACCGGGATATTAAGGACTAACTCGCTTATAATGAATACATTTGTATTTATTTTAGGATCTTAAAATCATACCTATTGGGATTCATGAGGATTAATACGTGTGGACTAGAGGCTGACAAGCATCACTTTCACCTCACTTTTTTATTTAAATTCCAACGTTGGTCATGAAAAATATGTTTCTCTGTTGTCCACGTTATACATAGTTACAAACATATGAAAGAGTTAAAAGGACATTGATTCCAACCGATTTGTTGATTTATTCATGTACAACACATTATAAAACCCCAATAATACAAATACATAATCAATGGGGGGTTCATTTTACAAATCATCCAATCTGTTTTGATTCTAAAACTCGTTAAGCGCATGCTCCGTCCTGCTCAGAAGACAACCAATCCCGTGTGAGCAACAGCACAGTAACATTTGCATCATGTGAATATAAATAGACCGCTCTGTGATAAAGAAGTATCTCGACTCTGTCGCACCTCTCTCTCTCATCATGCCTGCTGAAGCACCCCCCGTCAAAGCGGCCAAGAAGGGCTCCAAGAAAGCCGTCGCTAAGACCGTCAGCAAGACTGGAAAGAAGAGGAGAAAGTCCAGGAAGGAGAGCTACGCCATCTACGTCTACAAGGTGATGAAGCAGGTCCACCCCGACACCGGCATCTCCTCCAAGGCCATGGGCATCATGAACTGCTTCGTGAGCGACATCTTTGAGCGCATCGCCGGTGAGGCCTCTCGTCTGGCTCACTACAACAAGCGCCGCACCATCACCTCCAGGGAGATCCAGACCGCTGTCCGCCTGCTGCTGCCCGGAGAGCTGGCTAAACACGCCGTGTCTGAGGGCACCAAGGCCGTGACCAAGTACACCAGCTCCAAGTAAACTCTGCTGCTGACATACCAACAACACAAAGGCTCTTTTAAGAGCCACCCAACCCATCCAAAGAGCTCATCCTGTTATACTCTATAACTACTCTTCCAGAAATCTAAATAACTTAAATGTTATTTATACATAATGTTTTGTAAAGCAAGATAAACCATGATTGAATATTCATTCTTCACTATACGTGTTTATACCACCTCACTGGTGTTTGTTTTTCCAAATGAAAATACATACATTTCACAATATGAAGGAAATATGGTGGTTATTTTACTGCAATCCTGAGAGAAAATGCTAAGTGGTAATCTTTATCTTAGCAAATCTTTAGAGGAGACAAATGAACACTTATTATTAAATGTTGTCCCTCTGCCACCACAAACTCTAATGTGCTGTAACAACAATCCAAATGGTGTTTCTTCTGACACTCAAAGCCTCCCTTGAATGATTGATACCGGTAATACAAAGTGATGGGTTTAATAAGAGAAGAGAATCATTTCACCAATCAGTAATGTCAAAAACACAAACGATAAATGCTTTGCAAATGCTTGTGAAATAAATAATACATAAACACAACATTCATATGGGCACCTACATTTCATATGGATAAGTAGGCTATATACCTACATCTTTCACACTAATAAACTCAAATACTTTTATAAAGTGATCTAATTTTACTGCAGAAGATCAGGATTCATTTGATGTCTTCCACTCACACTAAAAGCTGGTGCCATTTAAGGTCACGATGAATGACCAGCAGTTTCACCACAATACATTGTTTTTATTCAGAAATAAATAACATAAATTGCAATAAAAGAAGATGTATACTTTTCTGTATTTAGTCGATACTTAACCTGAAAACCTTTTAAAATAACTTAATCTATGTTTTAGTTTTTTGCCTTTAAATACTTCTTACATGAATCTTGTGACGCACCAACTTGAACACACCCGTAATTGTGTGATTCGAGTCTTGAAACAGAAAGCCTCTTCCAGGCTTAAAGCCTGAGTCCAAATAAATATCACTACAATAAACAATATTTCTTTTTACATTCTGTTTTTGTCCATCTTATTCTATTTACATCTATATAGACTCTTTCATTTCAACATAAAATGCAATATTTTAATTGAATTTGTTTGTTTTTTAAATCAGTTTTATTGTCTTTTGTCCTATATAACTATGTTGCATTGTTGGAGGAGCCTGGGACTTAAGATTTGCATTGCCACGTCTACACTGTAGCTACTGTGCATATGACAATAAATAATAAATGAAACTTGACCTTATTAATCTAAATGTATTTTGGGTTAATTTTATATTCAAATTAAGTGAACGAATAATGGATCACAGAAATGTATCTCTATAACAATAATGTAGTCAAGCAGAAAATAGTAGAGCTATAAACAGTATTTAAAGAATATAATTCAAACATGAAGAATTATGTTTTGTATATTTTATTAAGTTGAGTTTTTAATCCTAAATATTTTTGTTTGTATTGAATGTAAATACAATTATTATAATTACTGTTATATAACTATACTATTCTGCCACTGTTTCTAATGTTGGCTCTTGTACTTAGTGTTTGAGTTTTAAATAAAGTTGAGAAACGTTTTTGTCCATAAAATACAGTTTAGTTTAAACAATATTCTTCAAGATGTTAATATTTACATGCTTATCTAATCTTGAAATAGTGCTGTATAATAGCTTGTGCCATGTATGTTTTAGAGCTACTAAACTAACTCCTAACGGTATAAACAATGGTCACATTAAAGAACTGCTAATTGGCTAAAAGATATTAACTTCATTAATATATGTACTAGATGTACCTCATTTCTTAAAATGCTAATACAACATAAATAAAGAACTGTTAGAAAGACACGTGTGTTAATATTTATTCCACTACAATAGAGCCACTATTTTCGTTCTGCTCCAAACATTAGTTGGTGAACACTGACATCTGGTGGATAAAGGCTGGAACTAAATATAACCTGTTATTCATTTCAATGTGCGCGTGGGATAAAGATACCATCGAGTGCTTAAATGCTACGGTACGCTATTGATCGGTGAACTGCAGACACCTGCCAATAAGTAATACTGATATAGTGTGAACTGAGTTAAACACTAATGATGGGTCCAACACACGTTGTGGCTTTATTTATGTGGACTGACAGATGTAGAAACCACACCGCTATTCATTTGAGAATGTGGTGATTAACCTGCTGGATGTACGAAGGAAATTGTGAAAGGAGTTTGCTTTAGTTGAAATAAGGCTTTATTTTAGAGAGGCTACAACCTGCAATAGATGATATCATTAATAGTAATTTAGGGTTATGTTTCAATTGTATATTGCTCTATAATGTGGGTGTTTTAGTTGGGTGACTTGGTGTAACATGACATGTTGTGCACATCAATACATATAGGGCAAGGGGGAGAAATGTCTTTAGTTGGAAATGTGTGGCTCTTAAAAGAGCCTTTGTTGTTTGTTGAAGCGGGATCAGGGTGTTCACTTCTTGGCAGCCTTCTCGGTCTTCTTGGGCAGCAGCACAGCCTGGATGTTGGGCAGCACGCCTCCCTGAGCGATGGTCACTCCTCCCAGCAGCTTGTTCAGCTCCTCGTCGTTGCGGACGGCGAGCTGCAGGTGGCGGGGGATGATACGACTCTTCTTGTTGTCCCGGGCGGCGTTTCCAGCCAGCTCCAGGATCTCAGCGGTCAGGTACTCCAGCACAGCGGCCAGGTACACCGGGGCTCCGGCACCGACACGATGGGCGTAGTTACCCTTCCTCAGATGCCTGTGGACACGGCCGACGGGGAACTGGAGCCCGGCACGGGATGAGCGAGTCTTGGCCTTCGCCCTAACCTTTCCTGCACCTTTTCCGCGACCAGACATTTTCTATGTGATTATTCTTTGACGTTTAGACGAAAGTAAGTCGATCACCGTTCTCACCAGTTTATATAGGAGCGCAGCTAAACGCTCATTGGTCAGATTGATCCGTAACTGTGATCGTCCAATCAGAAAACAGGTCGGTCTGCCGCCTGAATTATTTTCAGAATGAGACTGAATTTTCTGAAATTGTTTTCACCCGTTCAAAGATGAACATAAACTCCTGTAATTTAAGAAGTGAAAGTCTCAATATGTAGAGAACATTAAGACATTCAAAAAGGTGTCATACTTAATGATTATTTACAGTGTGTAATTAACTTATTAAATAATATATTTGGTATTATAACTCAAATTACACACCCACCTAAATACATGCAGCTGTTTGGGCTAAACATTTAACGGGGAGAAAATGATCATCAGTTGTAACTTATTTGTGTAGGTTGTAATTCGTGTAATGTCCATTTTTTTTTTATCTTATCTTTATATTTTGAGGACATCTCTTATTTCATATTTTAATAGTTTTGCTTGGTATTATTCATTCTGTCTTTGTATGCACCAAATATACCAAAGCAAATTATTTGTATGTGTCAACAAGCTACTTGGTAATAACACATATTATCATTCGTGTATATATATACACACACACTATATTTGCAGCACTTAACAAATATATATATTTGAAAACCTCCAGGTTAAAGTGATGTATAATACTAACAAAACTGTGAATAAAACTGCTCAGAAAGTAAAATGAACAAAATGTAAATAGTAAAAGCCAGATCACAGGAAGATGATCCAGTGAGCATGGCAGTTTAATCTCACTACCACCAATACATAATTTCAAAACCAGCTTAAAAAAAGAAGGGTGTTGTTCACTTAGAGTAGACCATAAGTATTATTTTTGTTTTATTAAAATGGAAATCATGTTGACGTATATTAGACACTTTGTAAGAAGAAAGCAGCAGTAGATGAAGTGGGTGGCTCTTAAAAGTACCATTGGTTTGTAGCAGTAGCAGCAGAGTTTACTTGGAGCTGGTCATGTCAAGTTCAATCCAACTTTATTTATATACCACTTTAAAACCTTCAGACCAAAGTGCTGTAGAGATACAAGCTCACACAACATAATATAAAGTGATTTACATATCATCTATTTGAGTCATGGATCGTGCATGACACTTATTCAAAACAGAGGAACACGTCTATAGATGTAGTGGGTGGCTCTTAAAAGAGCCTTTGTGTTGTTGGTATGTCAGCAGCAGAGTTTACTTGGAGCTGGTGTACTTGGTCACGGCCTTGGTGCCCTCAGACACGGCGTGTTTAGCCAGCTCTCCGGGCAGCAGCAGGCGGACAGCGGTCTGGATCTCCCTGGAGGTGATGGTGCGGCGCTTGTTGTAGTGAGCCAGACGAGAGGCCTCACCGGCGATGCGCTCAAAGATGTCGCTCACGAAGCAGTTCATGATGCCCATGGCCTTGGAGGAGATGCCGGTGTCGGGGTGGACCTGCTTCATCACCTTGTAGACGTAGATGGCGTAGCTCTCCTTCCTGGACTTTCTCCTCTTCTTTCCAGTCTTGCTGACGGTCTTAGCGACGGCTTTCTTGGAGCCCTTCTTGGCCGCTTTGACGGGGGGTGCTTCAGCAGGCATGATGAGCGAGAGATGTGCGACAGAGTCGATTGACTTCTTTGTCACAGAGCGGTCTATTTATATTCACCAGATGCAAATATTACTGTGCTGTTGCTCGCACGGGATTGGTTGTCTTCTGAGCAGGACGGAGCATGTGCTTAACGAGTTTTTTTTATTAGTCAGTTTATTGAACATGTCAGAAACAAAAACATACAACAATAATATATATATATTCTTTTTTTTCCCTTTTTGTTTTTCTCACTCAATTTAATAATTATAACAAAGTACAAAAAACATATAATAACAAAAAAAAAACAATAATAATTCTCAGATAGTCTCTGTCATGTTCAACAGGGGCAAGAATAAGCTTAAAACAACTTTTCTGGTCCTACCCCCTCTAGCATATATTATTCTTATAAATAAAATATTAGGTCATCGTCATTAGCGACATGTTTGTCTTGTTAATTTGTTTGCTTTTTCTTTTTTACAAAACAATCAAATAAATTACTTTTACAATTACAAGAAATAACAACAAATGGAATTGTACAGGTCCTGTTCATAACCATTAATGATTTGGCTCCTAAATAATACTTTCAGTTCAGATAGACTTGTACAATATTTCAGTGCATCATTACAGTTATTCCACAGACTAACACCTTTTGAAGAGATGCAATGAAGTTTGGCATTTGTTCGTACGGGTGGTTTTTTGAAAATGCAGTTTCCTCTCAACATGTGCATGCTTTCTCTCTGTGTGAAAAGTCCCTGGATATTATGAGGTAATTGTTGATTTTGCGGCTTTGAACATAATTTGAATAGTTTTATAGTCAACCAGGTCATGTAGTTTTAGTGTTTTTAGTTTGATGAACAATTTATTTGTAGGTTCTCTGTACGTAGTTTTATGTATAACTCGTATGGCTCTTTTTTGCAGGATGAAGATAGGATGTGTATTTGTTTTATATGTGTTCCCCCACACTTCCACACAATACATCATGTATGGAAGTATGAAGGAGCAGTACAGCATAAACAAAGAAGCTTGATTAATTAGGTATTTGGCTTTATTCAGAATTGCTATTGATTTGGACAATTTGGCTTTGATATAGCTTATATGTGGTTTCCAACTTCATTTATTGTCTATGATTACTCCAAGGAATTTTATTTCCGATACTCTTTCTAATTGGACGCCATTTATAGTGAGTTTCTTCTCTGTATTGGTCGATCGATTCCCAAATATTATGAGTTTGGTTTTGCTTGCGTTCAATGTTAATTTATTTTGGTCAAACCAGATCTTCATCCTGCTCAGTTCCTTCTCCATTGTGACCAATAGCTGTTCTAAATCGTCCCCACAGCAGAGTAGACTTGTGTCGTCTGCAAAAAGAATGGCTTTAATCATTTTTGATACTTCACATATATTGTTAATATACAGAATAAATAGTAATGGCCCCAAGACTGAGCCCTGAGGCACCCCACATGTAGTAGTTGTGATTTATGGCTTTGTAGTTCAACGTACTGTTCCCTGTTATGTAGGTAGCTGGATAACCATGATAGTGCAACACCTCTAATGCCATATCTCTGTAGTTTTTTTATTAATAATTCATGGTCAACCGTGTCAAATGCTTTTTTAAGGTCCAGAAATATCCCTATTGCATATTCTTTCTTTTCTATTGCCTTAGTAATCTGTTCCATATATTCTATAACTGCAAATGATGTAGTTCTGTTTGCTCTGAAACCATATTGTTGTTCATGGAGTATGTTATGTTTGGTGATGAAGTCATTTAGTCTTGTATAGTAGATTTTTTCCAGTATTTTAGAAAACTGTGAGAGCAATGAAATTGGTCTATAGTTTGACAGTACATGTTTATCTCCAGATGTATGTATTGGTATGACTTTAGCAGTTTTCATTGTATTTGGAAATGAACCGGTTTGTATTGACTGATTACAGATGTGAGTTAGTGGTTTACATTCAATAATGTTTTTAACTGTATACATGTCAATATCATGACAGTCTGTAGACCTTTTACTCTTCAGTTTTTGAACTGTGTCAATCATTTCATTTTCATCAGTCCCTCTTAAGAATATAGTTTCCTTCACATATATATCTTTACTTTCAACACCATCACTACAACCAGTATTTGGAATTTCCCCAGCTAGACAAGGACCAACATTGACTAAGTACTTATTGAAATCTTCAGCAACTGAGGTCATGTCATAAATTACTGTATCGTTTTTTGACAGAAAACTGTTTGGGCATTGTGCCTTTCCATTTCCTTTTTTAATAATGGTATTTAATACATTCCATGTGTTTTTAATGTTATTTTTGTTATCCTCCAATAATTTGTTGTAATGATCCATTTTGCTACATCGTATTATCTTTGTTAGTTTGTTTTTGTATGTCTTGTATTTTTGTTCAGCCTCTACTGATCCATTCTTTAAGAAGTCTTTATATAATTCATTTTTCGTTTTACATGCATTTAATATTCCCTTAGTGATCCATGGTTTTTCAGCATATTTTTGTTTCACTATTTTCTTTACACGAGGACAATGTTTTTCATACAGCCCTGATAGAATATGTAGAAATAACTGGTGTCTTTTTTGATCCTAGTACAGTTCTGTATTGTTGCAAAGACTGGCAGGTGATCACTTGGGTCATTGATTAATATTCCACTTATTACTTTCCTTTCCATAACATTTGTGAATATGTTGTCAGTGAGTGTTGCACTGTGTGATGTTATTCTGGTTGGTCGTGTGATTGTAGGATATAAACTGTTGCTATACATAGAATTAATAAATTCTGTAGTTGCATTGTGTTCTTGTGGGTTCAGCAAATCAATGTTAAAACCCTCTGGAGTACATTATTTAATCATAGATTTTCGCTTGTAAGGAGTAGAAATATGATTCAGATATCTGCGGAATCGCTAGAATCGTAGCTTTTCAAGAGTATCTCCTGTGAGACTGTACCCAGGGCACAGCAGCCAATATTGCCGCTCAAAGCAGCTTGATTCGGCGTTACACTGTGTGTGATTGGTGGATTTGTGTGTCAGTCAAGGACATCTCGGCCGGCCGGCAGCCGGTCTGAAATGACCAATGGACACTCGAGATATCTAAGGACCTACCCACCAATAAAAAAACATATAACAGGTGTCTCCCATCAGTTTCAGTCTTTTAGTCTGTGAAGAAGATAGAGAAAATGGCTCGAAGGAACTTTACCGTTGCGGACGCGCTGGATTTTATTTTCGCGAGCGGCAGTGAAGAAGATGGCTCATCAGAACCTGAAGGCTTCGACTCTTCTGAAGAAGAAGAATACAGGGACAGCAGGGATCCATTTGAGGATGGGTAAGTGTAAATATAACTTGTAGTGCATTTGCCATTTTGTGAGGAGTACCGCGAAAATGAACAATGGATTTATCAACCTTTTTATTTTCCCCTCATGAACTTTTTCTCGGGACAAAATAGACTCTTGATTAGTAAACGTTTACTCTGTGTAAATGTTATTTATGTGTAAACGTTATTTTGGCATGTATAAGTAAGGTTACATGTGTAGATGAATAAAAATAATCCTTTATTCGTCCCACAACGGAGACATTTATAGACATGTATTTTATTTGATCATACTGTTCTGTACAGATGAGACTTTGTCATAGACTTATTTACATCAATCAATGTTTATTTATATAGCCCAATATCACAAATGTTACATTTGTCTCAGTGGACTTCACAGTTTGTACAAAATATCAGTATGACAATACGACACCCTCTGTCCTTAGACCCTCACATCGTACAAGGAAAAACTTCAGAAGAAAACCCACAGTTTTAAAGGGAAAAATGGGAGAAACCTCAGGGAGAGCAACAGAGGAGGGATCTCTCTCCCAGGACGGACAGACGTGCAATAGATGTAAATTGAAAAGATAATACATTTGCAACATAGGTAGTCCAAATGTTTGGAAATGCATGTGTGTATAATAGGAAGATGAATCCACGAGGATATCCATCCAGGGCCTATGATCCAGGACCACAGCCACGACTCACGATCCAGGGCTCGCGATGCAGGACACAGGACCGCAGGATCATCCATGACTCCGGATCCCAGCGTATATAAACACCAAAAAGAAAGACATTTGGGGAAGCTGGGTTAATCGGAACATGAGAGTACACAGGTATAGACAGAGAAAATGAATAAGTAAGATGTCCCCCGACAAACTAAGCCTATATCAGCAAAACTAGGGGCTGAATCTAATCAGCCCTAACTATAAGCTTTATCAAAAAGGAAGGTCTTAAGCGCACTCTTAAAACGGATAGGGTGTCTGCCGCCCGAACACAAACTGGAAGCTGATTCCACAAATGTGGAGCTTGATAAGAAAAGGCTCTGGCTCCCATTGTACTTTTAGAGACTCTAGGAACAACCAACAACCCTGCATTCTTGGAACGCAATGCCCTAGTAGGACAGTAGGGTATAATGAGTTATTTAAGGTAAGATGGCGCCTGCCCATTAAGGGCTTTGTAGGCGAGAAGAAGAACTTTCAATTATATCCTGTGTTCTTTAGGGAGCCAGTGTAAGGCAGCCAGAACAGGAGTAATGTGGTCCCTTTTCCTAACTCTGGTTAGTACACGAGCTGCAGCATTTTGAATCAGCTGAAGCGACTTGACTGACTTCTTGGTACACCCTGATAATAAAGAGTTACAATAATCCAGCCTTGAAGTAACAAATGCATGGACTAGTTTCTCTGCATCGTTTTGAGGCAAGATATGCCTGATTTTTGCAATGTTACGTAGATGGAAGTAGGCGGTCCTTGAAATTGATTTTATGTGGATGTTAAAGGATAAATCCTGATCAAATATAACACCAAGATTCCTTACAGTCTCACTGGAGGCCAAATTAATGCCATCCATAGTTAGTATATCTTTAGATAATTTGTTTCGTAGATTATTCGGGCCAAGTGCAATAACTTCAGTTTTGGTCGTGTTTAACATCAAAAAGTTTAACGTGTTAAACCCCGAGCCTGTTTTTCAGGTTTCAGGCTCGAAAATGACATTCCCAGAAC